ATGAACTTTATCAAGCAACGACGAAACCACGGAAACGAAACGAGGTATCGCTATAAAAGGACGTATGAAAGAGGAGGCTGTCCAGATCCGTAGCTCTTCGCAATATTGTGCACTGGACTCTTTTTTTTTTTTAATAAAATGAAAAATGTGTTGTACTGAGTGATACACTGATAAAGATAATGTGTTTGCGAATTTAAGTGAAAAATGAAGCGTTGAAAGACTTTATAGTGACTTCATTAAAGTTGTTACAAATACAGAGTAAACGTGTTCGTAAATTTATGTAAAATAGTTGCAAAATTAACGTTAAATTCCAATTGAACTTAAAATGGATTGTTTGTTTCCTTTTATTCAACGTTTACAATAGCAAATATACATGTATATTATGATATAAACTAAGGAATATATACATAATCATTCTTCTGTCAATTCAGCAATTTTGTCTTTTTTACATGCATTTCATAAAATTCAACATTTTAGTTTATTATTATTAGTTATTATTGTTGAATAATATACATGTACATTACTTTATGATATATATACTCTTTATATTAAACAGAGTTACGGATCTTTGTGGTCAATCTGATCCACCTCACTATTAAGACCACCTCGCTGTTAAGACCACTTTTGTCCAGTCCCCAAAGTGGTCTTAATAACGAGGTTTCACTGTATATACATTGTGGTCAGTCTGTCCACTTGTCTATATACATTGTGGACAGTCGGTCCACTTGTCTATATACATTGTGGACACTCTGTCCACTTGTCTGTATAGATATTGTGGACAGTCTGTCCACATGTCTATATATATTGTGGACCGTCCGTCCACTTGTCTATATATATATTGTTGACAGTCGGTCCACTGGTCTATATATATTGTTGACAGTCGGTCCACTTGTCTATATACATAGTGGAGAGTATGTCAACCGGTCCATTTTGTTTCATCAAACCTGTTGTTTACTGCTTTGTTACATCGACAGTTACTGTATAACAGAAATGATGACGTCAGTATCTGTGTGACTTTCATCTCCAAAAGTACTTATTTTATTTATTGTCAAGATTGCCAACAACTCCGCACGCTTACGACTCTAGTTAACACATTTATTACCACTATTTTCCGTAATAACAGTGACAGTTTTGTCCAGGTTGTCTCCTTAATTAGAATGAAATGGTAACCATAGTTACGACGAGTATATTGAAGTCGTGAAAACATTGTATGTTAGTTTTTCTTTTATTATAAATGTGATTTATATTACATATTTTTCAGGAGAAAATATAAATATTGCATCCGAGACAGCTCACCATTCACGAATGTAAGACAGACTTGAGTAGGAAAAGATTTGTAGGTTGGCCTAAAAGATGAACCTGTCAGAAAACATTTCTCAAAAATTTGGAAACCACGAGTAAAACTGGTAACCGTACAGCTGAAAAAAAAACATTTAAAATATGACAATTCTTAATATCTCAATTAACATTTACGACCAGAATACCGTGATGTGAACTCTCGGAAACCAGATTCTTTCTTAGCTGTAAGTTATCAGATTTGCACATTTAAAGCCCGACATTCCTTAAAGTCTCATTAATATTTCGCATATTCCGTGTAATTAAATGTTAATAGTACTATTCATGAAGTCAATTTACATCAGCTATATAGGTAATGTATGTCGGGCCTGGAGAGGACGTTTTATGGTGACACCAATGCAATTTTAAAATGGAACATTGTCATCGCATACGACCGTTATTTGTTTGCATTAATGCATAAATAATTATAAAGATTGGCTGTGTGTTTGCAGCGTGTGTTACCTGTGCATATATAAAAATAACCTGTATGAACCATAAGACGTCGATTTTCAGACGATACAGTGTTTCAAACATGTACGACTATAAACCAAAGGCTTTGATTTCATGGCGATACGTTGTTTGAAACCTGTACTGAAGATTTATGGCAGCTGAGAGCATGTTTTACTGTCTGACATCTAACCTGATGTACATTTTTTTCTTAGTAGACATCACGTGGACAGAAAAACAAGACAAGAGGCTACCGTTAGACATCAAAATGAATAAACTCAAATGTAAACGCTTTTTTATAATAAACGTAAATGGCATACACCAATCCTTAAATCCGATAATCCAGAACGCGCATTAAGAAAAAACAAAACAAAAAAATACAAAAAACAGAAAAATAAAAAAAAAAACAATAAAAAACAAAAATCGTCGAACTCTTGCCTGTTTTACCGTGTGTGATGACTAATACGAGTTACAAACAAGATAAACAAATAAAACAAAAAAAGAAAGTAAAAAGTATGAATACATTTGGTTGGTCAAAGATTGTACAAAAGACACACAAACGAATGACACTTTTTATCACATTTATAGAGTTAGATACAGTAGAGCGAAACAGTTAATGAAACGTAGCAAATAAAAAACACTTGTTTACTAGTCATGTAAATAAAACAATATTTTTGGTAGACAGTTCTTACGACGTGTGGGGAAGATTTTCATTTTAGAGAAAAGTTGAAGGAAAAACACTGAGTTACAGGCAACTTGTTATTTCTCCGCTCAGTCTGTTCATTCAGTTTAAATAGCCAGACCAGCGAAGTGGTATATTGACCAATACTAATACAATAATCGTTTAACAATGATGATATTAGTTTGATATGTTAAATGGTACTAATGATATAAAACACCTGGTCTGCTCGAACACCATAACTGATCATGTCCATTCTTTGTATTTTTTCTACGCGAAACGCTGATATTTGAAGAAAAAATATCATCTTCATATTTTCACTCATCTCCGCTTTCCAAGGATATCTATACAGTATCTACAAAGGATGGTATCTTATTGATTACCCCTGGTTAGCGAGGATTTACACTTCGATGGGGAAAATGTAATCAATAATATGAAATGCAAAAATAATTTGTTATTCTATGTAAGAAACATTATATAAGGCTCGGGCTTTCCACGATGTCTACTTTTTCTCATTCAGACACATATAAGCTATTTTGTCCCTCGATAACTTATTTACAGTTACAGAAATGTTGTTACACGATTTTGACTTTACACGAGATTTCTACCAGTTTTATAAATCATTCGATTATCGAAATACTTTTATCTCCATTAATGTTATGAGGATCAGTAAAGAATCGAGGAGTGTAAGGGTGATTTCGTAAAGTCTCAAAACAGTAACGTTTTTGTATCATCTAGCTTAAAGAATGTAAGGCGGACGTCACAGGTTATCACCTTTCAGTAATAAAGGGATCGGTTCCAGTGTATTAACTAGATTTCGTAATCAATTTGAACATCCATCATGTTTGAGTAACAGATAGGCGATGCTTGTCTACCTATTCATAATAATCTTCACATCACACAAACATTTGTGTTCATTAATATAACGACAGTATGAATGTAATATTAATTATGCAAACATTTTTGTATAAAACACAATTCACTGGTAGAAAATTCACGGTGTGTATATCTGGTCAATGTATTAATGTTGTTTGAGATGACGCCAGTGTATGCTATCACAGACGAGAAGGATGTTTATTATTTGTTTATCCTAAGTAGGTATATTATGTATATTTTGACACGTTTTGTGCATCTGTTTATATTAGGATATAAACATAAACTGCTGTTTAATTAACTAATCACCATTTACGTAAAATAACAAGGTTTGATGAAATATTCCTATTATACATATCGTGGCTTTCATGTTTACAAGGATACGGTATTCATTAGATGTCACGTGCTTTAATTATGACATAATATTATGTTGCATTACGGGCAGTGGGAGTTACCGTTGTTTGTCCTACGACAGCCCATATATGTTAAAATAGGCTTAAGTAACTCAACTTATAGGTTTCCGGTCACGGGTTTCTTACCAAGACGTTCATCTTATACAAAAACAAATGAGATTTTCGTCATGTGTCAGAAATTGTCAGGATATTTTTTTAAGAATTTTTGTAATATTATAGAACATAACTAACAAAGAATCGACAGCTGATGAGTTCTGTTGAAGTTTGAGCGATGAATCATTAATAGAGATTTTATGTGTAATATTTACATCATTATACCAAGGCTTTATTCGTGAGACAAAAATAATTCCTTAATGACAGAACAAACAAAACAAATGAGACCATGTGTTCCTGAACTGTCTTCTGCTCTATCGACGACACCCGTCATGTAAACCTTAATCAATGCAAGAATTAATGTCAAGTTCTCAATCGATAACAGGGTATACAACAGTGGAACCAACAGCATCAAACATGTCCAGCTTCATATCGCACAAAGAAATAGAATATTTCTCACCGAGATCGTAAAACTTCCCATCATTTTCATCAACCTGCATCTTTTGAAACCCTGTATCACGAGTTTGTCCGTCAGTTGACAACTTCTTGTACAAACTGAACCGTGAATATCTAACCAACTGCGATATGTAAACACCATAGGTTGGGGATGCAGAGATGTTGCTATCCAGAAATTGAAAACTCACTGTAAGGAAATAGAAATCATCACACTTGGCGAAAAGCTGTCCATGTTGGTGTCGTAGGAAAAGATCGGACAAACGGCTGATGTAGACGAGTCTGTCGTATCTTTAATTTCATGGTCTGGTGCGTACATACGATGAACGTGGTCAGTAAATGTTTTATTATTACAGACAATACGTCATCAATATATCTTAAACGACTTTGCAAGGTCTTGTTGACCTGTTTTGATAAGTTCCTCGATAAATTCAGCCTTTGCCTTACTCAATAGCAGATGAAGTCTGTGTAAGAAACCTGCCACAAAAACTACTTACTTAGATGTATTTGTACATGTCGTATCTGGGCCACCGTACAGAGCAGTGACCGACTGCCATCCATCACACACAACACTTCCCACCACTGTTTTGTTCACCTTCAGTTACGTTCCGCGAGATTACCGGACTCGATCGTCTTATATACAGTGATCCTAGTGATACTTCATCACTTCTATTTCCTCCTTAACGGAGTGATTCACGCTTCACAAAATGGCGTGTGGTGAGAATCTCTACCGATTTGTTTTAGTTACATTGGCAGCCCTATTGATAGAGCTTTCTGGTGTATCGGGAAGGGAATTCAGGTTGTATGCTTTTGAATTCACTTCTCCAAATATTCATCGACTGAACGCAAGAAGCGGTGCAGAAAAAGAGCTTGCCGTTTCTCTAAAGACTGGCGACATGATTAAGCTTGTTTTCTGTTTAACAGAGAAAGCTGATGTGCAGGTCTCTGGTTTAGTTATTTCAAACGATGGCGGAGAGGATGAGTTGTCTATTTTATTAGATTGGGATGAAGTTGGATCCACTAGGTCTAAATATACACGACTGTCTGGACAAGGTTGGAATATTTTTGAGTCTACAAGTCCTGTGGGCCTTAGGAGGACATTGGATGCTGGGCGTCATAGCGTCACAGTCAACGTGACGTCAGCAGATGAATTTGGAGTGGAACTAGACGCTGTAATGATCAAAGTTAGTGACGAAGACCTGAACGAAGACGCATTTACATGTAACGTATTTTGTTTCAATGATATCACATATGCTCACGTAGAAGGAAAGGACTTTATTGCCAGTGCCCGGATGGAACAGAGGAGCTACCGGACGGAGTGTGCCGAAGAAGATAATGTTCGTATTCCGTTCTACCACAGTCGTATTTCTAAATTTGCAGTTAAAGCGATGCATCCTAAATACAAAGCATTCGTTAACCACAGAGGATCTGATTTCACAAACTGCAGAATGGTAAATGACCTACTTTGGCGTTTTGAAAATCTTACTTATCCGTTTTCTATGAGACAATTCAAGCGAGGAAAGGCAATCATTACACACGATAAAAATGACGACCATAATATCATTGTGACATTCTTTAGTCCGGACGGTCCGAACAAAGGGGTGGTGGACTCTGAGATCGGATCTCGGCTTTATGTTGAACTAAGAAATGTTTTGGCACCAATTGAAATAGGACTAACATACTATGGGAGAGAGAAGAAATGGTCTTCATCCGAATTCATAACATTCTCGCCTGAAAAGACGAATCATACCTGGCATGTATCAGACTACACATGGAATGAAAGTCCTGAAAACATCATTCGCTTGTTATTGCCTCTAGACCTTCCGTTCGAAATCGATGTAGCAATGATATCTTTAAATAAGAGAAAGACAAAGGAGGACACAGCGTTTAAAGTGTTTGATAATTCAGAGAAAATTATAGAGGGTGTAAATGTTGACTTTTTCTGGCGGTCGGACGGTGATATGGTGGTTAAAATGACAGATTCAGGGAAGGTCTATACCGGAGCTGACTACGTCAGGATTTACACACACTTGCCGTGGGGAAACCACGAATTCTCTCAAATAATTGTCCTTTATCGGGATGGTAACTTCCGGATTCTACCATTAGCACCTCCTGGTGTCGATTGGATTCCATTCGGATCTTCTCTTTTAATTGGGGAAACAGACCCCGATTATGAGCGTCCATTTGCATCTATTTCAGAGGTAGAGATTGACATCAGGAAAAATATTCTGAATTTGACGTACGCTAACGGAAATACTGTAACCATTGAACTTCATATTGCATTTGCTGAAACTTCCCTCACTGTCACAAACATTAATTTCAAAAACAAACGACTGTTTCCGTTTATGATTTACAACTCAATGTGGGTTTCTGACGGAAATGCGGATGTAGATCGTGTGAGGGTGAATGGAAATGAGGCTCGCCGTATCATGGCAGACTGGCGGTACTTGTATGGAACTTCCGTCGCATTCTATCGACAATGTCTATCGCGACACAACACAATGAGTCCCGATATTCGAGTGGAACTTCTGGAGGAGGAATGAACAACAGGCTAGAAATAGCCACTGATCTCTGGAAATCCCATAGACGATTCGCGAGAACTTACTTCGGTAAATTTTGAAAACAGCAGGTAGATAAATATTGATAATATTGATATAAAAAGACACTGACTGAGAGGTCAAACAATGCACATGTTAAAAAACAAATTGAAATACATATATCAAGATGTAAAGTTATTTTTAGCACAAAATAATGCATTTGTGATAAGTGAATATTTATGACGTCATAAAAATGGCAAGCATTTTAACAAGGGTTTGGAGGGGGTTTCTTATATATTTATTTTATTTTTTGACTTTGTATCCAGTTTTAGCGGTAGAGGCGAAGTAATTCTTAATTTCGTTTTATTTGTGAGATTTAGTGCATAATGATGCCAATTTATGCTGTGTAATTGCACTTGTTCACTAGTAATCAAATAAATTCATCAGACACATTTACCTTCGAAATATGTAAGACTTTATTATAACTTTACAGCGCTAATTGTGAGAGTCCCTCTAATGGCCTCGCACACAGTAGCAATCTGATCATTATTTGAGAAATTGTTAAACGGTGACTACGGGTTCAAAATACAAGCCGAGACTTTTTTCACATCATACCATTCCTGCAAATTAAGACTCCATTTACCTTGTTGCTGGCCCCTTCAGCTTCTGTGCATAAATTCGTGATAAACTACAATTCTATGTAATTTAACAGTCTAAAAAAGCCTTTACAGTAAATATATGGGGAAATTTGCATTCTCGAAGAATTACCCAGTAGTGTCATCCAAAGTCATAGGAAAACGGTGACAACATACCATTTTATAGCATGTCGACAAAGGTGATACAGCACTTACAGCTTCTGTTTGGTGATTCTCGAGGGAGCCTCGTAGATATAACGATGATTATTGTATTTATATCAATGCATACGGAACGGTGTCGGGTGTATTAATCAATCGGTAAAAATAGGTCCGGTCCCGTTAGTTTTAAGAATGCACCCGTTTTCTGCTATATCGGCTTAACAGTGTATTCGCAATCCAAAATGGCGGATAAGCAAATTAAGTGAGCGAGCTGAATCTGCCGTGTGAAGGTGTCCGAGGTGGAATACACATGAGGAAACATAGCTTTCAAAACTTCGTACGGAAACCACGCAAACGAGCGCACTTGTGATTTCACGATGCTTTTTCAAAAAGGGTATTTAAAAAACGAGATACTTTTAAAAGCAGTTCGATTTCCGCACAGAATGTTCTTGTAAGGAGTCATATTTTGATTTTCTAAGTGTAGTCGTGTATGTTTGAAGGATTCTGTTCTAGTCGGTTAACTAAAACAACATCAATCGATTTAAAATATCTTTCTCAGAAACTTTCCAAATATCACTTGAACCTAAGTTACATTTGCATGTGGCGACATCTTGCTTTCAAGGCAATATTTGACGGGAAGTTAGTAACATTTAGCCTATCGTGGTAAACTGATCGACAGGGTTCACAGGAACGTAAAGAAAGGAGATCAATTATCACCAGTAGATAAATTTCATTCCCGTCAAGTTACGTTCAGATATTACCGAGTCACGAGTATATATTTTTTTGTCCCATTTGGATACTTTTGTTTATTAAGTACAGAGCTAGATACATATTAAATATAAAATAAATGTATATTATTGTAGCTGGGTCAGTCTAATGCCTTTTCATCTATTTCTTTTTCAAAGTAGATACTTCAGGTTTCGAAATCTGCTGTGAAATCTGTGTAAAACAAGCTCACAATACACCACACAATGAAATATCAGTCAGTACCATTTAACCTTTTATTTCTAACATGTGACTTCGTACATCTGAGAGAAGCATTGAAGCTTATCCTAATCACCATTAATCTATTGTTGGTGACCTGTACAAGTTCTCCCTGACGATATGGATGGATAACACACTTTTTTGTTATAAATTACACCTGACGTCAGCAGCACAGGTAAAGGAGACTATATATGTTCACTACAGGCACGTGATTCGTCTATTTTGTTCCAGTCTGTGATTAATATACGTGTACCTACTCTTATAATACAATTACATATATCTATACAAAATAAAGGCTTGTAAAAGTATTGTATGTATTCGTTATGATTACGTATTACATATGTAGTCCGTTCTATAGCAAAAGATGGCCTCATGTCGTTAGAGGCACTGATATACATATCGCTAGGATCAATTATATTTCATATAAGTTTACTCTGTGTGATATTGTTAATCCCTCGCCTAACGTCCAGGATCTCTAACCTTTAACTCTGCGTGATATTGTTAATCCCTCGCCTAACGTCCAGGATCTGTAACCTTTAACTCTGTGTTATATTGTTAATCCCTCGCCTAACGTCCAGTATCTCTCACCTTTAACTCTGTGTGATATTGTTAATCCCTCGCCTAACGTCCAGGATCTGTAACCTTTAACTCTGTGTGATATTGTTAAGCCCTTGCCTAACGTCCAGGATCTCTAACCTTTAACTCTGTGTGATATTGTTAATCCCTCGCCTAACGTCCAGGATCTGTAACCTTTAACTCTGTGTGATATTGTTAATCCCTCGCCTAACGTCCAGGATCTGTAACCTTTAACTCTGTGTTATATTGTTAATCCCTCGCCTAACGTCCAGTATCTCTCACCTTTAACTCTGTGTGATATTGTTAATCCCTCGCCTAACGTCCAGGATCTCTCACCTTTAACTCTGTGTGATATTGTTAATCCCTCGCCTAACGTCCAGGATCTCTAACCTTTAACTCTGTGATATTGTTAATCCCTCGCCTAACGTCCAGGATCTCTAACCTTTAACTCTGCATGATATTGTTAATCCCTCGCCTAACGTCCAGGATCTGTAACCTTTAACTCTGTGTGATATTGTTAATCCCTCGCCTAACGTCCAGGATCTGTAACCTTTAACTCTGCGTGATATTGTTAATCCCTCGCCTAACGTCCAGGATCTCTAACCTTTAACTCTGTGTTATATTGTTAATCCCTCGCCTAACGTCCAGGATCTCTAACCTTTAACTCTGTGTGATATTGTTAATCCCTCGCCTAACGTCCAGGATCTCTAACCTTTAACTCTGTGTGATATTGTTAAGCCCTCGCCTAACGTCCAGGATCTGTAACCTTTAACTCTGCGTGATATTGTTAATCCCTCGCCTAACGTCCAGGATCTCTAACCTTTAACTCTGCATGATATTGTTAATCCCTCGCATAACGTCCAGGATCTGTAACCTTTAACTCTGTGTTATATTGTTAATCCCTCGCCTAACGTCCAGTATCTCTCACCTTTAACTCTGTGTGATATTGTTAATCCCTCGCCTAACGTCCAGGATCTCTAACCTTTAACTCTGTGTGATATTGTTAATCCCTCGCCTAACGTCCAGGATCTCTAACCTTTAACTCTGTGATATTGTTAAGCCCTCGCCTAACGTCCAGGATCTCTAACCTTTAACTCTGTATTATATTGTTAATCCCTCGCCTAAACCTTTAACTCTGTATTATATTGTTAATCCCTCGCCTAACGTCCAGGATCTCTAACCTTTAACTCTGTGTGATATTGTTAATCCCTTGCCTAACGTCCAGGATCTCTAACCTTTAACTCTGTGTGATATTGTTAATCCCTCGCCTAACGTCCAGGATCTGTAACCTTTAACTCTGTGTGATATTGTTAAGCCCTTGCCTAACGTCCAGGATCTCTAACCTTTAACTCTGTGTGATATTGTTAATCCCTCGCCTAACGTCCTGGATCTCTCACCTTTAACTCTGTGTGATATTGTTAATCCCTCGCCTAACGTCCAGTATCTCTCACCTTTAACTCTGTGTGATATTGTTAATCCCTCGCCTAACGTCCAGGATCTCTAACCTTTAACTCTGTGTGATATTGTTAATCCCTCGCCTAACGTCCAGGATCTCTAACCTTTAACTCTGTGTGATATTGTTAATCCCTCGCCTAACGTCCAGGATCTCTAACCTTTAACTCTGTGTGATATTGTTAATCCCTCGCCTAACGTCCAGGATCTCTAACCTTTAACTCTGTGATATTGTTAAGCCCTCGCCTAACGTCCAGGATCTGTAACCTTTAACTCTGTGTGATATTGTTAATCCCTCGCCTAACGTCCAGGATCTCTAACCTTTAACTCTGTGTGATATTGTTAATCCCTCGCCTAACGTCCAGGATCTGTAACCTTTAACTCTGTGTTATATTGTTAATCCCTCGCCTAACGTCCAGTATCTCTCACCTTTAACTCTGTGTGATGTTGTTAATCCCTCGCCTAACGTCCAGGATCTGTAACCTTTAACTCTGTGTGATATTGTTAATCCCTCGCCTAACGTCCAGGATCTGTAACCTTTAACTCTGTGTGATATTGTTAATCCCTCGCCTAACGTCCAGGATCTCTAACCTTTAACTCTGTGATATTGTTAAGCCCTCGCCTAACGTCCAGGATCTCTCACCTTTAACCCTGTGTGATATTGTTAATCCCTCGCCTAACGTCCTGGATCTCTCACCTTTAACTCTGTGTGATATTTTTAATCCCTCGCCTAACGTCCAGGATCTGTAACCTTTAATTCTGTGAGATATTGTTAATTTCTCGCCTAACGTCCAGGATCTGTAACCTTTAACTCTGTGTGATATTTTTAATCCCTCGCCTAACGTCCAGGATCTGTAACCTTTAACTCTGCGTGATATTGTTAATCCCTCGCCTAACGTCCAGGATCTGTAACCTATAACTAACGTCGAGGCGTTACTGTGTTGTATAAGTGATATTCAGTACATGTAACGCGTAACGTCGTGTAGAACAAATCCATACGACGGCCATTTCTAAGAGCTTAACGTCCTCGTTACAACCAGGGTCATATGCGAACGGGTGTCAGGAGAGACACCAACAACCAGGGTCATATGCGAACGGGTGTCAGGAGGGACACCAACAACCAGGGTCACAAGTGGACGGTAAAATTTAATTGCATAAAGGAAGCATCTGAATTAGGTAATGAGTCAAAAGAGAACACATTGATTTAATGCCATCATGTATTACTTAATGATACGAAAGTACGGAGGCATTGTAACAAAAATAACAAGCATATACAGGGGTATAGACAAGTAGTGATTTGAATTCAAATTTGACGAAACCGGGACTAAATATAAATAAAGGAGATATTTCCCAGGAAATCATTGAAAAATAAAAGGTGTATTCCAGAAAGTCGAGTGTCTACTTCATGAAACCCGACAAATTTGTCAAATTCAAATAATGACATGTTCTCAAACTGAGGATCGGGACAGTAACGAGACCAATACGCGTGCTGAAGAACATCAAAATCACTGATGTATTTCTGTAGTTCTACATGACGAGGTAGTAGTTTAATATGTGTCAAACTGTTAAACGTGATAAAACGAAACACTAACTCATTGTCACCGGCTGTATAAAGGGTTTACCTATACTACTCACAAGGAGCACCGGCTGTATAACAGGGTTTACCTATACTACTCACAAGGAGCACCGGCTGTATCAGAGGGTTTACCTATACTACTCACAAGGAGCACCGGCTGTATAAAGGGTTTACCTATACTACTCACAAGGAGCACCGGCTGTATAAAGGGTTTACCTATACTACTCACAAGGAGCACCGGCTGTATAACAGGGTTTACCTATACTACTCACAAGGAGCACCGACTGTATAACAGGGTTTACCTATACTACTCACAAGGAGCACCGACTGTATAACAGGGTTTACCTATACTACTCACAAGGAGCACCGACTGTATAACAGGGTTTACCTATACTACTCACAAGGAGCACCGGCTGTATAACAGGGTTTACCTATACTACTCACAAGGAGCACCGACCAGGGCTCACAAGGAGCACCGGCTGTATAACAGGGTTTACCTATACTACTCACAAGGAGCACCGACTGTATAACAGGGTTTACCTATACTACTCACAAGGAGCACCGGCTGTATAAAGGGTTTACCTATACTACTCACAAGGAGCACCGACTGTATAACAGGGTTTACCTATACTACTCACAAGGAGCACCGACTGTATCAGAGGGTTTACCTATACTACTCACAAGGAGCACCGACTGTATAACAGGGTTTACCTATACTACTCACAAGGAGCACCGTCTGTATATAACAGGGTTTACCTATACTACTCACAAGGAGCACCGACTGTATCAGAGGGTTTACCTATACTACTCACAAGGAGCACCGACTGTATCAGAGGGTTTACCTATACTACTCACAAGGAGCACCGTCTGTATAAAGGGTTTACCTATACTACTCACAAGGAGCACCGGCTGTATCAGAGGGTTTACCTATACTACTCACAAGGAGCACCGACTGTATAACAGGGTTTACCTATACTACTCACAAGGAGCACCGACTGTATCAGAGGGTTTGCCTATACTACTCACAAGGAGCACCGACTGTATCAGAGGGTTTACCTATACTACTCACAAGGAGCACCGTCTGTATAACAGGGTTTACCTATACTACTCACAAGGAGCACCGACTGTATAAGAGGGTTTACCTATACTACTCACAGCAGACTGAGGGCTATACTACTCGACTAAAGGGTACCTCAAGGAGCACCGACTGTATAACAGGGTATCACAAGGAGCACCGGCTGTATAAAGGGTTTACCTATACTACTCACAAGGAGCACCGGCTGTATAACAGGGTTTACCTATACTATTCACAAGGAGCACCGACTGTATAAAGGGTTTACCTATACTACTCACAAGGAGCACCGGCTGTATAACAGGGTTTACCTATACTACTCACAAGGAGCACCGACTGTATCAGAGGGTTTACCTATACTACTCACAAGGAGCACCGACTGTATCAGAGGGTTTACCTATACTACTCACAAGGAGCACCGACTGTATCAGAGGGTTTACCTATACTACTCACAAGGAGCACCGGCTGTATAACAGGGTTTACCTATACTACTCACAAGGAGCACCGACTGTATCAGAGGGTTTACCTATACTACTCACAAGGAGCACCGGCTGTATAACAGGGTTTACCTATACTACTCACAAGGAGCACCGGCTGTATAACAGGGTTTACCTATACTACTCACAAGGAGCACCGACTGTATCAGAGGGTTTACCTATACTACTCACAAGGAGCACCGGCTGTATCAGAGGGTTTACCTATACTACTCACAAGGAGCACCGGCTGTATAACAGGGTTTACCTATACTACTCACAAGGAGCACCGACTGTATCAGAGGGTTTACCTATACTACTCACAAGGAGCACCGGCTGTATCAGAGGGTTTACCTATACTACTCACAAGGAGCACCGGCGGTATAACAGGGTTTACCTATACTACTCACAAGGAGCACCGGCTGTATAACAGGGTTTACCTATTCTACTCACAAGGAGCACCGACTGTATATACTCACAAGGAGCACCGACTGTCTGGTACTAATTAACAGCTGTAAATGTATTTTTCTATTGTAATGTTGTCACTCTAGTATTAAGACACTTTAATTATACTTATGCTTTACTTCATTTTTATTGACATCTTGTTCGAGACAAATACCATGGTGGGAAGGGAGAATTCTCGACCGATAAGCTTCCGAGTTAGGGCACTTTTTTCTCGACACTAAATAGTACAATAATCACATGTGCTTTTCAGTTTTTCGAGGAAATAGTGATCAATTTTAATTCATCCTATCTATTTTAACGGAGGTTAATGGAATCACGAACAGGGCGTACCGGGGTCCCTCGTCACGATTCTCATCTTACGTCCGTGGTGATGGCATTCGGTACAAGATTGAACTTTTAAACGCAAGACAATAAATATAGTTTCAGATTAACGCAGTGTAAAAGTTTTCCGTCAAACTTGTCAATTCCTGAATCATTTACTGCTATATGGCGACACGAGACAGAGGAGCATGTGGTATCCAATCAGAAACAGTGATATTCTTAAGTACGGAAACGACGGCAAGTCGTACGCAAATAGACAAAAAAACACGCTAATTAGCGACCTTAATTTTCGAAAAACGAGACTTGAGGTTTGTTATGTGGCAAAAAGTCGAAAAGCTTTTTGGTCCCTGGTCATTCTCAATTTATATAGGATTGGTCTTCCTTGAGGCTTAATCGCGGTAATGTCAATTCAACAGCTATCAAACATCAAAACGACGCTCGGTAATATGAGTGTATCGTTTTGGTTATGTTTGACGTCTAACTAAAACAATCCTTTCGCTACATAGAGTACAGAGCTACAGAGCAATGGACATATATTTTACGGCGCGATTTGTAATCACGGCCACTTGTAGCTATTTATATCGAAATTTTCTGTCTCTAAAAGGATGATTTAATTGGCATAATAAGTAAAACGTAAAAATGATTAACATAATTCATCTGTAAAGTCGCTGCTAAAATAACAAGAAAGAACAAATAATTGATGATTAATTCAAATACAATTATCGTATCTGAGTTTCTGAGGTCATTAATTTTCACCACAGTCGTATCGTTCTGCATGGTCTCATGTTGACTTTTCCATACTCCTGTCCAACCAATGACAGGGGCATTCACTGTGGTGAGTTGCCCGCCTACCTGTAACTAGAAAGGTAGGAGCCATAGGTTGACAGGAAAAGCAAGTGTATTCAAAGCCTGTCAATTGTTGTGTGGTCCTGTGGTACAACTCCATCAATTCCATTCATTATTCCCCAAATCAATTTTATTCCAAGGGCCTGACGGTCCACATAAATACAATACATACATAAACTTAACATCAGTTCCTTTTCAATAGATACTTCGCTTCACATGAAAGGGATACATTCTCATCTTCAAGAATACTTAGTACTATGTGTACAATGCGTGTGTATTCATTTGCAATGAGAGTAGACATCCCGTGCACAGGTTAAGGGAGATAACCCCTATAACTAGGGTTTGTTTACGCGATACAACATGCGCCTTAATACATGGATTTGACGTTCAACGCTCAAATTGGACCCACTTACTAAATTTTTGGGATTTTTTTTGTCGTTTCTTTTGAAGTAACTGTGAAAGTCAATATAAATCCAACAAACTATATTTGTACCAAGACATTTCTTGTTGGTGCTTTGGATCTGGAACAAAGTTGGCGGAACTGATAGTATAATATGAGATATCTGTTATAACAAGGTACTAGTAAGTCTGTATGTATGTCACTGGAGATCCAACATTTATCAGAAAATGTTTCAATTAGGAGACTATATTGGGACATATCAGTCTACCCAGCAGAGTGGCAGATTTATATACAAGTAATCAACTTGTACATTTGACAATAAATTCTGTTTTTAAACTAGATATATCATACATGTATTATATCAAAATGTCATGAACATCATCGAACACACAAACAAAAATTAGTTATGTGTTTCATTTATTCACAAAATATCACCAACATTTACAAAATCATAATGGTTTAAATATAATAAACTATCCACAAAAGTCAGGAGCTGTGATTTCTTTCATGTAATCATCATAAGTAATACTGGCTCCATGCTTCTGAGCATCATAATATTTCTTTTGTATAAACTTCCGCCCAGAGTATCCACAAACTGACACTTTATCAGCATCCTGAAAAAGACAAACAGAACATGACCTAGCAGCAATCTTATTTCTCTCCTGAAACAACAAGTTTGGAATTTCAAAGAGAAATAAGTAAAGGATGATAAAAATAGCTATTCAAAAGGGAGGTAACCTTTACAGGTACAAGGGATAACAAAGGGACCTTGTCAATTTTCCTTGTCAGAATCACAGATTGTCATTTTGGTTTTCAAATCAGTCCCAAAATCATATGTGCACAACTAGGGACCTAGGGCAACCTACATATGAAATTGAGAAAGACCCATCCAATCACAATTATGACTATCAAAAATCAATATGTCTGTGTGTCGGCCATCTTGTTCTCCTGATCAGTCTCAAAATGAACTTTGCAGATCTGGGGACCAAGGTAAACCTACTTTTCCAGAAATGGAAATAACAATAACAATCTATTAATGATAAAATCCAAGATGGTTGCCTAATAGCCTTATCATTTTCAGATAAATTTCAAAATCAGACCTGTAAAATTTAAGAAAGATCCTCCCCATACTTCTCAAGAAAGGGTGATAACAAGAACTGTTTAAAAGAACAGAACATTGATGCAGGGAGATCTGATAATGTGACTTGTTATCACTTACCAGGTTAATGTAGACCCTTGGATGGCCTAAAGCACCACCACTATTGCTCATCACCTGCCTATCATTGACCACTACCACTGGTTCAGCAGCTACTAAATCCTGGGCAAAGGTCTTGTTTACCTACAAAATACAACACCATTGTACAGTCCTGACAACTGATCAGAGACTTTTCAATTAAAAATTTAAATCTATGCAATATATACAGTTTACAGGCACCAAGACAGATCTACTTTTTTCTTTGATATTACTACATGAATACTCATTTATAATTTTAATATTTGGCTTGATGATTATGTAGTGTTGTGTAAGTGAAGTTTTACTGTTTTGTGTAGATTAATGATCCTAGTGTAGTAACATTATACTGTTTTCATTAGATTGGTGTCAGTGTATAGTGACATTACAGAAATGCATGGTTTTGTGTAGAGTGAAATTGTGTAGTGATATTTCATCTGTCCTTGCTAAACAATAACTAAGGGTAACCAAGATGTTAGCTAATTGATATTTTGAGCCATCAATGTTTTAGTTATATCTGATATAATAATAATGTCAACATCATATTTTTGAAAAGATTTTCTGTTGTTTAATGTGTTAATATTAAATTATATCATAAATTATCACAGGCACATGTTATGTTATTTGAACTGACCATAATGAAGTTTGTAACTTTCTGCAATCAATTACCACATAATGTATATACTAGATATACATACAACTGATCATCATATGCTTGTATGTAAATAACTTATTTAAGAAATTTGCAAACCCAATTCAAGGTACCATAAATTTTGAGGTATTATCATATTCAGTACTAAAACAAAATTACAGATATACCAGTTTGTCTTTTCCATGGAAGCGTATTCTTCTGTGATCCTCTTGATCCCAGTTCTACAATCAAAATAAACAAAATAATACATTTACACAAAAAAGGTAACCCTGAAATATCAAATTTCAACAACTTGTTCCCTACCAATGACAAATTTCTGCTTGCTATTACTATTTGTATTGACAAAGAAATATTCCATAGTCTAATGTCCTTGATTGCACACATGCTTTTTCATGTACAACCTAGTGTATCACGTATTGCTTCCAGAATTACTCATCCAGAAATCTGTTTGTTGTCTGGTGATCTTTTTCTTGTTTTGATTTTATTAATCAACCGGTTTGAAACCATTATCTAAAACAAATATAGTGCAGAGTCCAGGTCGATTCATGTACCTTCCCGGTACTAGAGGCACTAATCAGTGTTTCAAGACCTAAATGAAACACCGACAAGTGCAGTACAGAGCGAGTAGGAATAAGTTTGTTCAGCTGATGGTTAACAGTTATCTTAATATCTGGTTTGACACAACCCCTCGATTGGTACTAGCCTTGCATCTGAGGAATAGTTAATGGACTGTTGTCCAACCTGCAAAACTGAACATAATCACAAGAATAGGACGCTCTACAGGAGAAAATATTACTATTACACTACTGAAATAGCAGGAATATATACTTCAAAGGTCTAAAAAGTGCGATTCCAGTGGATTGACGGCTGCAGACTAAATAAATAGAGTTATGAAATACGTTTTACCTGTCCTGTATGTGTTATCACGTCTGTATTAGGGCCTTGGTCTTTTCTGTGGTCCTTCAGAGTTCGAGAGGTAACCGAAAACTGTGCAGGTGAAGCAATCGCTTTCTTCATTCCATGCAGAAGTCGCGGTGTCCTTGCTAAGGAAGCCATTTTGGAAAATGAAGGAGTATTGTAATAGGAGAACCAACATCGGTCGACTTTTCCGGAAAAATCATTATGCAAGAAATTGACCAAATTTGTTTATTTTCCTTAAATCTAAAACAACAATTAGATCTTTAAATATTTACATTAAAAAGGTTTCCTGTCAGTGTTCCGATGGAGGATAGATAGTATATCATTCACATACTAACATCTCCAGATAAGATATTCCCCAACATAGACTTTGCCACGTTTATCATTGTTAGAACACTTTAATGAAGATTTATTTTGTGACGACATATTTTTCAAAAGAAAATTTCAACGTTAATATGTTTCCTGCAAAAAATTGCAAAAGGAAATTATTTAAGACAGAAAGACATTCTTGGGGATACATAGTGTATGGTGTGATTACTTGTGTCTGTCAGTCAAAAGTACAGACTTAATCGTCTGTTAAAGGGAAGACTGATTAAATTCTGTCTATTTTAACGAATAATGCCTATTCTAATTAACCTTTCCAATTCTGATGAACACTGCTTGTTCTAAAGAAAACTCTCTATTCTAACGATCGCCTGGACATTCAAGGGACACAACTTGTAATGACCTCTGTTACATTCTAAACCATTATTTAACGGATTCTGGGAACGAAAAGAAATTCACTTTGAATAGAAGTCTTGAAAGGTCCAGAAAGATGCGTCACAGGATCACAGGAAAGATTGAACAATATTTGTGGTCTTGGCAAATCATTAAGCGAAAATAAATCTTTTGAAAATATCAGAAACTTTGGAATACAAGATCCCATTTAAAGAAAGCGTAAATATCGATATCAAACATACGATAAAATACTTATTTCCTGGTTGTAGTTCCAACCATATTTATAAGTATATCTCAGTAAAATAAAATGACAGAAATTTGCAGGTAAACATTGTCATACACGATATTTCTATTTCTCGAGTACTCTTTATACATCGTACTCAAATTTCATGTGACGAATTCCATGTCCCCTAGTCGTGTTCTTTCAATTTTGGGACTCGTCAGACAGGCGGCCATGTTGGATTTCGACCCTAACATTTTGTTATCGATATTTCTTAAGAAATAAAGTGCAATCTTTATCAAATTCCACGTGAAAATTTCTTTCGGCTTTCAGTCATGCTCTTACGATTTTGTTACTGATTAGAAAAATACAATAAGTGAAAAGAGGCCATCTTGAATTTTGATAATGAACCATTGCTATCGCTATTTGTCGAGAAGTACAGGAAAGATCTTTCTCAAGTTCCACGCCTAAGTCTACCTTTGTTCTTAGTCCTGCCCTTATGATTTTGTTAATGATCAGGTAAAAATCAAAATGGGTGACACTTCTCGGATATTGATTATGAAAATTGACTATACCACGGGGAAGCACTTTGGTTAATCTTCCTAATTTTCACCAAGGTGACAGATGTTACAAACTATTTCAATAATCAGTACAGTTCCATTGGTTAGAATGTGGATCAAGATTTGACAAAAGCCTACCACAGCTGATAGATATGACACGACAAGCAAGTTTGTTATTTTTCATGTAGATAAGACTTTTATTTGTAAGCAAATAAAACCACAAGATGGCGACAAAGCCACATGTCTTGATAACCTCTGTATAAACTTAATGAAACTTGCTGGCGAAACTGTTATCAACACACTCGTACACAATTTTGTATGTACAAGGTTGGTCACTGTACTTACATTTGTAAGTCAGACACCCGAAAAGCACGCCCACGTTTCATACTTAAAGTTCCGACAACAAATTCTTTAGTTACAGTTCACTTCCGTACGAACCATACTGCTAAATCGGCACTGATCAATGTAGTAGGAAGGTGGTGTACTTTTTCCCCCTGTCCAAAAAACAGCGTTTTAATTTCAAAAGTATACTTTTGAATCCACATCAATTGGCATTTCACGGGGATCCATTCTAGGACCCTTACGTTTCATGCTTTCAGTAACTGTTTACTCAACACATGCCCTGATGCTGCCTCTCTAGATGTCGGAGGTATGCACTTTAAACTAGATAAAACGTCGTCTTTCAGCATATCTTAAGAGTAAAATTAAATGGATGGAACAGAACTGACTGACCTTGAACATTAATCAGTCAGTACTTATAGAAACATCTCAGAAACCAGTAAAGACTAGGAAGATTGATAAGTCAATGGTTATTCAAATATAGTGCCCTACTTTTCAGTGTAACAATTGATGAATGAGCTAGAAAGATCATACTAATTATGTTGGTAAACAAAAACAAATATAATTCGTGCTTTTAAACGTGTTCCACCTATCTTTAAAAAAAAACCGCGAAAAAACAACAACAACTCAACAGCATTGTTTTATCTCATTTTTGCTCTTGTTCTGTGACATGGAGTCCATTACATCTATGTGTAGCACTGATCCGGCTACACATCAACTAACAGTATGTATAAAATTCAAATGTTTAATATAATTGAAATGTTGCAGACGTTTTAACCTCTGTTTCACTGACAATGTCGCACTTGATTCGGTAGATTGACTGATGTACACCGGGATTCTACCAGAAATACGAGCAAGTACATAATTTTATGAAAATAAAGAGACGTGTTAGTTATTTTGTGAGCATTTTACAGAATTATGCAAAGTCTTGAAAAGTCTTGGTAGATACATTGGGTGTCTTGTATTCCATACCATGTACCTGTCTTGCCATCAATGATGATCAACCTGTTAAATGATAGTGTGTATGTGATCGTTTTATATTCACATAGTATGCCACGGGACTATGCTGTAAGTTCAAGGTCAGTTTCAATGTGTAACCCCGTATATAACAGAAAAAAACATGTTGGCTACTCTTGGTTCTTATTGGTGTCCTGTTATCGCAAGACAAGTTGCCCTTATTTGTACAGGGGTATTCCAGTCCTTGATCAAATTAAAAAATGAATATTCAATTTGTTTAATCAACTTTTGTTAGATTAGATATTTGATTTAGTATATATTTCATTTGATGAATATTTTGTTTTATTAGTTAAACATCTTACATAATTTATTTAAGTACAGGATCAACATTGCTTCATGAGTAAGTGACAACTTGGCTTGTTAAAACGCGAACTTTTCTAAACCCTCAGTTGTAAGTTCTTCTATCAAGTATGGAAGCTTATTGTGGGAATTCTTATATTTAGAACATTTCCTAAAATAGCATGTCAAATGCGACATGCAAAATCCAAAGGTTTAGAAAACAGGAATGTTGGTATACTGTATATAGAGATGGAAAGTAAACAATAAATCACTTGAATCATATTACAACTTATATGGTTACGTTGAGGTCAACGGGGTTATTTTCGGTTTCTTCTTTCACATACATAATCAAATTAAAATGAAATTGGAGAGCCAAGTCATGTTATATTCTAATATTAAAAAAAAATCAACATCGCCTGAAAACAAAACAGATCATGGTATGCCAACAGAGAGAGGGAACATAGTTTCATGGTATGCCAAAAGAGAGAGGGGGCATAGTTCCATGGGTATTTGAATTTCGCTCCTAGCCCCGTATTTTCTGTACAAAATGTCACGTTTCTCTATTTGCCATTTTTTATCTGTCTTCTCTTCACAAACTTGACATTTTACATCACAAAGGTAAGTTGCAAACGTTCGAAGTAATCAATAACGTGAACGTAACACACATCAATAATGTAACATTTTCTTTTCACTTGAAAGGTTCATATTGATTGTTCATATGGCATAAACGTCCCGACTTCTATTTTTCTTTCGGGACCGGAAGTGTAACACTTTCTCGTCTCAGAATGCGCTTCATTGGTTCTTTAGAATAGACATATGAGGGAAGCATGATGCATGTAGTCGATTCTAAGCTCTTTTTTCATTTCGGTATGTCTGGTAATACATGTTTATTACATGATACTTTGTAAATATGCTAATGAAAGTCGTCCTTTCAAATTATTCAATTTACATATTCAAACCCATGTAACATTGAGCTTTTTAACGCAATGTGCATCATTGTTTATGGGAGTGTAAAAACTCTTACTGCGTTCCAAACTGCATTTTCATGACAAAAGACAACTATACAACATGCACTCAATGTTAATTATACTCGACTCATCGGTACATTTTAGTAAGTCGTCACATTGACATCAGTTCCGGTTCCTCGTCGATGGCCTCCAATGTCCATTCTGTCTGTTTTGTGCACTGGGAGTTGTTTTCAGGACGAGCAGTTTCGTTAATACCGTTTGATGTGAAACACGCAATGACACTAGACTTGGCGTCTTTTACCTCTGTCATGGGTTTCACGCGTTTGTTTCTGTGCCAAATAAGAATCACAAAACCAACAGTAAATCCCGCAAGTATAATGGCACTGAGAGCTTGTAAGACTAGTTTAACACTGTCATTGGCTTTATGTACAGTCGTCACCACAGCAGGGTAGCCAGACTCAATACCAACACTTAGAACTGCAACCATGCTGCGTCCTTGTGCAGACTGTTCTGTAGCCTAAAACAACAAACAAAAATAACGACAGAAGACAGTTGTAATGCAACGAAGTCAAAGCAATACTGAATGAAAGATTTACTCAGAGACCTTTGGATATTCTGGAAAGGACAAATGATGTGTCTGGAGATCTGACAACTTTGTGAAGTTTACACGAATAATGAAAGGTGTACTTGTTTGACCCTATTTCCATACAGTGGTGAAGCTTGTTAAAATCCGTTGCTGCATAGTAACTGATGCATTTTGGTGTATCTGAGTTGTTGACAGGAAGGATAAGATTATAACACGATCACATATTTCCACCACAGATATGTTGTTTACAATAACTAGAGACAACATAACACACTCCAGGAGAGGGGTGTCATAGAAACACAATAACTAGAGACAACATGACACTCTCTAGGATAGGGATGTCTTAGAAACACAATAACTAGTGACAACATAACACACTCTAAGACAGGATGGTCATCGAAACACAATAACTAGAGACAACATAACACACTCTAGGACAGGGTAGTCATCGAAACACAATAACTAGAGACAACATAACACACTGTAGGACAGGGTAGTCATCGAAACACAATAACTAGAGACAACATAACACACTCTAGGACAGGGTAGTCATTGAAACACAATAACTAGAGACAACATAATACATTCTAGGACAGGGTAGTCATCGAAACACAACAACTAGTGACAACATAACACACTCTAGGACAGGGTAGTCATCGAAATACAATAACTAGAGACAGCATAATACACTCCAGGTAAGGGTAGTCATTGAAACACATTTTCTTATTTGTTGTTATATAAAAAAATCTTTTCTGTCATCACCAGACATATGATAAATAGACAATTTTTTGATATATTATTGACGTCATGTATCTAAATAACAAGAGACATTTTAACCTCTTCCATTATATGTTCCACCAGAAATTGAAATCAAACTCTTTTACATCTGCCGCTTATCTCGATCTTTTTCTAAAATGAAACCATCACGGCCAAGCGTACTGATTTCAACTTCCCTATTGTGAATTTCCATTTCTGGATAGCAACATTTACTCATCCCAAACCTATGGCGTTTATATGTCGTAGTTGTTTCGCTATTCAAAGGTCTGTTCCAATTATCAAGATTTTTGTGTAACTGACATACTCATAACATAAGGTCTCAAAATATGCAGATTAATCAAATAATGAGAAAGCTTTACGGTTGTCATAGTGATCTTATTGAGAAATATTATATTTCTTTGTGCTTTATGAAACTGGACGTTTTTGATGCTTGTGAGTTTGCCAGTTGGTACCGTTGTTGTATACCTTGTCCTCGCTCGAGAACGTGGCATTATTTACATGGATTTATTAAAATTTCCATGACGGATGAAGCAGAAGACGCTTACTCTTTTGGAACACGTGATCGAATTATGCAGGTCCTTTTTATGGAGTGGCTACGTAAATCTTTCGTTTGTTCATATTTTGCCATAGTTTTATTGAACTTGAGTTTGGATTATGACATGTTGCTGTTTTATTGATGGTTTATAACAAAAGTTTACGATCTCTTTTTAGTGTCTAAGACATTGTATCCTCACAGTATTGTGGATTGTTTCTGAAGACAGAGTTTCTGTAATTCTGACCTCAATAATGAAGGTGAACTCCGTTGGATCGTCCGAGGACGTGTGAGATGTCTTGTTTATGGTATTTGTAATCAAGTCCACTGCAAAGAATTTACTGAAATCTTGAGGATTCCCTGCAAAATACGGCGTAGAAAGATTTGTAGCAACATTTGTAAATACCATATCCCATCCTCGATACTCAAAGGGTTAGGATTGCTTTTGATCTTTGAACCCCTAAAACAAATCTCGAGGTCGCATAATGGTATCTTCAAAAGGAGCGTATCAACCTGTGATTGGTAAGTTTTTTCCCGGAACAAATTAAATTGCTTCGCTTGTGCCTTCAAGTTTGCCATGATATGTTCCAGGGTGCAGAAAGCAAAAGTGATCGTAATCCCCGGAATATTGAGGATGATCATGCCCAGACATGGTTGTAAAACCAACAACTTACATGCAATAAAAGACTCAAATCGTTCTGTAAGTTTTGAAAAACAAAAACAAAACAAAAAACCCCATGAAGTTTGGTAATTTTCAAAGGATAAATTTGTGTTAAAAACCTGGGCATGGATATTTTAAAATGTTACCCATTAATACGACATGTCGATTAAATATAATCGATAAAGATTGTTTCTGTGTCACAACTTACCGTGTGAGAACGATAAAAAATATTTCTGTCTCACACCTTACCATGTGAGAACAATAAAGACTGTTTCTTTCTCACACCTTACCATGTAGGAATGATAAAGTAATGTCGTTGTTTGTAATGAAGTCTCCGTCTGTGGCGCATATGCAGCTGGGTTTTGTTGTTAAGGGACCCTGATCATATAAGTACATAATGCATAAGTTGTAATTAATAAATTCGAATAAACCAGAAAATAGAAAAGTGTATACAACAGAATCGTAAGGATTTACAAAGATATCAACGTACAACGAATCTTTATTTTATTGCTACTCTGATGTATTCGTGATTCAAGGAAACTGGCTTCAGACATATACTTACAATGTATTGCTCATGCGCAGAAGCAGTGAAAACCGGAAGAACGCATGTACCAGCAGCCTCTTGACCAAAAGAGGGGCTATTATCGTCGTCGTCGATTATAGTTAAATTCAGCATCGCATTTTCCATCGTTTGGAACTAGAATGAAACCATTATGCTGATGTCAGATGGCATTTATTTAGTTTTTACTGAAATGTATTATGATGCACTTGGGTGTCTTCTCTACAGTTATTGTCACGGAGCTGGATTTGATGGTACCAAGCTCATTTACGATAGTCATCGTTCAACATGTAACTCTTCCACACATCAATGAGTGGACACTTCAATGTGACAATGAGTGGGAGGATATAATACAATCGATTTTCTGTTTAAATATTATCCTTTATCTTCTATGACCATTTTTATGCAGGGTCTTACTGGTGGCGACTTTTTAACACAATCAACCGTCACTTAATAAGAGATCTAAATGTCCACCATGACCTTATTTACATGTTAGAGGCGACGTTTCTATTATCTTATCAAACCATAAACAACCTCACACCCTTATTTAGGAAGTGAACTTATTAACAAATTATTATATATGATGTAGGTAACTATATGAGCTTGAGATTTGTCTGAAAAGAAGTCTTCCAGTATATATGTATTGTAAGTCTTTGTATATTTTACAAGGATTAGGGAAATGCAACATTCTATTATAAAGATGTGAAATTTATGCATTATATTTGTAATTGTTATTTGTATGTATTTGTAGGGTGTTTATTTGGGATTTCACTTATGACTGGAAAATAAAGACTAAAGAACCCTGAGAATGTTTTCCGTTGTATTTCGAGGAAATCAAGTCTATTACATAAAGGTAGTGTACAGATATATATTCATTATGACACACACCCAACATCACACCCTCCATACACTAACATCTCACATATGTACAAAATACCACACACACATACACACACAGACACAACAACACACCCTCCATACACTAAATTCACACATACGTACATAATATCACACACACAAACAACCTCACACCCTCCATACACTAACAGCACACATACGCACATAATACCACACACACACACACACACACCCTCACACTCTCAATACACCAACATCCCACATACGTACATAATACCAAGCACACATACAACCTCACACCCTCCATACACTAACATCACACATTCATACATAATACACACACATACTCACACATATGCATGACCTATAACATGGCCCTTGAGAAACTTTTATATGACTTACATGGTTTTTACAGGAAACTTTTAACTGAATTTCCAGTGTTGTGATATTCTGAAACAAAAGGATATTTCTGTTAGAACAAGATATATGATTTACTTTTAATTGACCTAAATGCCTTGTTAATGGTACTTGGTAAGATGTTCTATTTCCATTGGAACAATCCTGCATTGTATACTTATAATAGTCAAAGGAATAAACTCTACACACATATTTGTAAGTTTTAACATCAAAACATAATTATTTGAACAATTACCACAAGGAATATCGAAGGAATGACGCACTAATTTTTGTGGGTTACCTTAAAGCAACAGATTGTAAAACTACACTAACTGTTGTTGAATACCTAAAGCAATAGATTGTAGATGTAACCATTGTATACAGTAATACAATACATTGTAGATATCACCATTGTATACAGTAATACAATATACTATAGATATCGCCATTGTATACAGTAATACAATACATTGTAGATATCACCATTGTATACAGTAATACAATATATTGTAGATATCACCATTGTATACAGTAATACAATACATTGTAGATATCACCATTGTATACAGTAATACAATACATTGTAGATATCACCATTGTTTACAGTAATACAATACATTGTAGATATCACCATTGTATGTATACAGTAATATAATACATTGTAGATATCACCATTGTATACAGTAATACAATATATTGTAGATATCACCATTGTATACAGTAATATAATACATTGTAGATATCACCATTGTATACAGTAATACAATATATTGTAGATATCACCATTGTATACAGTAATATAATACATTGTAGATATCACCATTGTATACAGTAATATAATACATTGTAGATATCACCATTGTATACAGTAATATAATACATTGTAGATATCACCATTGTATACAGTAATACAATATATTGTAGATATCACCATTGTATACAGTAATATAATACATTGTAGATATCACCATTGTATACAGTAATACAATACATTGTAGATATCACCATTGTATACAGTAATACAATACATTGTAGATATCACCATTGTATACAGTAATACAATACATTGTAGATATCACCATTGTATGTATACAGTAATACAATACATTGTAGATATCACCATTGTATGTATACAGTAATACAATACATTGTAGATATCACCATTGTATGTATACAGTAATACAATACATTGTAGATATCACCATTGTTTACAGTAATACAATATATTGTAGATATCACCATTGTATACAGTAATACAATATATTATAGATATCACCATTGTATACAGTAATACAATATATTGTAGATATCACCATTGTATACAGTAATACAATATATTGTAGATATCACCATTGTATGTATACAGTAATACAATATATTGTAGATATCACCATTGTATGTATACAGTAATACAATATATTGTAGATATCACCATTGTATGTATACAGTAATATAATACATTGTAGATATCACCATTGTATACAGTAATACAATATATTGTAGATATCACCATTGTATACAGTAATATAATACATTGTAGATATCACCATTGTAAACAGTAATACAATATATTGTAGATATCACCATTGTATACAGTAATATAATACATTGTAGATATCACCATTGTATACAGTAATATAATACATTGTAGATATCACCATTGTATACAGTAATATAATACATTGTAGATATCACCATTGTATACAGTAATACAATATATTGTAGATATATATTGTATACAGTAATATAATACATTGTAGATATCACCATTGTATACAGTAATACAATACATTGTAGATATCACCATTGTATGTATACAGTAATACAATATATTGTAGATATCACCATTGTATGTATACAGTAATACAATATATTGTAGATATCACCATTGTATACAGTAATACAATACATTGTAGATATCACCATTGTATACAGTAATACAATATATTGTAGATATCACCATTGTATACAGTAATACAATATATTGTAGATATCACCATTGTATGTATACAGTAATACAATATATTGTAGATATCACCATTGTATGTATACAGTAATACAATATATTGTAGATATCACCATTGTATACAGTAATACAATATACTATAGATATCACCATTGTATGTATACAGTAATATAATATATTGTAGATATCACCATTGTATACAGTAATACAATATATTGTAGATATCACCATTGTATACAGTAATACAATATATTGTAGATATCACCATTGTTTACAGTAATATAATATACTATAGATATCACCATTGTATACAGTAATACAATATATTGTAGATATCACCATTGTATATACAGTAATATAATACATTGTAGATATCACCATTGTATACAGTAATACAATATACTATAGATATCACCATTGTATGCATACAGTAATATAATACATTGTAGATATCACCATTGTATACAGTAATACAATATATTGTAGATATCACCATTGTATGTATACAGTAATATAATACATTGTAGATATCACCATTGTATGTATACAGTAATACAATACATTGTAGATATCACCATTGTATGTATACAGTAATACAATATATTGTAGATATCACCATTGTATATTTGCAGTAATACAATACATTGTAGATATCACCATTGTTTACATTAATACAATACATTGTAGATATCACCATTGTATACAGTAATACAATACATTGTAGATATCACCATTGTATACAGTAATACAATATATTGTAGATATCACCATTGTATACAGTAATACAATATATTGTAGATATCACCATTGTATACAGTAATACAATATATTGTAGATATCACCATTGTATGTATACAGTAATACAATACAATATATTGTAGATATCACCATTGTATACAGTAATACAATATATTGTAGATATCACCATTGTATACAGTAATACAATACATTGTAGATATCACCATTGTATACAGTAATACAATATATTGTAGATATCACCATTGTATACAGTAATACAATACAATATATTGTAGATATCACCATTGTATGTAATACAGTAATACAATATATTGTAGATATCACCATTGTATACAGTAATACAATATACAATACATTGTATAGATATCAATATATTGTAGATATCACCATTGTATACAGTAATACAATATATTGTAGATATCACCATTGTATACAGTAATACAATATATGTAATAGATATCACCATTGTATGTATACAGTAATACAATACATTGTAGATATCACCATTGTATGTATACAGTAATACAATATATTGTAGATATCACCATTGTATACAGTAATACAATATACTGTAGATATCACCATTGTATACAGTAATACAATATATCACCATTGTATGTATACAGTAATACAATACATTGTAGATATCACCATTGTATACAGTAATACAATATATTGTAGATATCACCATTGTATGTATACAGTAATACAATACATTGTAGATATCACCATTGTATACAGTAATACAATATATTGTAGATATCACCATTGTATGTATACAGTAATACAATATATTGTAGATATCACCATTGTATGTATACAGTAATACAATATATTGTAGATATCACCATTGTATATACAGTAATACAATATATTGTAGATATCACCATTGTATACAGTAATACAATATATTGTAGATATCACCATTGTATACAGTAATACAATATATTGTAGATATCACCAGTAATACAATATATTGTAGATATCACCATTGATATTGTAGATATCACCATTGTAATACAATATATTGTAGATATCACCATTGTATATCACCATTGTGTATACAGTAATACAATATATTGTAGATATCACCATTGTATACAGTAATACAATATACTGTAGATATCACCATTGTATACAGTAATATACAATATATATCACCATTGTTTACAGTAGATATCACCAATGTATACAGTAATACAGTAATACAATATATTGTAGATATCACCATTGTATACAGTAATACAATATATTGTAGATATCACCATTGTATACAGTAATACAATATATTGTAGATATCACCATTGTATGTTATACAGTAATACAATATATTGTAGATATCACCATTGTATACAGTAATACAATATATTGTAGATATATGTATACAGTAATACAATATATTGTAGATATCACCATTGTATGTATACAGTAATATGTATTGTATGTATACAGTAATATAATGTATTGTAGATATCACCATTGTATACAGTAATATAATACATTGTAGATATCACCATTGTATACAGTAATACAATATTGTAGATATCACCATTGTATACAGTAATACAATGTATTGTAGATATCACCATTGTATACAGTAATATAATACATTGTAGATATCACCAATACAGTAATACAATACATTGTAGATATCACCATTATATGTTTACAGTAATACAATATATTGTAGATATCACCATTGTATACAGTAATATAATATACTGTAGATATCACCATTGTATACAGTAATACAATGTATTGTAGATATCACCATTGTATACAGTAATATAATACATTGTAGATATCACCATTGTATACAGTAATACAATACATTGTAGATATCACCATTGTATACAGTAATACATTGTATATCACCAATATACTGTAGATATCACCATTGTATACAGTAATACAATATATTGTAGATATCACCATTGTATACAGTAATACAATATACTATATATATCGCCATTGTATACAGTAATTAAATACATTGTATATATCACCATTGTATACAGTAATACAATACATTGTAGATATCACCATTGTATACAGTAATACAATATATTGTATATATCACCAATGTATGTTTACAGTAATACAATATATTGTATATATCACCATTGTATACAGCAATACAATACATTTTAGATATCACCATTGTATACAGTAATACAATATACTGTAGATATCACCATTGTATACAGTAATACAATATACTATAGATATCACCATTGTATGTATACAGTAATACAATATATTGTAGATATCACCATTGTATGTATACAGTAATACAATACATTGTAGATATCACCATTGTATACAGTAATACAATATATTGTAGATATCACCATTGTATACAGTAATACAATATATTGTAGATATCACCATTGTATGTTTACAGTAATACAATATATTGTATATATCACCATTGTATACAGCAATACAATACATTTTAGATATCACCATTGTATACAGTAATACAATATACTGTAGATATCACCATTGTATACAGTAATAAAATATACTATAGATATCACCATTGTATGTATACAGTAATACAATACATTGTAGATATCACCATTGTATGTATACAGTAATACAATATATTGTAGATATCACCATTGTATGTATACAGTAATACAATATATTGTAGATATCACCATTGTATACAGTAATACAATACATTGTAGATATCACCATTGTATACAGTAATACAATATATTGTAGATATCACCATTGTATACAGTAATACAATATATTGTAGATATCACCATTGTATGTATACAGTAATACAATATATTGTAGATATCACCATTGTATGTATACAGTAATACAATATATTGTAGATATCACCATTGTATGTATACAGTAATACAATATATTGTAGATATCGCCATTGTATACAGTAATACAATACATTGTAGATATCACCATTGTATACATTGTATACAGTAATACAATATATTGTAGATATCACCATTGTATACAGTAATACAATACATTGTAGATATCACCATTGTATACAGTAATACAATATATTGTAGATATCACCATTGTATACAGTAATACAATATATTGTAGATATCACCATTGTATTTATACAGTAATACAATATATTGTAGATATCACCATTGTATGTATACAGTAATACAATATACTGTAGATATCGCCATTGTATACAGTAATACAATATACTGTAGATATCACCATTGTATACAGTAATACAATACATTGTAGATATCACCATTGTATACAGTAATACAATATATTGTAGATATCACCATTGTATACAGTAATACAATATACTATATATATCACCATTGTATACAGTAATACAATATATTGTAAATATCACCATTGTATACAGTAATACAATATATTGTAAATATCACCATTGTATACAGTAATACAATATACTGTAGATATCACCATTGTATACAGTAATACAATATATTGTAGATATCACCATTGTATGTATACAGTAATACAATATACTGTAGATATCGCCATTGTATACAGTAATACAATATACTGTAGATATCACCATTGTATGTATACAGTAATACAATATATTGTAGATATCACCATTGTATGTATACAGTAATACAATATATTGTAGATATCACCATTGTATACAGTAATACAATATACTATAGATATCACCATTGTATACAGTAATACAATATACTATAGATATCACCATTGTATACAGTAATACAATATACTATAGATATCACCATTGTATACAGTAATACAATACATTGTAGATATCACCATTGTATGTATACAGTAATACAATACATTGTAGATATCACCATTGTATGTATACAGTAATACAATATATTGTAGATATCACCATTGTATACAGTAATACAATATACTATAGATATCACCATTGTATACAGTAATACAATATACTATAGATATCACCATTGTATACAGTAATACAATACATTGTAGATATCACCATTGTATACAGTAATACAATATATTGTAGATATCACCATTGTATGTATACAGTAATACAATACATTGTAGATATCACCATTGTATACAGTAATACAATATATTGTAGATATCACCATTGTATAAAGTAATACAATATATTGTAGATATCACCATTGTTTACAGTAATACAATATATTGTAGATATCACCATTGTATACAGTAATATAATACATTGTAGATATCACCATTGTATGTATACAGTAATACAATACATTGTAGATATCACCATTGTTTACAGTAATACAATATATTGTAGATATCACCATTGTATGTATACAGTAATACAATACATTGTAGATATCACCATTGTATTCAGTAATACAATATATTGTAGATATCACCATTGTATGTATACAGTAATACAATGTATTGTAGATATCACCATTGTATACAGTAATATAATACATTGTAGATATCACCATTGTATGTATACAGTAATACAATACATTGTAGATATCACCATTGTATACAGTAATACAATATACTATAGATATCACCATTGTATACAGTAATACAATGTATTGTAGATATCACCATTGTATACAGTAATATAATACATTGTAGATATCACCATTGTATACAGTAATACAATATATTGTAGATATCACCATTGTATGTATACAGTATAATACAATATATTGTAGATATCACCATTGTATACAGTAATACAATATACTATAGATATCACCATTGTATACAGTAATATAATACATTGCAGATATCACCAATGTATACAGCAATACAATACATTGTAGATATCACCATTGTATACAGTAATACAATATACTATAGATATCACCATTGTATACAGTAATATAATACATTGTAGATATCACCATTGTATACAGTAATATAATACATTGTAGATATCACCAATGTATACAGCAATACAATATATTGTAGATATCACCATTGTATACAGTAATACAATACATTGTAGATATCACCATTGTATACAGTAATACAATATATTGTAGATATCACCAATGTATATTTGCAGTAATACAATGCAGAAAATCTGATTAGAAACATTCATCGTGTATAATAGTACCGCGGGAATATTTATGTCTCTCTGTAGAGGGTTTTTATAGGATGTTTTAGAATATTTATGACCGTGGTATTGCTAATATCTTATACAAACATTAGATAACATGGAGACACTTGCCGTATTAAGGTAGACAGTCTCGACGTCCAATGTTTGCTGTAGTTCTAGTATTTCGTCGGTGTTGTTTCTGTTAAATCTGAAATATCCGTCCAACCTATTCACAAGCTCAAAAGGATGGCTGATAGTGACATCAAACGTCAGCGAGGCGTTGGTCGTCAGAGACAAAATGCATGTTCCTGAAAGTTTTGTTCAAGATACAAAAGTGATTCACACATTTCAATGCAAATACAGTACGTTCATATTAGGTACAATTTATAGCAACTGATAAACTACACTGCAACATATAACTGTATAATCACTTTAGGACCGACCAGTGTTGAAATCGATAATGATTTTTAAAAATCAAAAACGATAAAACTATTCTATGCAACAGTCGATTCAATTAACAAACATCGTAAATATTAAAAAAAAAAAAAATTCAGAGTGTCAGGTAAATGTGTGTTATTGTGTAGGTATTGGACGTCAATCTATGGAAACATGATGATATTTTTAATTCATGTGCATGGTTGTTCTTAATTTATTATTTAGCTCTGGGGTATATAATTCCAAACTTGTATTGAATGGTGCTAACGTTAGTGTATCTTTTGTTAAGTGCACGAATTACCTGCCGGGTCGGTCTCGTAGACGCATGCGGGTATGATTTGTGCAAAAGCATCGGAGCATGTGTGGGCAATGCTTTGACCTGTAGGGAATTAAGTAACATAATTACATAGACTTGTAATAAATGGAAAAAAGGAAAAAAAACATTCGTGTAGTTACTCTGATAACAGATACATTATCTATAATATAAAACATGTTACGAATGTTTAACCTTTTTAACATGCAATGTATCTCAGATCATCGCGCTTCAAAAATCATGTAAATCATTAAACGTATTTAGAAATTAAAATCTAAAGTAAAAAAAAAAAGTTTTTGAGTTCGTTTATCATTGTTTTATATGTGAATAAACCTTACGACCAGATAGAATACCTGTAGTGTCACATCTGTGCGAACACGTGGTGGACGTGGCAGGCCCGGGAGCTGTTGACAAAGAAGTATACTGAATTACATAAATACGAATACAAATCAGTTGATTAAAAAACTTTTAAAAATATCAGAGCTGGAGACATAAATTCACAGCTTTACTTTCATTAATTCCTTTTAACACTCACATTTTTATTGACCAAGCAACACCAAAACACAAAACTAATTGAAGGTATCGCTACCAGATGAATACCTCTATTTACAGATAGAAGTGATAATCTCGATGAAGGCACTCACGACGGCATTGTAATTTAAGTTTTCTTCGTTGTGGAAGATGATGTAAAACCAAGTATTCTAAATCAACACTTGATGGTTTGTGCAATGATAAATACAATGGATTTCATCATAGGTATTCAATAGGGTTTGACAGGATGAGTCATGTTACAAATGATGTTTATAATCGATATATATTCACAATAAAACAATACATTACACCATATCACCCACGTTAGGTACAAATCCCAGACAAGCACACTCTTTCCTACACCTTGATCTATGTTGTGGGACCATAGTGTTTCTCCGTATACAATGCACACAATACAATTCTATAGAAATATGTTTAAAGCATTGCACGAAGAACAAAGTGTTCAGGTTAAACTTTACAAATGGAGAAAAGATCGTTAGGCAAACCACTTGAACACGGAAAGTTGAATCGTGTAATGTCTAGCTTCTGCTAGTCTGCTACATAACCGCTACACAGTTAACAACGATTTATTAATCAAATGGTACCCTATTTAAAATAGTTGGTTTATATCTACTCAACAAAGCAAATAAAATCGGAGATGTTACGAAATATCTGCAAACAACAGGAAATTGTATTGAGTGTCAACGATCCCAGATGAAATAAAATGTTTCAGCACGGAAAAGTTTGAAAAAAAGATAATTTCACAGTCAAGATAGTAGTAACAGTCAGTGTTACTTTTGTATTGTACTCAGGGCTAAGATAAGAAAATATAAGCAGGTATATGTTGTGCTAATATTCGTGTCCAGCAGGACAAATGGTATGTCGTGATCTTAGTTTAGGGATATCCCTTGAACATGTCTTAAAGCCACAACAAATTCAACAAGCATCAATATTATTATGAAAGTTCTTCCTCCTTTTTAGTACAAGGTATTCGACAGGCTGCTGGTCGCTCTGCTGTGTAAGAATGAAAACGCTTGCATTTCTGAAAAAAATGGTTTGCTCTAGACGATTCTATTCCACGTAACGATAAAAAGAAGTTGTAAATCAAAACAAACAGCATCCAAACACATCTGGATCTTTTATCCTTCTACTCACCAACATTTGTCGTTTTAAAATACAATGCTTTACAATCAATTAATGTTCGCAGGACATCTACCCATTAATGATTAAATTATCGTTTAATCCAAACTCGGAACAAACGCAGCACCAGGTGATGAATTAACACCTACATCACAATATTAATTATTGTTGTATTCAATTGACACTTTCTTCTGATTTAAAGTTTCACATTAATTCATTTTTTGGATAAGCCGAATGTGTCGTTGATATTTTCTTTTGTCGTTATGTAATTTTTAACTTACCAAAATGCACAAAGAAGATAACAAATAATGTGTACTGTTGATCTCCCATTGGTGTGTTGACACTCTCCACAGGTCTGATTCGGTCGGAATCTCGGGTACAAAACTTCCAACTGTATTAAGTTAACCATTTTATCGCATGTTTCTCGAAGCTGGTTTGTTCCCCGTTCTCGCCTGATTTGTACGCCAACCTCATTAATCAGCGATATGCTGAACTAAACAACACAAATCAGTACGAACGAGATATTACAGGACTATATAAATGACGCCTTTCACGGTATGTCACATTCAAAACGAATATAAGTCCACCACGTATGCGTGGTTCTTCAACTGGTCACGTGTAGGAACTCCCATTTAAACATGATCACTGTCTACCTAAACAGAGTACAATTTTCTGTTACACTATAAGTAATCTGTATGAATAATTTTTAGATACAAATTTCTGTATGGAACTCCGGGGTGATCATTCGCGTCATGCATGGCAACACAACGCTGCAATGTTTATGGTGTTAGATGTGCATGATATCCGTTCCGTCAACTGCAGGTCCGGGGATTTGTGTCTCCCCTGATAGAACTAGGAATATACTGTCACTGAAAATCAATCACATGGAAATAGCAGCAATAATTACTGTTTGGAGATATAATTGATAAGTATATATACACTACATTTTAAAGGTGGCATGGTTTTCATTCATTCATTACCATTGGTCGATAGAGTTAAGCCAATGTGTTGAATTAAAATCTCTTATAATCAATATATTTCTTTCACAAACGGAAATAAGCTTCAAATAAAATTCAATACCTGTTCGCAAAGCAAAACTAGACCAATGCTGTACAAAGCCTATATACACGGATGTGTTAGCGGAGTTCATTGTTCTATTAAAATGACATAAGAATAGAGTTTTGTTTCACTGTATGTTTAATGACCTCGTTAAACAATAATGGAATCAAATGAACAAGGTGTCATCCCATTGGACCTTTTCTAACTGTAAGCAAAATGAGAGTACCTTGGGTTGTCTCATCTCTGATCGGGCACGCCTATCTTGTAAAAGGCTACAAATCAATCAACAGAAAAAACAGGCCTCTAATAACGTCACCATATCACAAAACTGGAATAGATTATACCGACAAAAATCCTAAGCAAACATGAAATTCACTATTTCGTTATGTTGACAGTAACTTTATTTTGTGAAGTCGCAATTGAATCAATCGTATCTAAAGCCAAGAAGCTGCCCTAGTTTGGTTCTGACATTTGAATTAATTGAAATATACATACCGGTGTTACCAAATATATGTTCAAACACGGTATAAATGAGACTGCTATCAGAGAGCGCCAAAATAGACCACGATAACTAAAATCTCGCAAATAATTCACGGCTTATTTTCTTTAGTAATGAGCAACTTCATCAACTTCATGTTTATTTATGCAAGAAACTACAGGTTTATTTCCAGGATAGGTTTTTTGCGGTCGGCTTGTTTTGATCACACCTTAAAACATGGAAAATTTACAGTTAAAGCATATGATATAATTAAAATTGAAGACCATCCCTTATTAAACAGGTCTTCGACTTCAATCAGAATGAAACTAAAAATAAAATAGCTGAAATCACATTGGATAACTTTGATACTGTGTTATTAGTTATCCGAGATGTCACTCTCAAGCTTCGTCTTATTGGTCTCCTTTTCTTCCGACATCAATAGACAACATTAAAAACATCTCCCGACTCGGTTCACGATTTCAGCAAGAAATTCAACAAGTTGATTATACGTACGTCTTACTAAGAAATAGGTTTTTCATAGGGAGAAATAAAAATACATATCTTAAGGCTTTGAAATTTTGATATCGTGCAATCTTAAATACGAAACTTCAAAAACATTGACAGGTGTTTACGAAATACTATATGCACAGAAAAAATCTGTTTTGGGAGAGACTTTTTAATAAGATACGGTAAGTCCAGGGATATTTCACGTCAGAAAAGAATGAATAAAAAAAAAAAAATAAAAACCTTACATTATTCTTATATCGAAGAATAATCAAATGATACACAAGTCAATAGTACCTTTAGACGATAATAAAGAGTTAGAGTAGAGCAGAACAATTAATAAGAATATAACATACAGCTGTTCGTTCTTCTAGGACTCGACATTGACGCAAGGGGCCTAAATCTGGAAGTAGTCGACTGAAGAAAATCCAAAGTGATCGAAAGAAAAGTCACAATCCAGACGAGGAGGTGGACTAGCCTCATAATTTAAAAAACTTTCGTAATTGAGATAAACAAACACGTAAGACATGTATTTAATGGTGTATATTATTTTGTCTACCAAAGACAACAGAATATTTGTCCGTATTCTAGGATTCTTAAAACGACCACATTAATGCTAACATTTAAGGCTAACACAACTAGAAAGTCTACATCATCGTCACAAAAAACGTTTTAATGTCTTCACATTGTGTAACGCGAAGTAAATTGTGACGTAATATTTGTAGCAACGTTATACAAATTGCTAACTTATTTGAATCATTTTATACAATAGCCAATTATATCGCAAAGTTTACATGGAAAATGTACGTGTTTAATATACTCTGTCAGTTGTCCATGCACATTACAGGAATCATTACTGAGGTGTGAGCGCCCAGAGATGGAGAAATCCTCGGAACACTGATGATGGCAGAGTGTTTGCAAAGTGACGCGGAAAAACTACTTGTCTCCACCATTCATAGTGAAAGGTTAAGTGTCCTCCGTGAGATTGTGTCATCCATCATAACAAAAAACACGTGCTATGACAGTGTGGAATCCGCGGTATAGCGGGCGGCCTACAGATGCCGGCATGGTGTGGATACAGAAGCATGTGTATCAGACTTAAACACAGCTACCATCACTAATCGCTCAAATATACACATAAAGCTCTACTCTGATTTGTCATCAAACGTATTCTTTATTACACCTTTCTATAGTGAATAAGATATTTACTATGACGTCATGCAATCAGTTGCACATCATCAGGAAGTCATAAATGTTCATTTGTTACATAAAGAAATTCATTAAAGTCAAACGGCCACTTTCTGGCAATGTTAGGCATATTTTGGGGTTTTCTTAGCGTGTCTCTTACTCAAATACTTGAGCAAGGTTCTGAGCATTTTGCAGATATTGATGGTGGAAACATAGAACTCAGGAGCGATAGCGATGTTACAAAATGATTCCTAAATAAACACAAATGAAACTATCCAATCTAACGAAACACGTTGAGTTGATCTATATTTATGACACCAGCCTACTAGCGTCTCGTGATATTTTGAGTATTTCTGTACCGCGGGACAAATGAAGTGAAGTAAGATTCAATACAATGAGGTAATGATGAATCTTTTACAATCCATATTTTCTATATCTATACATATTTATATGTGTAACTGTCACACCTGGTTTATTGATGCATGTGTTCAATACTGTTGACATAGAGTTATATCTACAGCAGACATTTTTTGAAGAAAATCAATGAAATGTAAATAAGTAATAATTATGAGGCTGAAAATAGGAACACGTCATACGTTCTGTTTCTAGGCATTATGAGCTGTCATTTGTAATATTGATCTTTGCGTGTCAACTTGGTGGTATGCGTATGCCAGCAAACTTGTGTAGGACAACAAAACGGTTATTTCTCCTGTTTCCTTTAACACGAAAAGAGAGAAAAACTGGCTAAATATGACCCGCTAAAAAGAAGAACAGGAAGAATTGTTCCACGCCTGAAGAAAAAGTAGCGTGGTACTGAATTGCAACAAACCCAGAAGAATAAGCCTGGAAAATGAGATTGTGGTATCGAAAGTATTATCACTGGAAGTATCTGAAGGACTTTTGATAAGCTCCAGCAAAATTGTCGATACTTGTCAGTTAAAAATATAACAGTAGTCCTCATCCTGCTGTCACCTATCACAAAAGTGCACAAACCTGAAGAAGATGTGTACCTGGACTAGGCTTGGCTTAGCTACCGTGTCAGAACCGGACGTCTTGGCCGCGATATTTTCACAAAGTAGGAAACAATGATGTAAACAGATTCTCAGTTTATTCACAACACCAAGTATCGTTGTTAGGAAACCGACAAAGTCACAAAAATGCATTTATAAGACGTGGAAAATGTGGAAAAAGACATATTGGAAGACTTCAGTGTTCTTATTCCGCAGCAAAACGATCCCGTTAGATTGTCACACTATCATATGGTATACACTAATTCTTTACGCGGGGGAAACCTTATATAGAGTTCTTACTTGTGATGTACAATTCATTTGGACAACTTATGTTTTTTCTAGAGCTCTCACGGCAACACTTAAAGAACATCCTTGTTCCTTCTCTAGAGCTTCAATTGCAAGCATTTCCTGATATCAATATTACGTAATGTTTTGAATAGATTTCCCTAGCAGTTACCAAATAGATATTGTAACCAAATGTACACTGATTATACAAGAGTACACTGTCTACATAAGTGAACACTGATTATACAAGAGTACACTGTCTACATAAGTGAACACTGATTATACAAGAGTACACTGTCTACATAAGTGAACACTGATTATACAAGAGTACACTGTCTACATAAGTGAACACTGATTATACAAGAGTACACTGTCTACATAAGTGAACACTGATTATACAAGAGTACACTGTCTACATAAGTGAACACTGATTATACAAGAGTACACTGTCTACATAAGTGAACACTGATTACATAAGAGTACACTGTCTACATAAGTGAACACTGATTATACAAGAGTACACTGTCTACATAAGTGAACACTGATTATACAAGAGTACACTGTCTACATAAGTGAACACTGATTATACAAGAGTACACTGTCTACATAAGTGAACACTGATTATACAAGAGTACACTGTCTACATAAGTGAACACTGATTATACAAGAGTACACTGTCTACATAAGTGAACACTGATTATACAAGAGTACACTGACAACATAAGAGTACACTGATAACATAAGAGTACACTGATAACAAAAGTACACTGACAACATAAGAGTACACTGATAGCAAAAGTACACTGATTATATAAGAGTACACTGGTTACATAAGAGTAGTCTTCTTACCAAAATCAGCACCAAACAGTACACCCGGCACTTAACTCAAAACCAAAGACTACACCAAAAGGTACACTGATGGTATAATCAGTACCAATCTCAGCACCAATGGTACACTCAATACCAAAGAGTACACTCAATAGCAAGGAGTACACTCAATAGCAAGGAGTACACTCAATGCCAAAGAGTACACTCAATAGCAAAGAGTACACTCAATAGCAAGGAGTACACTCAATAGCAAGGAGTACACTCAATAGCAAGGAGTACACTCAATGCCAAAGAGTACACTCAATAGCAAAGAGTACACTCAATAGCAAGGAGTACACTCAATGCCAAAGAGTACACTCAGTAGCAAAGAGTACACTCAATGCCAAAGAGTACACTCAATAGCAAAGAGTACACTCAATAGCAAGGAGTACACTCAATAGCAAGGAGTACACGCAATGCCAAAGAGTACACTCAATAGCAAAGATTACACTCAATAGCAAGGAGTACACTCAATAGCAAGGAGTACACTCAATGCCAAAGAGTACACTCAATAGCAAAGAGTACACTCAATAGCAAGGAGTACACTCAATAGCAAGGAGTACACTCAATGCCAAAGAGTACACTCAATAGCAAGGAGTACACTCAATAGCAAGGAGTACACTCAATGCCAAAGAGTACACTGAGTAGCAAAGAGTACACTCAATGCCAAAGAGTACACTCAATAGCAAAGAGTACACTCTATAGCAAGGAGTACACTCAATGCCAAAGAGTACACTCAATAGCAAAGAGTACACTCAATAGCAAGGAGTACACTCAATAGCAAAGAGTACACTCAATAGCAAGGAGTACACTCAGTAGCAAAGAGTACACTCAATAGCAAGGAGTACACTCAATAGCAAAGAGTACACTCAATGCCAAAGAGTACACTCAATAGCAAGGAGTACACTCAATAGCAAAGAGTACACTCAATAGCAAGGAGTACACTCAATACCAAAGAGTACACTCAATAGCAAGGAGTACACTCAATAGCAAAGAGTACACTCAATAGCAAGGAGTACACTCAATACCAAAGAGTACACTCAATATCAAGGAGTACACTCAATGCCAAAGAGTACACTCAATAGCAAAGAGTACACTCAATAGCAAAGAGTACACTCAGTAGCAAAGAGTACACTCAATAGCAAGGAGTACACTCAATAGCAAAGAGTACACGCAGTAGCAAAGAGTACACTCAATAGCAAAGAGTACACTCAATACCAAAGAGTACACTCAATAGCAAGGAGTACACTCAATAGCAAGGAGTACACTCAGTATCAAAGAGTACACTCAATAGCAAAGAGTACACGCAGTAGCAAAGAGTACACTCAATAGCAAAGAGTACACTCAGTAGCAAAGAGTACACTCAATAGCAAAGTGTACACTCAATAGCAAGGAGTACACTCAATGCCAAAGAGTACACTCAATAGCAAAGAGTACACGCAGTAGCAAAGAGTACACTCAATAGCAAAGAGTACACTCAATAGCAAAGAGTACACTCAATAGCAAAGAGTACACTCAGTAGCAAAGAGTACACTCAATAGCAAGGAGTACACTCAATAGCAAATAGTACACTCAATACCAAAGAGTACCATTCTAATATCTAAGATTAAACTCCACACGGAAAAGCTATTCGATACCAAAAAGAACACACAATACGGAAGAGTATACTCAGTACCCAAGCATACGCCCAATACCAAAGATCAGTCACTATAAGACTTTGTATACCAGATTTTTCTGTCCTGGACTAATTAGCCATTAGCCAATAGACATCTATATCAAGTTTCTCTGTTCTAGGCTCTGCCATTAGCCACTAGACATTTATACCACATATGTCTGTCCTTGATTCGGATATCAGAAAGTTGGCTTGATGATAACCGTAAATGAAATTATTAGGCAACGTGAATTTGTCAACATCGTATATATGGAAATATGCGTCAGTACAAACCCTCCCTTGCTATCAGCACACACTAAACCAATCAAAACTGGCTAGCTCCCGTACTTCCCTTATCTCCTCCACCTAGGTTACCTGGATTTACCTGTAGGCTAATCAAGGGGACACGTACCTGGGTTAACATTTATCAAGCAAACACACTACGTTGATTTCCAGTCGTCCGCCATTACGAGTGGTTTATCAAAGAACACTAAAAAAGAGGAATGGTGTGTTATATATTGTTGAATTCCTCCCGCTGACATCTTGGCAACATGCCGCCTTATCGAAAAGTATGAACTGGTTCCTAAGCTCCCTACCACGGACACAGAACCATAGAGTCTTCTAAACATACACCCAAGTTTAGCGGGTAACATTTTGGATAAACTGATTTGGAACCTTCGGAAAGACACAGGAATATTTCTGACAGAATCGTCAAAGTGACCAGTATCAAACACAGATTGTTGTATTGGCAGGTAGGACTTTTCTGTGACGTCATTCATATTTGATGCAAATCAATATTCAAATAACTTATGCACGAAAACAATAATTGACACTTCATTCTAGAAAAAAAAACATAATTTGAAACGTTTTATTTTATTTCCCACGGAAGGAATCAGCTTATGAAAACAAATTTCCTTTCCTACATCATTTTCATGATTAATTACATGATATATCGAGATGTATATGAAACAGATTTGTATGTGAGTTTATGTTAAGAATGAATGATTTTAAATTACAGATTACCTAGTAAAATAATAAGCGCATTTAGCGACTTTACGATGAGGAAGTGAATAAAATATGTTGATTATAAAAAGCAAATCGAAATTTTGTCAGTAACATCAGGAAAACTAACAGATTAAACAACATAATACAGGGAAAATATATATATATACTAATAAGTGGCATCGTTAGAAATAATCTGACAATAGTTCCAAAGCGAAAGTGTATGTTATTATATTTTACATTACCAAATTTGGACATCATCATCAAAATCCGACAATATTTACACTATACACCAAATATATATCTTACATCATCAAAATCCGATAATATTTACACTATACACCAAATATATATCACACATCATCAAAATCCGACAATATTTACACCATACACCATATATATCTTACATCATCAAAATCCGACAATATTGACACCATACACCATATATATCTTACATCATCAAAATCCGACAATATTTACACCATACACCAAATATATATCTTACATCATCAAAATCCGACAATATTTACACCAAACACCATATATATCTTACATCATCAAAATCCGACAATATTTACACCATACACCATATATATCTTACATCATCAAAATCCGACAATATTTACACCATACACCATATATATCTTACATCATCAAAATCCGACAATATTTACACCAAACACCATATATATCTTACATCATCAAAATCCGACAATATTTACACCATACACCATATATATCTTACATCATCAAAATCCGACAATATTTACACCATACACCATATATATCTTACATCATCCAAATCCGATAATATTTACACCATACACCATATATATCTTACATCATCAAAATCCGACAATATTTACACCATACACCATATATATCTTACATCATCAAAATCCGATAATATTTACACCATACACCATATATATCTTACATCATCAAAATCCGACAATATTTACACCATACACCATATATATCTTACATCATCAAAATCCGACAATATTTACACCATACACCATATATATCACACATCATCAAAATCCGACAATATTTACACCATACACCATATATATCTTACATCATCAAAATCCATATATACAATATTTACACCATACACCATATATATCTTACATCATCAAAATCCGACAATATTTACACCATACACCATATATATCTTACATATCCAAATCCATACACCATATATAATATTTATACCATACACCATATATATCTTACATCATCAAAATCCGACAATATTTACACCATACACCATATATATCTTACATCATCAAAATCCGATAATATTTACACCATACACCATATATATCTTACATCATCAAAATCCGACAATATTTACACCATACACCATATATATCTTACATCATCAAAATCCGATAATATTTACACCATACACCATATATATCACACATCATCAAAATCCGACAATATTTACACCATACACCATATATATCTTACATCATCAAAATCCGATAATATTTACACCATACACCATATATATCTTACATCATCAAAATCCGACAATATTTACACCATACACCATATATATATATATCTTACATCATATATATCAAAATCCGATAATATTTACACCATACACCATATATATCACACATCATCAAAATCCGACAATATTTACACCATACACCATATATATCACATCATCAAAACCATATATATACACCATATATATCTTACATCATCAAAATCCGACAATATTTACACCATACACCATATATATCTTACATCATCAAAATCCGACAATATTTACACCATACACCATATATATCTTACATCATCAAAATCCGACAATATTTACACCATACACCATATATATCTTACATCATCAAAATCCGATAATATTTACACCATACACCATATATATCTTACATCATCAAAATCCGACAATATTTACACCATACACCATATATATCTTACATCATCAAAATCCGACAATATTTACACCATACACCATATATATCACATATTTACACCATACACCATATATATCTTACATCATCAAAATCCGACAATATTTACACCATACACCATATATATCTTACATCATCAAAATCCGACAATATTTACACCATACACCATATATATCTTACATCATCAAAATCCGACAATATTTACACCATACACCATATATATCTTACATCATCAAAATCCGACAATATTTACACCATACACCATATATATCTTACATCACACATCAAAATCCGACAATATTTACACCATACACCATATATATCTTACATATATCTTACATCATCAAAATCCGACAATATTTACACCATACACCATATATATCACACATCATCAAAATCCGATAATATTTACACCATACACCATATATATCTTACATCATCAAAATCCGACAATATTAACACTATACACCATATATAACATTAAAATTGGCTAATGTTAACTATGGTATCTACATAATCTACTCCGAGCAACATCAACATACAATGACAATTACCACATACAGTAGTATAGGATTATATATTATACAGAAATATAAAAATAATAAACTTATAGATAAAGGACCATTACCCCAAGGATCAATAAAACATAAGAGCATCTATTATAATATGAACGTAACATTCTAAAACAAAGGCCTACAGCAAATATTTTATGATCGACCAAAAAAGTGGAATATTATTTTCACTATTATATCCTTATTCTTCCAATCATTCCGGCAGAGACCGTCCAGGAACACTCGGAACAGGGTATTGACATAGTATTACTGGTTAGATCTCCAAGTGACAACGATGGTGAAACTATCACCGCTACAAATAGCACTTAGGTTGTTTCACCCCAGAGTCAGGTACTTGTATATATAATAGACGTCTGCTTGAAGAGCATGACTGTTGAGAGATAAGACAAATAGAAATCCATATAAACAATTTTACGACCAAACCTACAGATTTAGTGTGTGAAGTTAATCCAGAGTTAAGATAAATGTTTACGTCCTTGTTCTGATTAGGTAGGGCCCCTGTAACCATTCAACACAACTTGAGATTATATTATTCCACTTAGATAAACATCATTCCAAGTTAATTTTTTTGACACCTTTCGATAATCATTTAACGGAAGGTTTAAGACTAATGATGTTTTATATAACTATGTTCAATTTTCGCATCAGTTTAATTTTCAATTTTCTCAGCGTTTTTTTTCGTTAGTTTTCGCATGATCAATTCATCCAGCATTTTTCTCAACACGTTTCTCATGATCAATTTAACCATCAGTTTTCTCATGAATGTTTTCATGCCCAACTTACTCATTAATTTGCAAACTGTTTATATTCTATAATTCGGTTGAATGCTGACCTGATATGCAGCTATTTCATTAATTCTGCTATAAAAACAATGTGAAAATGTACGATCCATTGTGTAGCTTGATGTGATGTACATTTTTTAGTATCGTCTCTCGTGGTGACTATTAAAGATCTTGTTAGAGAGAACATATACTTCCGTAAAGGCATATTTCAATATGACTGTCAACATTTTGTTTTGTTTTTGAAATATGGAAACTAGTAGAGGAATTAAAAATGTAGGTTAAGCAATTGAAAGGTTCCCTTTATTCCAAATACATTAACCCCATAGGGCAGTATAAGGGGACGATTTTATTAGCTAGTGCAAATCCTACTTTTAAACACCGAGCTGTATGTGTCAAGTACATGCCGTATCGATGTTTACCTTCAAGTATCAATCGACCAACAATAGCGAGATAAAACAGCCGAAATAACTACTCCCTGAACTTGTCACATCCGATAAGCTTACAAAGCTTATAAGATTTCAGGTCTGTATCTTTAAAAAGGATCTCTTGCAGATAAATTGTTTCCGTAAATATTACCAATAAAATTTGACTTCAATTTATATAATCTAATAATTCGCTAGATCAGTAACAAGTCAAGGCGTAATTTTGTTTATATATTAAACAAGACGTGCGTCAACATGAATTCCGCTTGTTCGGTGTAGATTTGTCCTTACTGTGCACATAGGCTGCACCATGGTACAATACAAACAAAAAAATTAGATTTATTACAATATTTACTTAATGACGATACAATTTTGAAATATTATCATTACAGGAATTTAGATTTAAACGATACATTGGTTTTCCATTATTTCGAGATAAGTTTATAAATCATAATAAAGGAATGTTCTATATCTTAAGTCACTTCATTACAGGGTAGCAATGGAAAAATGTACTCCACGTGCTTTTCTTAATTTCAAGCGAAAACATTAGATACATGTACGTATGAAACTTGGAACTGTTTTGTTCTTTTGTTGTAAGGGTCGAATTTGGATTAAATATTACAAGGCTGGCGGGAAATCAATCTATGATTTATTGCTTTTCGTCAATCAACTGTCTGTTATGAAAATATCAAACAAATATGTTTATGATTAAATTCTGTATTTCGCTAATTACATACGTTTTGTCATAATTGTGGAATTCCTATGAGTTGTAAACATGTAATACTGTTGTTTATAGCTGTAGCGGCGTTTACACCTGCTAATCGATGTCTGGTATCTGTAGGGTATTTGTTGTACCTGATAAACGACGGATATTCGTTAACGTTAACAATGTTTATTAAGTAAAATACTTCTGATACAAATGAACTATTGATAATCCCACAGTATACATGCTATTTGAGAAACAATCTAGAAATTGCCTGTTATTTTACATATTGATATTTTTCCTGGTCAGATTTTAATGTTTTACACATGCACACGTAACATAACAATCCCAGATAGAGATATATGTTTTATGGTATATGTTGACAAAGAAAGTACGATAGTAAACAAGGAAATATCTAAACATGACCTTGACAGCATGGTTAACATGACAGGGCTGTCGTCTGATTTGTGATCCCTCCAAATAGGGACAACTATGGCGCAATGGAGCGCTTTAAATTGTAACTTCGACACAGCTAGTATTTTAATTCCAAACAGAGTTTAAATAATGCTAGCAATCAAGCTATTACTGTTTCAGATGTCTCATGACATCCTACATATATCAGGGGCGTAGCTAGCCCAGTAGAAATGTATAAGCCTAGGCGAGGGGTCTGGGGGCCGCCTAGGCCCCCAGCGGGTCCAGGACAGACAGTGCCTTGGTGGGGGGATCGGGGGGAGAAGGCCCCCGACGGAAAATGAATTACATGATTTCAAAGATGTTTTGAATCGTTTTTTGAGACAGTTTTTTTTTATTTATTTTACAACAAACTTCAACTCCTGAAGACTTATAATCCAGAAGACTTCTTCATTTTGAAAATTTGCACTTCAACAACATTATAGTCGGAAACGTTGAAATGATAGTGAGAAGTAGAATAGTATGACGTGTGTAAAGTTCCGGAAAGCAATGCACTAGGCCTAGTTATTCAACAGTTTTCTATCTATATTTTTTATTTATCAAAATATTTGATATTTATTTTCAACCTTAGTATTGTAATTTTGTCCGACATACTCTATGCACGGATTTTTTTATGTGTAAGTCCGGACTTTTCCTTTCTATGGAAGCTACGCCACTGATATATAAAGTAGGTACAGAGAATGTTTTTAATGAATCTGCCACGTACATCGTTACATAAGATATATATATCCCTAATACATTGGAATTAATAATAGACGGGTAGTATAGTTTTTCAGGAAGGAGGTTTCAGTATAGCTTTTCAGGAAGGAGGTTTCGAATGCAACACTGAAAGTTTTTTTTATCTCTTCAAATCATTATTATTTTCTGATGTTGCAACATAATTCTGTACAATTTCTGTTGAACCGGTAATTCTCAAACACCACGTGTCACCATGTTTGGCAACGAAGAATCCTTAATGCGAATGGTTTTCAAATTGTAAAACATATTAATCCGGAATTTTGCTAATGATATGAATCATTGACGATTTTTTTCCCGTAGAAAAAAGCCGTAAATCATCATTCAGACAAGACCTTTTAAAAACCAATCAGCACAATGTTTTAACAGTATTGTATATTCTATATCCACGGGTTTAATTGTCCTGACATACCGCCGATTCCTTCCTTTTTCTAAGGAAAGTTCGTTTATGTGGCATTAGATACGAGATTTATTTACCTTTGTATAAATAGATATTTTGTAATGTAAGTAAGTCTATACATAAATTGTACAAAAGACACACAAGTGAATAGCACCTTTTAATACAGATTTAGAGTTTGATACAGTAGAGACAAACAATGAATTAAACTGCATCTTGCAGCTGTTTCATCATGCTAAGACTCCTCTGAATGCTAAGGGCTTTAATTTTTATGACTAGAGACGACTTAGGAAAATCCAAAATAATCGACAAGTGAAAACAAAGACGAGGAGTTGGACCACAATGTAACAAAGTCTGAAATATATCAGGTAATTAAGAAGTAAATCAGGTCTTCAGCATCACTAACGAGTTATACAACGACGACAAAGCTATTTGATGATTCATTGTATGGCTCCGCTGTATCTAACTCCAAAGGCAGATTAAAATGTGTTTTTCCATTGTACATCTTTTGAACAATTAAACACTGAAGTTTGCCATTTGACAATTTCTGAAACTTTCCTTTGTTTTCCCATTTGCATAGCTATGTGAGAACAAGCAGTTTGACATCACTAGTTACGGTCGCCAAGCCCTCCCGAGTCATGGCTGTTTCGTCATTGATCTTACTGTGTGTCGTCGCTATCTTCATTACGACTGGTGTGTATTGTAACAGACTCGGAATAATTCCCGCAGGAAATGTATAAATGTTTCGATCATTTGGACAGATATTCTATTCTTCTTCAAGTTTATTTTCCATGATTAAGCAATTAAAATTTCATTTCAAAAGAAAAATAAGATATTATCCAGATAAAAAGAAAAAGACTACATTAGTAGACGTTAAGTATATAAATTTATTTTGTTATTTTTATTTTTTCAGTAAATGGTGATTGCGTTAGAAGTGTCCAAGCAATTCCTGCTCTTGCTCAAATCACCGAAACAGAGAATGGTAGGTTTCCTATATCTGGTGACACAATGGTTTAGTTATGTAAAACGGTTTGCACAGATTACTTTTCTACACCTATTTATGACTAAACGTCGTGGAATGCTTTGTTTTACAGACACCGTCCTTCTCAACACGACAAATCTACCGACACTGCGGTGGAACTTCACCATAAGCGAGGTTGATGGCGCGGCAAACACCAATAAGGCACTGGAAACAGACCTGTTTCAGGGTTTTATCAACATCTTAGTGTCCGAGACGAGTGTTACATTGACAGTGATACAACCAATAAATACGGAATATTTCTGTAGAAGTTATGTATGTAAATCGTAGTACAAAAATTTCTGTATCATCAAAAACAAAAGAATGTTTTTTTAAAAAGTACATAATTTGAAATAATAAATCCAGATGAAATAGTCTGATAGCTTGGCGCGTGTTGATAATGCAGTAATTATTAAATTAAAAACCATAACATTATTAGCCATCGTCTGTAATGGTTTAAAACGGTTAAACTGTATTTAAGATGAAGGGCTTCACCATACATGTGTGTACAGTTGATGTTATATCATCAACGTTATAAACCTGATCTTACAGGATCGTGCCAATCCACATCGTGAAGCTGAAAGAAATAATTTGTACATGAACGATTTTAAGACCAATTGTATTTACTTATTTACTTTATATACTTATCTACCTCTATTTCATCACTGTTTCTGTAGAATAGAACACTGGCCTCATTCGTCATTGGTATTTCATGTCAAGACCCTGGAGTTACTTCCAGTCCCGTAGCAATGGTAAGTATACAAGACAAATACATTTTTAACAATAAGAAAGGTTTTTGTCAACAATTTCATTACAAATTTGTCTAACAGTACCACAAGACAGTAACATGTGGAAAATATTGTTCGTTTTCTATTGATGTACTGACAGTTAGTGTTTTTGCTCAAAGCTTTGCTACCTGACTATATCAATCAATATTGTTTGGTAAAATAATTAATTCGTGAAATATTTTAGAAATTTACGGTGAGCAACGTTGAAGTGGATGAATTCCAACCTACATTCAAGACTCAACCTTTAACCGTGACAATTAATGAGGTAGGAATAGAAATTCTGAAAAACAATGTAAGTCGAATCAAATACAAAGCAATGGTATCCTTGAAAAACACAGAATATAATAGTAACTCAAGTACAAATACGATAGGTAATAAAACAAGGCTACATAGGAACACCATGAATGACTCGAACAATACCCGGATAAAACAAGGCTACATAGTATTAACACTACCAGGATAAAACACAGCACATAGTATTAACACAACCAGGATAAAACACAGCACAGGATAAAACACAGCACATAGTAATAACACTGCCAAGGATAAAACACAGCACATAGTATTAACACTACCAGGATAAAACACATCACATAGTATTAACACAACCAGGATAAAACACAGCACATAGTGTTAACACAACCATGATAAAACACATCACATAGTATTAACACTACCATGATAAAACACAGCACATAGTGTTAACACTGCCAGGATAAAACACAGCACATAGTATTAACACTGCCAAGGATAAAACACAGCACATAGTATTAACACTACCAGGATAAAACACATCACATAGTATTAACACTACCAGGATAAAACACAGCACATAGTGTTAACACAACCAGGATAAAACACAGCACATAGTATTAACACTACCATGATAAAACACAGCACATAGTATTAACACAACCAGGATAAAACACAGCACATAGTAATAACACTACCAGGATAAAACACAGCACATAGTATTAACACTACCAGGATAAAACACATCACATAGTATTAACACTACCCTGATAAAACACAGCACATAGTGTTAACACTGCCAGGATAAAACACAGCACATAGTATTAACACAACCAGGATAAAACACAGCACATAGTATTAACACTACCAAGGTAAGACAACAACACATAGTATTAACACTACCAAGGTAAGACAACAACACAAAGTATTAACACTACCAAGGTAAGACAACAACACAAAGTATTAACACTACCAAGGTAAGACAACAACACATAGTATTAACACTGCCAAGGTAAGACAACAACACATAGTATTAACACTGCCAGGATAAAACACAACACATAGTATCAACACTACCCGGATAGAACACAGCACATAGTATTTATGGTTATCACAATAGATAGGTTAAAAACACACATAGCAAATACCAGCAATGAAGAACAAACATAATAACTTTAACAACACACAGGTAAAAACACAACATATACTATAACGATTCTCAGGTATACATAATATGTAACTATAACAACACACAGGTAAAAACACAGCCTATACATTAACGATTCTCAGGTAAGAACATGTTATATAACTATATCAACACACATTTTATATATGACTATAACATATTTCATGACATTTTTATATGTTTGTATATACCAGCACTTTCTATCTAAAAAATTGTACAAAAGACACACAAGTGAATAACACTGTTTCATAACATTTTTATATGTTTGTATATACCAGCACTTTCTATCTAAAAAATTGTACAAAAACACACAAGTAAATAACACTGTTTCATAACATTTTTATATGTTTTATATACCAGCACTTTCTATCTAAAAAATTGTACAAAAGACACACAAGTAAATAACACTGTTTCATAACATTTTTATATGTTTGTATATACCAGCACTTTCTATCTAAAAAATTGTACAAAAGACACACAAGTAAATAACACTGTTTCATGACATTTTTATATGTTTGTATATACCAGCACTTTCTGTCTAAAAAATTGTACAAAAACACACAAGTAAATAACACTGTTTCATAACATTTTTATATGTTTTATATACCAGCAATTTCTATCTAAAAAATTGTACAAAAGACACACAAGTAAATAACACTGTTTCATAACATTTTTATATGTTTTATATACCAGCACTTTCTATCTAAAAAATTGTACAAAAGACACACAAGTAAATAACACTGTTTCATAACATTTTTATATGTTTGTATATACCAGCACTTTCTATCTAAAAATTGTACAAAAGACACACAAGTGAATAACACTGTTTCATAACATTTTTATATGTTTTATATACCAGCACTTTCTATCTAAAAAATTGTACAAAAGACACACAAGTGAATAACACTGTTTCATAACATTTTTATATGTTTTATATACCAGCACTTTCTATCTAAAAAATTGTACAAAAGACACACAAGTAAATAACACTGTTTCATAACATTTTTATATGTTTTATATACCAGCACTTTCTATCTAAAAAATTGTACAAAAGACACACAAGTAAATAACACTGTTTCATAACATTTTTATATGTTTGTATATACCAGCACTTTCTATCTAAAAAATTGTACAAAAGACACACAAGTGAATAACACTGTTTCATAACATTTTTATATGTTTGTATATACCAGCACTTTCTATCTAAAAAATTGTACAAAAGACACACAAGTAAATAACACTGTTTCATAACATTTTTATATGTTTGTATATACCAGCACTTTCTATCTAAAAAATTGTACAAAAGACACACAAGTAAATAACACTGTTTCATAACATTTTTATATGTTTGTATATACCAGCACTTTCTATCTAAAAAATTGTACAAAAGACACACAAGTGAATAACACTGTTTCATAACATTTTTATATGTTTGTATATACCAGCACTTTTTATCTAAAAAATTGTACAAAAGACACACAAGTGAATAACACTGTTTCATAACATTTTTATATGTTTTATATACCAGCACTTTCTATCTAAAAAATTGTACAAAAGACACACAAGTAAATAACACTGTTTCATAACATTTTTATATGTTTGTATATACCAGCACTTTCTATCTAAAAAATTGTACAAAGGACACACAAGTAAATAACACTGTTTCATAACATTTTGATATGTTTGTATATACCAGCACTTTCTATCTAAAAAATTGTACAAAAGACACACAAGTGAATAACACTGTTTCATAACATTTTTATATGTTTGTATATACCAGCACTTTCTATCTAAAAAATTGTACAAAAGACACACAAGTGAATAACACTGTTTCATAACATTTTTATATGTTTTATATACCAGCACTTTCTATCTAAAAAATTGTACAAAAGACACACAAGTGAATAACACTGTTTCATAACATTTTTATATGTTTTATATACCAGCACTTTCTATCTAAAAAATTGTACAAAAGACACACAAGTGAATAACACTGTTTCATAACATTTTTATATGTTTTATATACCAGCACTTTCTATCTAAAAAATTGTACAAAAGACACACAAGTGAATAACACTGTTTCATAACATTTTTATATGTTTTATATACCAGCACTTTCTATCTAAAAAATTGTACAAAAGACACACAAGTGAATAACACTGTTTCATAACATTTTTATATTCAGGGTTGTCTGATTTCAGTTCTATGAAAATAGAACTTTGTATCATAATCGTTACAGTCTTTGATATCTAAAACTAAATAACATTATCACTTTTGATAAATATTCCAATATTTATATTTTATCCCTATATTACATTGTTCTATTTACATTTAAAAATAATTCTGTATTAGGCCTAACATACGGTATTGATTTGTATTCCAATATTAATACGAATATTTTACATACTTTTTTCAGAGTTTGCAAGTTGGAAAAGTTATAATACTACTCAATAACACTCTGACGGATCAAGACTGTCCACCTCATCTCGAGCGTAATGTCATCCGAATCACAAACTACACCATCGATCCACAGGTAACACCCCTGATCCACAGGTATTACACCCTGATCCACATATATAACACCCCTGATCCACAGGTATTACACCCTGATCCACAGGTATAACACCCCTGATCCACAGGTATTACACCCTGATCCACAGGTATTACACCCCTGATCCACAGGTATTACACCCCTGATCCACAGGTATTACACCCTGATCCACAGGTATTACACCCTGATCCACAGGTATTACACCCCTGATCCACAGGTATTACACCCCTGACCCACGAGTAATACACCCCTGATCCACAGGTATTACACTCCTGATCCACAGGTATTACACCCTGATCCACAGGTGTAACACCCGAACCAATTAGACTAAAATTATTGTCATAACAACGCCAAATCAAAAACATGTAATTACAATATAGTTCGTCGGAAAGGTACAATAAGGAGTTGTCACACCTTAATTGTGTCGTATCTATCCCTTACTTCAACATACAAAATAATAGGCTATCACTATGAAAACGTCACTCAAATCATCAGACAATCACTAATTAGTCACACTTCTTTGACATTTATCACTAGTATCAAAAGTCAAAGCTATAATTAGACTACAAACCACACTATTCCATATCAATGTTTTATAAAAAAAAAATGAAAAAAGAGACATCTATAATTTCTCAGCAAATCTACCATAAAAATCACAAAAGAGCTCATTTGTATCAGGTATTCACGATGTGTATAGAAATTGATCCAATTATGTTGAGACTGTAAACTATGTCTAATCTTTCTGCTTTTATTATGGACCTATGATACGGCACCTGATGGTTTTACACATTAACATTATATATCGGAAACTATGAAAGACTTGGTCACAGGAATAGGAATATGTTGACAGCTCTCTCTGATTGACAGGTGAATGGGGCAGGCATTATGGAGGTCAGACTCGGAAGCGTTGGTGACGTCGTGTTAACAAAACCTATAGACTTTGACATAGAGTATACCAAAAGACAGCCAGTGTACTATATGGTAAACGTGATAGTCACAGTAAGTGGAACTACGTAATTCACTAATTTATGGTGAATGTCATCAGCATTTGGACTGTAAAATAACTCACAATATTGAATCATACACACATTATTGTATATAGATTTAACGACTGAAAATGTGTATTGATACATACTGTCAGTAATAACCGAGAAAATATTAAATAAAATAGATAAATATATAAATCAAAATATCCTGTTATGTATATGTCAGGGTATGTACAGTGTAAGGTGACATCATTATGTTATTTGTATGTAGAGCTATTTATCCCCTCCATCTTGTTTTTTCCAGGATCAAATGTATCGCGTGACTACAACTACACTTCGAATAAACGTTAAAGATGTGAACGATTTGCCCCCTGCTTTCGACACATTCACTTACAAATCCCATACCAGTGTCAAGTACCGGGTAAGTTTAAATCTGATATACTTGGTTAAACATGTTCGCAAAGGTGGAGGTGTGTGTGTGTGTGTGTGTGTGTGTGGAACTATTCCTTACAAAGTAAAGCCAGAAAGGACAAATCGGTTACACCAAACTCACTATGAATTTATCCCAGGGATCCGACTATTCAATTCTCCTAACACGCGCTAGTTAGCCTTTCATATATACTAATTCACATTTATGATTAAGTTATGGATCTGATTGTATGCTAATGCTTTGATTTGTTATTATCTAGGGACAGTTGACAGTAACACCCTCTGCCATTCATGCTATAGACCAGGACCTTTCTATCAACTGCTCAATCGTGTATAGTATTGTCCCAAGTAAGTTTTTTCTCAAACGGGGAAAAGGGCGATTCAACAATTATATAAATTATACAATATATACTAACAATATACACGATACAATATATATCTATTATATATATGATACAATATACATCTATTATATACATGATACAATGTATATCTATTATATATATGATACAATATACATCTATTATATATATGATACAATATACATCTATTATATATGTGATACAATATACATCTATTATATATGTGATACAATATACTTCTATTATATATGATACAATATACATCTATTATATATGTGATACAATATACATCTATTATATATGTGATACAATATACTTCTATTATATATGATACAATATACATCTATTATATATATGATACAATATACATCTATTATATACATGATACAATGTATATCTATTATATATATGATACAATATACATCTATTATATATATGATACAATATACATCTATTATATATGTGATACAATATACATCTATTATATATATGATACAATACACATCTATTATATACATGATACAATGTATATCTATTATATATATGATACAATATACATCTATTTTATATATATGATACAATGTACATCTATTATATATATGATACAATATACATCTATTATATATATGATACAATATACATCTATTATATATATGATACAATATATATCTCTTATATATATGATACAATATACATTTATTATATATATGATACAATATACATCTATTATATATATGATACAATATACATCTATTATATATATGATACAATACACATCTATTATATATATGATACAATATACATCTATTATATATATGATACAATATATATCTATTATATATATGATACAATATACATTTATTATATATATGATACAATATACATCTATTATATATATGATACAATATACATCTATTATATATATGATACAATATACATCTATTATATATGTGATACAATATACATCTATTATATATGTGATACAATATACATCTATTATATATGTGATACAATATACATCTATTATATATATGATACAATACATATCTATTATATATATGATACAATATACATCTATTATATATATGATACAATATATATATATATGATACAATATATATATATATGATACAATATACATCTATTATATATGTGATACAATATATATCTATATTATATATATGATACAATATACATCTATATATATATATGATGCAATATACTTCTATTATGTATGATACAATATACATCTATTATATATATGATACAATGTATATCTATTATATATATGATACAATATACATCTATTATATATATGATACAATATACATCTATTATATATGTGATACAATATACATCTATTATATATGTGATACAATATACTTCTATTATATATGATACAATATACATCTATTATATATGTGATACAATATACATCTATTATATATGTGATACAATATACTTCTATTATATATGATACAATATACATCTATTATATATATGATACAATATACATCTATTATATACATGATACAATGTATATCTATTATATATATGATACAATATACATCTATTATATATATGATACAATATACATCTATTATATATGTGATACAATATACATCTATTATATATATGATACAATACACATCTATTATATACATGATACAATGTATATCTATTATATATATGATACAATATACATCTATTTTATATATATGATACAATGTACATCTATTATATATATGATACAATATACATCTATTATATATATGATACAATATACATCTATTATATATATGATACAATATATATCTCTTATATATATGATACAATATACATTTATTATATATATGATACAATATACATCTATTATATATATGATACAATATACATCTATTATATATATGATACAATACACATCTATTATATATATGATACAATATACATCTATTATATATATGATACAATATATATCTATTATATATATGATACAATATACATTTATTATATATATGATACAATATACATCTATTATATATATGATACAATATACATCTATTATATATATGATACAATATACATCTATTATATATGTGATACAATATACATCTATTATATATGTGATACAATATACATCTATTATATATGTGATACAATATACATCTATTATATATATGATACAATACATATCTATTATATATATGATACAATATACATCTATTATATATATGATACAATATATATATATATGATACAATATATATATATATGATACAATATACATCTATTATATATGTGATACAATATATATCTATATTATATATATGATACAATATACATCTATATATATATATGATGCAATATACTTCTATTATGTATGATACAATATACATCTATTATATATATGATACAATATATATCTATTATATATGTGATACAATATATATCTATTATATATATGATACAATATATATCTATTATATATATGATACAATATACATCTATTATATATGTGATACAATATACATCTATTATATATATGATACAATACATATCTATTATATATATGATACAATATACATCTATTATATATATGATACAATATATATATATATGATACAATATACATCTATTATATATATATGATACAATATACATCTATTATATATGTGATACAATATATATCTATATTATATATATGATACAATATACATCTATATATATATATGATGCAATATACTTCTATTATGTATGATACAATATACATCTATTATATATATATGATACAATATATATCTATTATATATGTGATACAATATATATCTATTATATATATGATACAATATATATCTATTATATATATGATACAATATATATCTATTATATATATGATGCAATATACTTCTATTATGTATGATACAATATACATCTATTATATATATGATACAATATATATCTATTATATATGTGATACAATATATATCTATTATATATATGATACAATATATATCTATTATATATATGATACAATATACATCTATTATATATATGATACAATATACATCTATTATATATATGATACAATATATACACTTATCACGTGTATCAAATATATACATTAATTACATGTGTGTTATGATATAAACAGTAAAAACAAACATGACACTCTATATACGCTAAATAATATACACAGCAATATGTTTATCAAGGAATGGTTTCGTCTCTCTCTTACTTGGGATACGATGTTTTGATATGATTATGCATAATCAAAGCTGATTCAATGAAATCTCTAATGGATCTTATATACAAGAATAATGTATAATGTCCTAAATATACATGGATGATAGCAGACTTAATCTGTTTTCATTTTCCTTACAAGGTGGTCTATTTAGTCAGTGTTTCGATATCGACTCCTCTACGGGAGAAATAAGTCAGATCCTGGATGTCACATCACCAGCAGAAGTCATTCAAATACAGGTATATTTGACAGGCAATTTATTACAAGTTTGTGTTTCCGTTATTGCCTCTGTGGTCCATGACGTGTTAATGATATGTAAACAAAATATGGTGTTAAAAAGGTTATTTTTCATTGTTAACGGGAAACGTGAAGAAATGTGGTTGAGATATCCAAGAAAGTTATACATTAATCAGATAATCAGCAACTCCACTTGATCGAGTAATCGCAATTCCACAAAAATGTTGATATTTCTACATTATTCGCGCTTTTCAGTCATTTGATAAAAGTTAAACCCTCTCATACATTTATGTTGAACCCGCCATGTCAAAACAATTACGCGAATTAACAAACGTACAGGAGAGGTGTTCGTGAGCGTAAGGAGAAGCGTCACAACAGCGTAAAATCGCTGTTATCGTAAAGTGAATGCTTTTTTATAACCACATGTTGTTGTTTAAAACTTTTCTGTCTTTTTATATAGGCAAAAGAAAACTGTCCGAACACGGCCGTACAACTACAAAGCACTGTGCCTTTGCTTATTACACTCAATAACCACACAGTGAACTTGCCACCCAATGCTGGCAAGTCGACCGCCGACGAAGGGTCCGATTTCCGGCTAATTCTCATTGTTATCGGAGTTGTCGCCCTTGTCATCATTATCGCCTTGTTGGTTGGCTTTGTTTTTTATCACAAGAGGATGTCACGCGCTGTACGTCCAGAACAGGATCGACCGGAAACTCCCCACACTGAAGAGGAAGACTTGGATACGGATCGGTCAGGAAGCAAGGAGGTTCTTATCGATCCAATGATGTTACCGACACCTGCTGGCAAGAAAGGGCAGTTGCCTCCCTTAAATATGACATCGACGGGAACAGGAATGGACAGAAAGAAAAAACGATCTAGACGAAGGAAGAAGGTAAAGGAACCTGACATTTACGATGGTACCGTACAGTATGACATGGCTGCGGATCCTGAGTTTTTCAATTCTACACAAAAAGATAAGATAAAACGATCCACCAGGAGCAAAGACAACAAAACAACCGATCCAAATCGACGAATAAATGTCCAAAATGAATAGCACAACGTTAAATGGTGATATCTTAGCATCGCTAAAATGTGGTACATTTGGATCGCAATCTCTTCAGCTACAAGTCATAACAACTTATAAAGACAGAATGTCTCTGTTCATTTGATGTGGTTTTGTCTGACTTAAAACCCACATCCGTGGCACAACAACTGATTCCATTTGCTCCTCCTATAAAAGTGGGCCGCGTTTTCGCTTGGGATATTGACATGGGATGGCTTCAAAGGAGTCTTCTTTTTAGTTAAATCATCGGTACATTACTTGACCGATTGAAGGTTTAAATAACGTAGTTGTAGCAATTAGCTTATCGTGCCATCATTTACATCCACAAGGACAGAATTTATGCAGAATATATTTCATAGTGAGTTTGTCTGTGATAATTATGGAAGAATAATATAGTATTCATTGTTAAAAATCTCCAGCAACCAGCGGGCTTTTTCAAAATGCATTCCCCAATTTCTAGATATGTTTTTGATATTTGTTTAGAGACACATTTTGTATTCCTTTTTATGGTTTTTTCATTGAGGATGTATACAAGCATCATTGTCTTATATTTCCAGTGATAACAGTATTGGGAAATAAGACTTCTATGGTTTAATGACAAGCTAGACTAAATAGGGCCAGCTGACTGTTTCTTTGTGTAGCTTAGTCAAAACCAATGGTATTAATGTAATATATTGCTTCAATTTTCCGAACAAACAGTTGCGAAAGAAGCTTGATAGGTAATAGACAATTAGTCAGTTCAAAGACATCAACTACTTTTAAGGGCCTACATTTAGTGTTTTAATGTGCATACTGTAAATACCTACCCTGTTGATATTTTCTAGTACTTAAACTCAGATTTTTTTTTATTATGCTTTGACAGTATATAAGAAACATCAGTATCTTTTTTGACACTGGAATTTTTTTACATTTCTCACATAATGAAATTAGGTAGCAATCATTAAGAGACTTTTTTCTAGTAAAATTGTTTCAACATGTTTTATTGTCACGGATTCTGGTTTTAAACGAGAACATACAGTGATAACGTCGTGGATTTGTCACTACTGATTAGTTGGCAACATTCCGTAATTAAAACATTAAAACAAATGTTCGGCTTGAACGTCAATACTTTCAGGTATTATCGTTCGTTAGAAATAAAAAAATAATTTGTGAAAATAGTTTATATACCAGTATAGTATCAGTTTTCCTGTGGTTAGTCCTGTGAAGTCTTATTGAGTGTGACTGTTTTACTGTTACAGACATAGTACCTAACTTTACTGTTACAGAGATAGTACCTAACTTTACTGTTACAGAGATAGTACCTAACTTTACTGTTACAGAGATAGTACCTAACACAGAGATAGTACCTAACTTTACTGTTACAGAGATAGTACCTAACTTTACTGTTACAGAGATAGTACCTAACTTTACTGTTACAGAGATAGTACCTAACTTTACTGTTACAGAGATAGTACCTAACTTTACTGTTACAGAGATAGTACCTAACTTTACTGTTACAGAGATAGTACCTAACTTTACTGTTACAGAGATAGTACCTAACTTTACTGTTACAGAGATAGTACCTAACTTTACTGTTACAGAGATAGTACCTAACTTTACTGTTACAGAGATAGTACCTAACACAGAGATAGTACCTAACACAGAGATAGTACCTAACTTCACTGTTACAGAGATAGTACCTAACTTTACTGTTACAGAGATAGTACCTAACTTTACTGTTACAGAGATAGTACCTAACTTTACTGTTACAGAGATAGTACCTAACTTTACTGTTACAGAGATAGTACCTAACTTTACTGTTACAGAGATAGTACCTAACTTTACTGTTACAGAGATAGTACCTAACTTTACTGTTACAGAGATAGTACCTAACTTTACTGTTACAGAGATAGTACCTAACTTTACTGTTACAGAGATAGTACCTAACTTTACTGTTACAGAGATAGTACCTAACTTTACTGTTACAGAGATAGTACCTAACTTTACTGTTACAGAGATAGTACCTAACTTTACTGTTACAGAGATAGTACCTAACTTTACTGTTACAGAGAGTACCTAACTTTACTGTTACAGAGATAGTACCTAACTTTACTGTTACAGAGATAGTACCTAACTTTACTGTTACATAGATAGTACCTAACTTTACTGTTACAGAGATAGTACCTAACTTTACTGTTACAGAGATAGTACCTAACTTTACTGTTACAGAGATAGTACCTAACTTTACTGTTACAGAGATAGTACCTAACTGTTACAGAGATAGTACCTAACTGTTACTAGTACCTAACTTTGCTGTTACAGAGATAGTACCTAACTTTACTGTTACAGAGATAGTACCTAACTTTACTGTTACATAGATAGTACCTAACTTTACTGTTACAGAGATAGTACCTAACTTTACTGTTACAGAGATAGTACCTAACTTTACTGTTACAGAGATAGTACCTAACTTTACTGTTACAGAGATAGTACCTAACTTTACTGTTACAGAGATAGTACCTAACTTTACTGTTACAGAGATAGTACCTAACTTTACTGTTACAGAGATAGTACCTAACTTTACTGTTACAGAGATAGTACCCAACTTTACTGTTACAGAGATAGTACCTAACTTTACTGTTACAGAGATAGTACCTAACTTTACTGTTACAGAGATAGTACCTAACTTTACTGTTACAGAGATAGTACCTAACTTTACTGTTACAGAGATAGTACCTAACTTTACTGTTACAGAGATAGTACCTAACTTTACTGTTACAGAGATAGTACCTAACTTTACTGTTACAGAGATAGTACCTAACTTTACTGTTACAGAGATAGTACCTAACTTTACTGTTACAGAGATAGTACCTAGCTTTACTGTTACAGAGATAGTACCTAACTTTACTGTTACAGAGATAGTACCTAACACAGAGATAGTACCTAACTTTACTGTTACAGAGATAGTACCTAACTTTACTGTTACAGAGATAGTACCTAACTTTACTGTTACAGAGATAGTACCTAACTTTAACTTTACTGTTACAGATAGTACCTAACTTTACTGTTACAGAGATAGTACCTAACTTTACTGTTACAGAGATAGTACCTAACTTTACTGTTACAGAGATAGTACCTAACTTTACTGTTACAGAGATAGTACCTAACTTTACTGTTACAGAGATAGTACCTAACTTTACTGTTACAGAGATAGTACCTAACTTCACTGTTACAGAGATAGTACCTAACTTTACTGTTACAGAGATAGTACCTAACTTTACTGTTACAGAGATAGTACCTAACTTTACTGTTACAGAGATAGTACCTAACTTTACTGTCACAAAGATAGTACCTAACTTTACTGTTACAGAGATAGTACCTAACTTAACTGTTACAGAGATAGTTAACTTTACTGTTACAGAGATAGTACCTAACTTTACTGTTACAGAGATAGTACCTAACTTTACTGTTACAGAGATAGTACCTAACTTTACTGTTACAGAGATAGTACCTAACTTTACCGTTACAGAGATAGTACCTAACTTTACTGTTACAGAGATAGTACCTAACTTTACTGTTACAGAGATAGTACCTAACTTTACTGTTACAGAGATAGTACCTAACTTTACTGTTACAGAGATAGTACCTAACTTTACCGTTACAGAGATAGTACCTAACTTTACTGTTACAGAGATAGTACCTAACTTTACTGTTACAGAGATAGTACCTAACTTTACTGTTACAGAGATAGTACCTAACTTTACTGTTACAGAGATAGTACCTAACTTTACTGTTACAGAGATAGTACCTAACACAGAGATAGTACCTAACTTCACTGTTACAGAGATAGCACCTAACTAAGAGAGTTGTTGTTGAATGTATCGTGTCACTACACAATCCAATGCGGATGAGGCGAGGTGACCTGTGAATCTGTTTAGTGCCATTATTAAAACATGTTCGAAGATTTTTCATTTTCGCAGAACAAAAATGTAGATAGTATAAAATAGAAATAAAGTCATTCTATAGGTTAAGATTATTGTCGGTTCTTTATCTCTTAACATGATACTTAATTGATACAATGTTTTCCTGAGTGTAGTACCTATTTTCTTTTACTTTGATATACTTATACCCCCCTCACAAGGCCGTGATATATAAATGTAGACAAATTCTTCAGCGACTACTGCTTGCCCGACTAGTACCATCTTCATTTTAATTCGTCAAGATAATTCTTCCAATGTGGTTATCGATTTCTGTGATGAAACAATTTAAATCATTGCTTAACTCTACAGCAGCAAACACTTAATTTGTGTTAAAAAGTGCTATTTACTCGTTTGTCTTTTGTTCAATATTCGGGATAGCAGGTTGTAGACACTTATTGTGGACTTTTAGTCCTGGAGGTTTGCTGTAATCTACAAGTCATGTTTTGATTCATTTGAAAAGTGGCACAGTTTCGAATTATATACAGATGATCTTGACGTTCTTCTGAAACTATCACTTGTATGAAAACAACAAAATTTACTACATTATGGGACTAGTGCACCTTGCCAGCTAGATTTCGACATTTCGTTTGATCACTTCCTAAGTCGACTCATAGGTTTCACGATCAAGGCCCCAAGCATCACTGACAAGTCGTACAAAGACGAAACAGCTGTATGATGTAACATCACTGACAAGTCATACAAAGACGAAACAGCTGTACGATGTAACATTACTGACCAGTCACACAAAGACGAAACAGCTGTATGATGTAACATCACTGACAAGTCATACAAAGACGAAATAGCTGTATGATGTAACATCACTGACAAGTCATACAAAGACGAAACAGCTGTATGATGTATCATCACTAACCAGTCATACAAAGACGAAACAGCTGTATGATGTATCATCACTGACAAGTCATACAAAGACGAAACAGCTGTATGATGTAACATCACTGACAAGTCATACAAAGACGAAACAGCTGTAACATCACTGACCAGTCATACAAAGCGAAACAGCTGTATGATGTATCATCACTGTGTCATACAAAGACGAAACAGCTGTACGATGTATCATCACTGACCAGTCATACAAAGACGAAACAGCTGTACGATGTAACATCACTGACAAGTCATACAAAGACGAAACAGCTGTACGATGTATCATCACTGACAAGTCATACAAAGACGAAACAGCTGTATGATGTAACATCACTGACAAGTCATACAAAGACGAAACAGCTGTATGATGTAACATCACTGACAAGTCATACAAAGACGAAACAGCTGTATGATGTATCATCACTGACCAGTCATACAAAGACGAAACAGCTGTATGATGTATCATCACTGACAAGTCATACAAAGACGAAACAGCTGTATGATGTAACATCACTGACAAGTCATACAAAGACGAAACAGCTGTACGATGTATCATCACTGACCAGTCATACAAAGACGAAACAGCTGTATGATGTATCATCACTGACCAGTCATACAAAGACGAAACAGCTGTATGATGTATCATCACTGACCAGTCATACAAAGACGAAACAGCTGTACGATGTAACATCACTGACAAGTCATACAAAGACGAAACAGCTGTATGATGTATCATCACTGACCAGTCATACAAAGACGAAACAGCTGTATGATGTAACATCACTGACCAGTCATACAAAGACGAAAAAGCTGTATGATGTAACATCACTGACAAGTCATACAAAGACGAAACAGCTGTATGATGTATCATCACTGACCAGTCATACAAAGACGAAACAGCTGTACGATGTATCATCACTGACCAGTCATACAAAGACGAAACAGCTGTATGATGTATCATCACTGACCAGTCACACAAAGACGAAACAGCTGTATGATGTATCATCACTGACAAGTCACACAAAGACAAAACAGCTGTATGATGTAACATCACTGACCAGTCATACAAAGACGAAACAGCTGTATGATGTAACATCACTGACCAGTCATACAAAGACGAAACAGCTGTACGATACAGTGTACTCCATTGTTTAGCACCAATGTATCTAACTCTAAATCTGTTTTAAATGTGCTGTTCTTATGGTGTCTTTTGCACAATCTACACTGGAGGTATTGATATTGGTAAGTGATTCAAGGCATTAATATTTTTGGTACATTTGTTTGATCGCTAACACAGAGTTAAGAAATTATTACGATATTAATTATCAAAATAAATAACATTTCATACAACATTTTGATTTGGTTTGATTCCTGGGTAGGGAAGTGTGTCCTTGTGATATGGCCTGGATGAGGATCGATGTAGGGAAATGGAGGTTAGGAAACGGTGAGCGATGTAACAAATGGACTCCTTAAACTTATGGAACACGTGAAGTGATCGTGTTGGATATCAGCATTCATTTCAGTTTTATCAGTTAGTGCTGTATGTCATGATAATTGCATTTTTATAAACCATTATATTTAATTACATTTAACACAAGCTGAATTAAACAAAAACATTTTAGATTCACTCAGTGTGAGACACAGTAGACGGACAATGTTCTATAGAAGAAAACATTCCTGGGCGTGTTTGATAAAATTAAGTAACACGTGTATCGGTCTCAGGGAGATAAGTGTTCAACATAATCATTACTTGGACTGAGACACGATGTGGGGCTGTGTGGCAGCGACATTATTAGCTAGTGTATTTGTACTAGTTAGTTCAAATGTAAGTAAGACAACACTCTAAGTGATGTTAGCATTTTGATATTAAGATACATAAGTGTACGTGTTACAGGCGACAACTACTAAATCTTTACGGTCGCCGCGATAATATCATTGAGAAATGTTTCATTTTTGTGTGGTATGAAGCGTTTGATGTTCGTTAGTATAAATGGTGGTTCCGTTGTTATTTACCTTGCTCTCATTTTGGACGCGAATTAGAAGACGCTTACCCTTCCGAAACAGCAATGGTATCCGCGTATTTTTTCTTTTGTTGATATTTTGCTCTAGATTCATCTAATATGTGTTCCAATAAAGATTTTATTAAAGTTGCCGCTTGATATTATAATAGAAAACTGGAAATGTGTTCACTTCTCACTAGAAGGTAAAACCTTGTACCTACAGTGTGTTTGTATCCTATTTCTGCAGCCACAATGCATGTCCGACTCCGACTGTGATGGTAACCAATGCTGCTATAAGCAACCGAAGTTTCTGATCATGAGCAGACGACAGCTGCCAGACGACCTGATAAATCATAAAGGTTTGAATAGTTAAACATGTTTTATTTTGACGCGTGAGGTTTATATCATGGTGATATAAATAATAATAATAATATACAACATTTCTATAGCGCACTATCTATTTTGACAAAATACTCTAATGCGCTTCACGATTACATATTAATCTTACAACAAAATTTACAGAACATATATAACACATTAATCAACATATGTAACACAGTAACCAAATCAAGTAAGTAGTGGTGAAAGTATGTATATACAGGACGTCTGCGTGAGAGTCTAAAATGCAGACGTAAACAGGTGGGTTTTAATATCCCTCTTGAATTTGGCCACGGATTTTGACTTTCTAGTAGCAGATGGTAAGCTGTTCCACAAAGTGGCCGCTACCTTTCCAAAGCACCGGTTACCATAAGTCACAGTTCGAGAGTTCGGAACGCATAACAAGGATTCTGTCTCCGATCGTAGTGATCGTGACGGCCGATAAACGGTGACAAGTTCCTGCAAATATTCAGGAGCTGTTCCATTTATTGCCTTGTATGTATATATCAAAATCTTGTACTGTGACCGGAATCGCACGGGCAGCCAATGCAATAAGTAAAGGACTGGTGTAATGTGGTCCCTCTTTCGAGTACGGGTAACTAGGCGTGCTGCGGTGTTCTGTACCCTCTGCAGGTGGCTCATTAGTGTATCAGATACACCAACGAGTAACGCGTTACCATAGTCTAACCTAGAAGTAACAAGAGAATGTACCAATGTCTTGCATGAATCTGTGGTGATGAACTGACGGATACCCCCAATGTTTCTGATTTGGTGATAACAGGAACTGGCAATTGAGTTTATCTGTTTCTCCATGTTCAGAGAGCTATCAAAGTGTACACCAAGGTTTCTCACAGCTTGGACGGCCTCAATAGTTTGGGCACCGACCTTTAACTGGAGACCTTTAGTGTGTTGACACTTGTGGGAAAAGACGATCAGTTCTGTCTTTTCCTGATTGAGCTTGAGCATATTTGAGTTCATCCAAGCGCTGATGTCATTTAGACAGGCTTCAAGACTTGCTACTATTATGTCCCAGTTGTCTTGAGGTCTGATAACCATGTAGATTTGTGTGTCGTCGGCATAACAATGGTACTGAAGGTTATGACGACGACAAATCTCCCCGATTGGTTTCGAATAAAGACAGTATTTTCTAGGTCCCAGAACGGACCCCTGAGGAACTCCGAAGTCTAAGGTTTTGCTGTCTGAAACAGTTGATCCAATGGCAACGCACTGTCGTCGTTCATTCAAGTAAGACTGGGTCCACCGTAATGCATCACCAGTCACCCCATAAGAGTACTCCAGACGCTTGAACAGTGTGCCATGGTCAATGACATCAAATGCAGCAGACAGATCAAACATGATAAGAACCGCTCTACACTTGTTATCCAGAGCGGCAGCAATATCACTGTAGACACGAAGTAGGGCCGTCTCAGTGGAATGTCCTGTGCGATAGGCTGATTGCAAGTTGTCATGAAGACTGTTAGCATTGAGATAAGCCTCAAGTCGCTGGCACACAATCTTCTCCAAGATCTTAGATAAGAAAGGAAGATTTGACACCGGGCGGTAGTTCTTTAATTCTTCTTTGTTCAGTCCAGGCTTCTTCAGCAGTGGTCTTACAGTAGCCTTCTTGAAACACAATGGAACCCTAGACTCTGCTAATGATTTATTCATGATCAAGGTGATCAAGGGGAGCAGTGCATCAAGACATTGCTTCAGTAAAACTGTGGGAAGCGGGTCCAGCTCACAGGATTTCGATTGAGAGTTTGTAATGATCTTGCGCAATTCTTCTTCAGTTGTTGGAGTGAACTGCGTCAAAGGTTCACCAGAGAATTGGATATCGGCATCTATGGCAGAGATGCCAGTGTCGGAAGTTGAGTTCACAACAACAATCTTTTGCCTGATTGTATTGATTTTATCCTGGAAAAAATCACTGAACTTGTTGGACAAGATTTTTTCAGAAGAACAGCTTGGTAGGGCGATTTCACCAGTATGTCCCATAATGTTTCTGGTGAGTCTAAAATGCTGTCTTGTATCCGATCCACATTCTGTGATTTTTCCTGAATAATAATCCTTCTTACGTTGAATGAGTAGTGAACTGACTGCCCGACAATGTTCTCTGTATATCTGGCGATGGATGGTTAGTTTGGTCTTTCGCCAACGTTTCTCCGCCTTCCTCCGCAATTGTTTTGCATCACGAAGTTGTTCATTGTACCAAGGCGCGTTAGGTCTGACAGTAATTACCTTTGTCTGAAGAGGTGTATGTTTCTCGATCAGAGCCTCGATACCAGAGTTATATGCTTCAACAAGACAGTCAACTCCACCCTCAGTAGTCTGAAGGACTGAAGATGACTGAACGTCTTTGATGAAATCAGGTACAGAAATTTCGCGGAATTTCCGGAAGCTGACCTCTTTTCTGGCACGTTTTGGTTTACCACAATTTAGTGTGGCATAGACAGCAAGATGATCACCAGATATTCAATGGAAAATGTGATAATTATGAAAATAGTTTTCTGTGTGAGACGGATTGTTTGCATTTCCTGTTCAACATGAAGACATGTTCACATCTTGAGAATATTTCGTTTTAAAAACACAAAAGATAGAAACTGTTTTAAGTATCATTTCTGCCAGGAAAATTTGACGTTTTGTCTGTGTTTATATTGGATTTCTCATCTCGTGATATAGAATCAATTTTTATTTTTTACAAAACATTGAGAGAATTTTTTTCGCAGGAATTTGTGAAAACTTCCAACCGATGGGAACTCGGTGTAGTCCTTTCGATAAATTGAATGGCCATTGCAGCTGTGCCGAAGGTCTCACATGTCGATTTGTGGCAGCTGAAAATACGACCCAGAGTATTGTGCGCCGGAAGTTGTATATGCCAGGACCGGGATCCTATCGGTGTGCGACTCCTGAACATTAAACTGTATGTTGTATTAAAATAAAAACCATATCTAGTTTTTTTCTTGTGCACTCAGTAATACAAATATACGCGTTTGTAAATAAAATGCTTGTCAAATGGCATTTTAAATATCCAGTTCATCTTTCTGTGAATATTGATTACTCATCCAGAAACCCGGACTATTGTTGTCGCCTGCAGGTCTGAATTGGCCGAGTACGCTGTAATATCAATTCATTCTCTCGATGCTCAATAATAACAAACCTGTTTCGTACAGCAAAAATATAATTTTCATGGAAGATGAGCATGTATTTATAAATATTCATTAAACTTTCTGAAATTGTATATGTCTTCAATGGCAGTGTCTTATGGTATTGTTATACTTGAAGTAGTGAAAATCAGCTCAACGAGTGTTTGTCAACAATTTCTTGAAGAAAGGATTAAATGATATCAGTGTATTCTGCCTTTTTTCACATGTGAAATACAAATGTCCGATTTGAAGCCAGAACTTAAGATAATTGACTTAAGCCACAAAATGAGAATGGACGTGCCATAATCACAAAGTAATGCATATTACATGAGGATAGGCTAGTACTGACATCAGAGACCTATATCTTTATCATTAATTCATCAACTTTTACATATCTGTATAGATCAGAGTTAGAATATATACAACTTTATCGATAATACTCCTAGCTGTTAATTATTTAACGATATGTGACCACATCACAAGCACAATGAATTGAGTACGTCCAATCTATGTATGTCTGCCAACCCAGATTGTTACGTTATACAACAAACCATGATCGGAAACTTCGACAAAAGAACCATTCCAGGTTGTATATGTGTGTTTTTGTTTTTAATGACTCACCACACAAGCGGTTTACCAAAGGACAATGCGTTTAAAAAAGGTAAATGAATGTTACTTTTAACTAACAATTTAATTGTAATATGACGTATAAGCGCTTGATACCTGGTGTTTTAATTACATATCTACACGTAGGTTTTTGTATTGTAAGTGAACATTTGACGTTATTTATATTTACATACACTGAGTTCAGCGTTTTACTTCAACTTTTCTATGAAAGTTTTATCAATGAATGGTAATACGTTCCAGCGAATGTGCAGTAAGTAACGGGCTTTCATTTACAGCAGGACTCTCATTTTGAACATAAAGTGTTGAAATAAGTTATGTGCAGTTCTCTATTACTTTCGTTTCATCATTGCAAATAAATCCATTTACTTCAAACATACAAAACAACGTTATTCAAGCACCACGCCCTTACCTTACATCGGCAGATCAATATGATATATACCATGTACTGCATGTGGCGTTGCTGTTGTTGGAATGCATCCACCACATAATTATATTTTTGAAGTATTCGGTAGTAATAGTTCACAGATGATTTTTGCACGTGCATTAATTCGACAGAGCCACTATCTGTTTACTTAAACATGTCATTGAAAATATAAACTGCTGTTTTAATAAACGATTTTTCTTTGTTGTAACAAATAAATTTATTCACGAAAAATTATAAAATAGTTTTTTTTATCATTGAAGTGTGGAACTATATTTCCGCACTGACAATTATCTAGTCGTGTTTTTTTTCTTGAAAATCATCAAGCCGAATTCAGCGTCAGGTAAAAACAATAAACTGCCGTAAATTTGATAGCCGGAATTTTCAGGAAATGTAAACGGATATATGTATTCCATGGTCAGTGTCATAACATGTGTTTTATTTTATTACAATGACCATGACACTTGATTTTTATTAGTGATTAAAGGCGAGTCCCTGATACATATTCTTTTGATAATGAGAGCGAATTCTACATACGGACTGGCGGATGTTTTGTCTAACACTCCACCTTGTCCAGGCATGCTACGGTCCAAGTCTAGCTTTGATCGTCAGATAATAAACAGCGACTACTACGGAAGTAGCTTGTTAGATGTATGGAAAGAACATACCCCTGATCACGTAAGTATTAACGCTGTAAATTATCTATAAATTGATTATTGGTTTTGAGTTCTATGAATTAACAGATGTAATAAACGTAAGGGGATTTTTTCTTCCCTTCTTTCTTGTTTATCAATGAACTACAAAGTAGTTTTGAATAAGAACATGGCAGATACCGTAAAAGAAAATAAAAAAATAAAAAAAACTGAAACATGTGTTAAACAACAGGTCAGTCTGTTAATCACCAACTACAAAGGAGACATTTTGTGGGGTAGCAGCTTCCGTGTCCAAGACAAGAATTCGTCCGAGCTTCATACCTGGTTCCAGTCGGAAAACATTGTACATGTCGAAGATTACATTGATTATCTCGAACCATCAGCAAATCTTACTACAACTATTGGGTAAGACTGATTGATAAAACAGAATAGAATGACATGTAGCTGTAAACAAACATGCTGTATAGCAATTTATCAAACGTTAGGGAAAACGGTGCTGCTAAAACAATACGATATTATTCCTAAGTATAGTCATGGTTTACAGGTTTAATATTACTATATATAGTCATGGTCTACAGGTTTAATATTACTATATATAGTCATGGTCTCTACAGGTTTAATATTACTATATATAGTCATTGTCTATATATAGTCATTGTCTACAGGTTTAATATTACTATATATATATATATATTAATATTACAGATTTTGATATATATAGTCATACAGGTTTAATATTACTATATATAGTCAGGTTACAGATTTGATATTACTATATATAGTCATTGCCTACAGATTTAATATTACTATATATAGTCATGGTCTACAGATTTGATATTACTATATATAGTCATTGTCTACAGATTTAATATTACTATATATAGTCATATATATACAGGTTTAATATTACTATATATAGTCATTGTCTACAGGTTTAATATTACTATATATAGTACTATATATTGTCTACAGATTTAATATTACTATATATAGTCATTGTCTACAGATTTAATATTACTATATATAGTCATTGTCTACAGATTTAATATTACTATATATAGTCATTGTCTACATATTACAGGTTTAATATTACTATATATAGTCATTGTCTACAGGTTTAATATTACTATATATATATATACTATATATAGTCATTGTCTACAGATTTAATATTACTATATATAGTCATTGTCTACAGGTTTAATATTACTATATATAGTCATTGTCTACAGATTTAATATTACTATATATAGTCATGGTCTACAGGTTTAATATTACTATATATAGTCATTGTCTACAGATTTAATATTACTATATATAGTCATGGTCTACAGGTTTAATATTACTATATATAGTCACGGTCTACAGGTTTAATATTACTATATATAGTCATTGTCGACAGATTTAATATTACTATATATAGTCACGGTCTACAGGTTTAATATTACTATATATAGTCATGGTCTACAGGTTTAATATTACTATATATATATACAGATTTAATATTACTATATATAGTCATGGTCTACAGATTTAATATTACTATATATAGTCATGGTTAATATTACTATATATAGTACTACAGATTTAATATTACTATATATAGTCTATATATGTCTACAGATTTAATATTACTATATATAGTCATGGTCTATATATACAGATTTAATATTACTATATATAGTCATGGTCTACAGATTTAATATTACTATATATAGTCATGGTCTACAGATTTAATATTACTATATATTAATATTACTATATATAGTCATGGTCTACAGATTTAATATTACTATATATATATAGTCTATATATAGTCATGGTCTACAGGTTTAATATTACTATATATAGTCATGGTCTACAGGATTTAATATTACTATATATAGTCATGGTCTACAGATTTAATATTACTATATATAGTCATGGTCTACAGATTTAATATTAGTATATATAGTCATGGTCTACAGGGTAAATATCTCTATATATAGTCATTGTCTACAGATATTACTATATATATTTATATATTACTATATATAGTCATGGTCTACAGATTTAATATTACTATATATAGTCATGTCTACAGATTTAATATTCTATATATAGTCATGGTCTACAGGTTTAATATTACTATATAAGTCATGGTCTACAGGTTTAATATTACTATATATATATACAGGTTTAATATTACTATATATAGTCATGGTCTACAGGTTTATATATTACTATATATAGTCATGGTCTACAGGTTTAATATTACTATATATAGTCATTGTCTACAGATTTAATATTACTATATATAGTCATGGTCTACAGGTTTAATATTACTATATATAGTCATGGTCTACAGATTTGATATATCTATATATAGACATGGTCTACAGATTTGATATAACTATATACAATCATTGTCAAAAAATAATCATGGATTGTATTCTAGGTAGCTATCTATAAGTATTTATTCTTTTCGTTTTAAGAACTCCAGGGTTCTCTGCGACCTTACAGAAGACAACAAACAACAACACCGCATATCTAGCCATCAAACAACAGAGTGAGAACATATCCAGCTGCTCAAAGAGGCCATCATCTTTTTATTTTTCAAGTTCATCTAGTGCACCATTTGAAGTGTGGAAAGGTAAGTTATGACTTTAAAATAACAATGTAGTCACGATTTTCCCCGAAATGTAACGAATATGGATAAGACGACACTTGAAATAATGAATTACAATGTAAACATCTGTAAATCATTCAGGAAGGTTTCATTAATAATCAACTTTACTAAAGAGACAAATGATGATTTTCTAGAACAATATTGTTTTGTTCTTAGTCAATCACTCAGTAATCTAAAGCAAATTTTCAATATGGCCTCACCATATATTTTTTTTCATTTGCAAACAAGTTCTCATATACGCTCTCTTGTAATTTTCGAGGTGTTATTAAGTCATATCTTTCATTTCGTTGATTTAATTGACGAAATCAATTTATTTTCCCTAGTATGCCAATAGCGCTACCATTTTACCTACTATGATGACGTTACAATCTCCCATGGACTCTGGTCTGTGGTTATTAAGCTCATATTTTCCTAAGCATCTTTTCTATTATAATCAGATTTCCGCGATTTATGGATGTCTACGTGTGTACATTAAGTATTGTAAACCTCATCGAATTTTACCTTTTATTTATAATTTTCCTAATTGACAGAACAAAGCACAGACTTTCAATATGTTGGTTGCTACAAACCTTCCAATCTAAATGCATTTGAAAATTACGACTATGACATTTTGAGCCAATGTCATCAAACGTGTTCGAATGAGGGATACAGATATTTTGGATTCTTTGAGGTAAGATATGAGAGAAGTTATGTAACACTTGTTTAAGACGAAGATTCTCTTTACAGTAGCAAATGAAAATTGGTTTATAGAGCGTATATAATCAAACCATATGTAACAATGAGGGGACATGAATTGAAACAAACTTAATGTTTCTCACACTCCCCACCCCCAACCTCCTTCCCCCAAAATATCATCCCCAATATACATGGTATGTCTGTGTTAATATTGTAGATATTGTAGAGTATGGTAAACAGACCTTGTGATATGAATGACTTATCACAAGTAATACGTTTTTGTTCGTTGTCTTCACAACATACAATCTTCTCATTTCAATACAAACGATTTCAAAAGTTTAAATTGGATTTGAATACAAAATGATTTTAATACAATTAAAAAAATCTTGCATGTATATGCGAGTACATAATACACAGTTTGACGATTTCAGTCTAATGGAAAGTGCTATTGCATCGCTGATCTGACACCACTTTCTTCCTCTGGAGCTGGAGAAAGATCGTGCGACCTGATCACAGGATATGCTATGTCAGGTAGTTTAGAGTATATAAGGCATTTTATTTATACTTGGGGCCGTGTTGTTTGTGTAACTCTGGATTTATGAGACACCTGGTAGGATTAAACACATGTAATTGAAAACTTGGTTTGTTATATTTACCACTGAGCAGATGAGACCAAGTCCATATAAGTGTATGATGTTCTGTAAATATAAGCTTCGTTTGAGAACTGCTAAATTTCAATGTTCGCGTTTCATCAATGTATCTAAAGCATTTCTCAAATCAAATATAATTTAGGAGAAATTATGTTATAATGTTATTGTTGTGTGAAGGTTATCAAAATGTGGACGCACCACTGACTCAAACTGAAGCAGTGCTGAAAACAACTAATGTGACAGAGAGGAATGAAACGAAGGTAAGATTTTACAAAGCTGAATTGGAACTTGTTTGTGTGGTCACGTGAATCATTCTAGGTGTTTCTAGAAACATTGAAATATAGAGATACCGCCATGATGGTTCAAAAAGACATACAAATGAATACTACCTTTTAATACAAATTGAAAGTCAGATACAGTGGAACCGAACAATGAATCGTTCTGCATCACAAAGCTGTTTCGTCCGTCTAGGACTCGTCGTTGGTGCTACATCACAAAGTTGTTTCGTCCGTCTAGGACTCGTCATTGGTGCTAAGGGTCTAAATTTTGAAGCCTTGAGGCGACTGGGGAAAATCCAAAGTGATCAAAAATAAAAGTCTATAGGGGGGGGGGGGGGGGGGGGTGTTGGGGTGTACAGCAGTCCCATAATTAAATGAAGACTCGACATTTCACACCTTCTGTTGTGTTACAGGTAGACTTCGGGAATCAAACTGCCTTTGTAACCGCTGTTCATGTCTATAACCAAGTTGGAAACAGTATGCCAGCAAACCCCTGTCAATATCAGCTGTTTTATTCTACACAAGACTGCACCACGGATAAATATCATTCGTTTGGACATAATATGGTAACACTAATCTTACTGGTAGAAAACTTACGATCTTTTCGTGTGTGTGTGTGTGTGGGTGTGTGGTGGCGGTGGCGGTGGTCGTGGGCTCCTTGTATTAGCTGATGGCTTTCTCACCGAACAGCATACGGAAGGCCTGTCACATGACATCCAGAACAATTAGGGGAAAACGGCTTGTCATAGGACAAAACCTTGATAGCATTGACTTGTCCCTTTCTCAGCCTATCCAAAAGTCAATGATATTAATTATTTTCAATATTGAATATGATTTCAAAGGACGTTAAGTACATGTGTACCTAATTAGATAATACCCCACGAACATCATGTCTAACATTACCTGATCAGAGGTACTTCCGTATATTGCATCAACTCAGAACTGCTCGTAAGGCTTACGTCTGTATAAATGATGACATTGAATGTGTTAGTTTGATGGTGGGATAATATACATGCATCAGGTGCCTTTTCCTTTCTTTTCATTTCGGCATCGTCTCGGTTCATTTTGATTTCGTGTTTCCAAGTCCTTTCAGCCTTGATTTTATTCTATTTCAACTTTTTTTTGTATTTATATTTTTATTCCCTTTGTAGATTGTAGTTTGGCATTTCAGTTCTACTTTTAAACATAAAACTAGCACTAAGTATATTTCCGAATTGCGTCCCTAGACCTACGATTGTGGCGAGAAAGTCTACCTGAGGAGAGGGGTCCAGCGCGTGAGATGTTTGCTGTTTACTTTACCTGACCTTACATATGCAGACATTGACATTTACGGTATTGAAGGTCAGTGGCAACAAATCTACAAACAAAAGTCGAAAACAAAAACACGCTGCGATTTATCTATATTATTTATTTGTCTTTCTTAATGCAAAATACAGCTTTCTGTTTTGATTTTTTTTATTTCTCGTTGGACAAAAATCTAGCCCTGCCCACTTGATAATGATTGCTGGAATCAATGGCAACATGCCACCTTGAGGTGTCTGTTGGATCGCTGTCATTCAATGATGTGAACAAAAAAGGACTACAACATAAAATAATATTCAGATATCTTACAATGTACACATACAATAAAAACGAATTAATAAGATTTATGTAGAAAATATGTTATTATATAATTTGACACCTTTCCGTTTGGATTGTGATGTGCCTACTCATGAATGAATTGAATGACTGGAAATGGCGCGCATTAGTTGTCAATGAAGTCACGTCATTTCACGCCAGCTGTTGAGCGTAGTGATTTGGTATAGAATAATCCTTCATGAAATTATCAAATTAATACATTTATATGTTATTCTTGTTTTTGAAACCTGTTTAAGAAATTCATTAGAAGCTTTGATAGGAATATTTTTCAGTTTCTTGCTAGTATGAAAGAACAACCTTTTCGCAAACTTATCATCTAAGTTTGCAGAAATGTTAGTCTTTCAGCACGAAACTGAACAATATTCCTAACACAACATAAGTATATTCAGGAAAAATACAATATTAAAAACAAATTTCTCGAAACAAAGACAATACATTTATTAGGTGAATAAAAGTTCTTCAAAGGTAGTGAGAAAATCAGTAAGGCAAAATTAACATATTACTATCTCTTACAGAAGCGTACATAGCTGGGCCGGTTCTAATCTTGTTGGGACACTACGACCATAATCCTTTGCAAGGTAATGAGTTTCCAAATTTGTGTCATGATATCTTTGTATTTCAACACCACAAATCATAGGGGCTGTATTAACAGAAAACGTTCTAAATATGGATGTTGTCCTTGCCTGTCTATATATATATATATACTAACACGAAAAAGAAACGCCGGGTACACTAAATATACTACAAATGATTTATTGCTTGGCCTAGAATAATGACACTCGGTCAGGTTGATGTGTTGTTCGCGGTCACTAGGTATACGTGTTTAGAATCACACAATACCTGACCTCCGCGCTCCGTGCGAGGCACGTGCTAAAATACAAGAATCCCGTGCAGGGGAAGGTCATTGGAAATTTTCAGTCTATTTGATACTGTTCAAGTATTCGGATTGATTTTTCAAAGTTTGATTCGAATTAAGCAATTTACATCCATGCCACGATTGACGGAAGTCCAGCGGGGACAGGCTATAGGAATGCTTTTGCACGGTCAGGGCCAACTTCAGGTTGCTGCACATTTTGGTGTGCATATTCGGACAATTCAACGTCTTGTCCAACGTGTGCGAGTGACGGGGAGGGTCATCGACCGACCGCGAAGTGGACGTCCGCGCGTCACGACGCCACATCAGGATCGGTTTATAAGACTTTCTCACTTACGTAATCGCCATCTCACAGCTACCGAAACTGAAAATAACACTATAGGTAGTCATAACCGCCATATTAATCCTGATACGGTTCGAAACCGATTACGCGTCAATGGCCTAAGAGCCCGACGTCTCTATGTTAGTCTGACCCTAACTCCTGCGCGTCGCCAACGCCGATTGGCTTGGTTACAAGCACACTCGCCCAGAAATTTTCCTGAGGCAATGGAGACGGGTATTCTTCACTGACGAATCCCGGTTCACTCTCTATCGTTCGGACGGGCGACGTCGTGTATATCGACGTCGAGGGGAACGTTACACCGACGCGTGCGTCGCTGAGCGGGATAGGTTTGGCGGTGGTTCAATATGTGTTTGGGGCGGTATCTCCTATGGGTTTAAATCACCCCTGATCGTGATTGACGGTAATTTAACCGGCGTAAGGTATAGAGACGAAATCCTTCGACCAGTTGCCGTGCCATGTGTGCAAGCACGGAACCTGATATTCCAGCAAGACAATGCTCGGCCCCATGTCGCTAGAGTTTGTCAGCAATTTCTTGCCAACAATAACGTAATCCAAATCGATTGGCCAGCATTCAGTCCAGATTTGTCTCCAGTTGAGCATTTGTGGGACGAATTGGATAGGAGAGTTAGGAGACGTCCCAATGCCCCCACTAATCTGGTCCAGCTCACACGTGCCTTGCATGAAGAGTGGAATAACATCCCCATTGCAAGGGTTAACACCCTGATGAATTCCATGCACAGAAGAATCAGGGCTGCGACAGCTGCACATGGAGGACACACAAGATACTGAAATGTCCGGCCGTGTTGCGCAATACAAGTAGGGTCATCGCTAAAAGGGGGATATTTTTGGCATAATTAGCATTGATAATCGATAGAACCTTCAACAAATGGTTCCAAACAGATGAAATTGTATACAAAAATGAATGAAATAATGTAACATTAAATTATATCATTTAAAAGAATCTTTTTAGGTTACACGGCGTTTCTTTTTCGTTTTAGTATATATAAATATTAAAAAATATTCTGTAGATGACGCAGTCTCATCGTCAAGTGTTTCCGATTGGGTTGTTAAATCGTCGATGCTACAGGCAACAGAAACCGTTTCTACAACACTAACCGTTTTTACCACGGAGACTGTTTCCACCACAACCATCACAACTGTCACCCTCAGCTCAATTGTTTCATCGTATTCAAAATATTCAGGTGAGTGAATTTACACAACGAATTCATCATGCAAAAATATTTTATCAGAAAATGATCCTTACTTTTTTGGCCTAGAATACGGAAGGTTGAGTGATTTTATAGGACTAAACATTGAAATATTACCCCACTGTTGACGTTTCGATAATGTCCCGAATAGTCCACTCTAGCATCATAAACTCTAGCATCATACACCCTAGCATCATAAGCGATCAGTTTGTGTTTCTGTTCTAGACTATGAAACCGTTGTGGATGAAGAACCCGCAAAGAGCTGCTGTTTTTGTGATTGTTCTATGTACATAGCCTACTATAAGTGGAACAGCAAAACCTCAACAAAAAGTACAGATTTGGTTTCGGTAACTAATGAACTGAAAGCGAACACGTCGGTAAAGAAGACAATTCTTTCGTCTTATGTCAGAACTAAGACGTGTGCCTTCGATCCACGACCAGCTGCCCGCTATGTAGGCACCTGTGGAATATTTTTGATAATCGTCGTTCTTGTCTGTATTATTCTCGTCGATATCTCGTCCTGGAGGACCCACATAAGGACGCTACGCCAAGATGTCCATAACTGTACATCGTGATCTCGTGTATTTTTATATTTGGTGCTAAATAAGAATTTCACTTTAGTGTATGACAAAGACCCTTCGTATATATAATTTTCGAGACATGTATACCAGCGTTTTCATTAAAATAAGTTAAACTTTGGTGTAGAAATGAACAATTTGAATTATCCGTGTTTCAACGTTTCAAAAAATTTGACATGTTTTTAAGTAACGTTAAACGATGGGCTCTGGCCTATCTAAATGATAAAATGACGAACTCTTTGTTATTAGTAAGGTATATCTGTATATCCATCTATTACTATTCCATATTTAACAGAAGTGTTGTATCCAAATGCATTAAGAGTTGTTTTAAGAAGGCGTACAATTTTCCATGGCGGCCCGCGCACTCTGTGACTACTCTGCCTCTTCCTCACATTAATTTTCATCTTCTAGCTTCTTATTAGTCTGTAGATATCTATAAAAATCTAAACTCCAGGCTCAGTAGGACGACATTCCACTCTTACATCGTTCGTCTGGTCTTTTTCACATTTCTTGGAACCTTTTTCAGACCTTTCTCTGTCCGTATTAGATCAAACACGTACTCTTGAAACGCTTATATCAGTTTTCTTTCATCATGGTCACCTGTTCGGAAACTCCAAATAATATTGAGTTAGTATTGTTTGTTAACTCTTAAAAATATATTTGATCTCCGATAGGCCACATGTTTTATCAGTCGCTCAACTTCGTTGTATTCAGACATCAAATTCAACCCACATCTAGCACACATCTGTCCAGGAATCCTTGCAAACATGAGATTGCAGCACATCTTAGGTGTCTCAAAGAAAGCGCCGAGAATGTGAAATCGTTTCCAAACTATCAGAAACCCTTCCAAACGTCATAATGGAGGTCGATCAAGGGTTACAGGGCAGTGTCATATCCGATTTTTGTTCATGAAGTATAGTCTCATAGTTTTCATACTGCCACAGCTTAACCACACGACCTTAAGATCACTGGTACACAAGTAGCCACTCATATAGTTAAGAATTGTCTTTATGACATGTAGAATTCCCATCACTGCCGTGTTAGAGACCAATTCGGCTGGAACAAACAACAGTAATTCTGCCACTGAGTTCACTAACAAGCGCTTTGTAGTATGAAGACAATTTGTGGAAGAGTTCCAGGCAGATTATGTTGTTGAAAGTGACTGATATTGGGGAAGCTAAATGTAAGGAGGCATAAGCCTTGATGTAACAACCGACTCCGACGTCTTCCAGCAAGGTACTCAGAAGACACTGCATTACTACCACAAAACCATTGATATCTTTCATCCAATGCCACGCCACGAGCTAAGAACAGCTTCAGAAGCTGAGTGGAACGCAATCCCACTAAACCAGATACGCTCATTCGGGACACGCTGTGATAGGTGCTCATGTGCGTCATACTCGATGATATAACTGAATCTGTTTCTTTGGTAGGTTTTTCTCAAAATTCTTGATAGGGAATACCTCTTCCTTACGAATTTTAAGTGTAACCAATTTTCTGGGACTAAATTTTCCCACTGTAGTTACGATTTTAGTTAATTAAAGTTAGTTAAAGACCCATCCAGCTGTTGTTCTGGTCGTCTTCGTGAAATCTTATATTGATATATAAGTAAACTGATGAAGGTGTGAGTGCTGTAAAGGCCTGAGGGTGTACCTGTATGCTAGTACTAGTATGTGGACATGACCTCCCAAGTAATAACTGCTAACTAGATAAACTAGAAGATACCTGTGAACTTTAACTGTATATAAGTTTAAAATGTAGTGTGAAAGTATGATGAACTTATTGGGCAATATCTGTGTAAGGAATTTTTCTAACCTAAATGCGATGAGTGTGACACAAACATTGAATCACTGTTTGCTTTAAAAGATAATGTATTTTTGATAAAGGAATTTACAAATGTTTGCATACAAGTAAATGTATCACACAGTATCAAATGATGGTCTTACATACGCAGTGTGCATCATATCTGTTTGAAGAGATCTATACCTGTACATACACCTACATGATAAATTGTTTATGTTCCTATTGTTACTCTAACTTAAAATGTTAATTATATGTTGACAGAGATTTGATATTTCTATATAAGGAAATGTTAATTTTGTATGTCTCACACATGAAAAGATGATTTTTCATTCATTCATTGTGCCTATAGTCACACCTTGAAAAGTGTCATGGTATACATATATATTTGATGATTATTATACATGTACAATGTATATTGGTATGTTCACATACAATATCTTACATTAGATGTTGCAAAATGTTATTTTTCATGGTTCTTCATTCCCTGATTGTGGCTGTAGTATTATGAATCTATATTTATTATATTAGAAATCTAGAGGAAAGTCTGTGGCGGTTTCGTTGTCATTTCTAATTATTGTGTAGTAATTATACCACAATCAGACAAAATACAATACTGCACCTAGACATTAATCTTACAGATGCAAATCTTCTATGGGGAAATTCATTTACTCTGGAAAAAGAAATGAAGAAATTTGTTTAACTGTTCAAAATTATATAAAATTAAGTAAGTATCATGATTAACAGTCTTATGCTTTTAATAGTGAGTATTTATTTGTGTGTAATCTATTGTAATAACAGCCATTTGTATGTAATCTATTGTAATAACAGCCATTTGTGTGTAATCTATTGTAATAACAGCCATTTGTGTGTAATTTATTGTAATAACAGCCATTTGTGTGTAATCTATTGTAATAACAGCCATTTGTGTGTAATCTATTGTAATAACAGCCAATTGTGTGTAATCTATTGTAATAACAGCCATTTGTGTGTAATCTATTGTAATAACAGCCATTTGTGTGTAATCTATTGTAATAACAGCCAAGTTTTGATACACGTTACTCAATACTATTACATACTGTAACTTATACTTGACCACAAATATCCATTATTTGTCCTATACTTTATATACTAATGTATTCTACATTCTTTCACCATGTGTATATACCATGTCCAATTGTTAGATTTAATTGTTATTTACAATATGATGTACACAAGGTGTTCTAAGACCAGAAGTTCCATTTGCTGTTGTATGTACTTGGGAAAGGAGTCAATAAAAGATCTAAGATTGTTTTCCAAAAATACAAAATATGTCGGTTTACTTTGTTGTCATAGTAAAAGAAAATATTGTTTAAACTAAGAACAATTTTAAATCTTTTGTATGCAGTTAGATTTTAAGGACAATCAATTTTTCAATAATGATTGCAATAAGAAATACAATATTTATGTACAGATATGCCCCAAAATAAGTGATCTTTTAGTAAATGTGAGTTGTATATGAAACATACAACAACTCCTGATTAATATTCACTTATATATTGTAAACAAAAGCCTGATGAACTGTGTTGATGAAGATTCTGCATACCTACTATCACTATAATGATTTTATATCACTGGTTTTCTAACCATCTCATCACAAAAGAAACCTTGTTAATTCCAGAGCTGGTAACATTTCACTGTCACCATCTCATACAAAATTATAGCTTTGTATCGACATGAATACAACCCCTAAGTGTTGTAATATTCATCAAATTAATGTTAATCCAACTCTTGATTCAGATCTTTTGTTTATTTCAAAAGAATAATGCAGGAAATTCAACCTTGGACAATTGGATACATTTCAACTTTTTAAATTTTCAGTAAAGCGAAACATTCATGTGTACAAATTATTTATATATTGCAGCACTTTCAATTTTTTTAATTACGAGTTTTTAAAAACATGTAAAAAACACATTCTGAAAAATCATGACAGCAAAAAGAGTTTCTTTATTTACCCAAGTATGTGTTTTTTTCTCCCTGAGACATAAATCAACAAAGGAGAAGGTCTTTAATTAACACTATGTTTAGTTTAATTGATGCTAGAAAAATGTAGAACAATTACAAACAAAACACAAATAAACACTTATAACTAACATTACACTGCTGGGAAAACTACATTGGGAAACTGACATTACAAGGTGAAACTGATTAGATACGTAACTATCAAATGTATACAGATATATCTAACAACATACGAGTTAGCACTTTCAAAAGGACCTGGTAATATAGGTAACTTGTACATTCTTTCACGGAACTCTCAATTAACACCATAAATTATGCTTATTTGATATTACAGAAGTATACTCTTTGAGATAAAATATTTCACCATCAAACATCCTTCATCTGAAGCTTCCACCTCCAAGCAGTTCATATTTGCTATAAATTTGTTGTAAACATCAGATCAGGACAACCAGTTCCTATCAGAGACGATGTTCTAGACAGGATATTATAACATTTACTATATGGTTGCCTTTTGAAGAATAAGCGTGAATGTAACTGATAGCAAACTTTGTCTAGTGATAATTTAAAAACTATCTGAACCACAAATAACATGTAGGTTACTCTGAAGGCACAGTAGACATCAAACTGAAGCTGGTTATATTTCATGGCAGCTTATTTACATGTCATCATGAACACAGTTTTTTTTATAATTCATTTTTTCTTTGGATTCAGTTGCATAAAACCTTGACATAACTTAAACTTGATCTGTGTCAATCTCTAGCTACTTTTAACAAAGCTTGATACATGTTTCACAAACTATGCACCATCAACTTCAAACTGTAGAAATATAAATTGAAATCTGAAAGTGATTTTAGTATAAACAAGATTTTAAAACATTCTTCTCTAAAACAATGACCAATGTCAGACAAATTGTCTGCAAGTGTACAACACATAAAACAAAATTGTAAAGTACAACAGGGAATCAATTATTGATCAATGGTACCAAATATCACTGTAAACATTATCATGACTAGCTTAACGATCGTCATTTTAGACACTTTTCAGACCACTTAAACTTTACTTGTTATCTAACCATAGGAAAGTCAGCATCAGAGTTGTCTCCATCCTTCCCTGTTAATTGTGTATAATGTTTACTTCGGTACCCTAAACCAGGAAACTGGTACAAAGAAATGTTCTTGAAGACCTCAGTGACATTACAAGTTCCTAAATAGATATCACTTTGTGTAGTTGTAATAGTTAGCCACCATTAAGAAAGAATGGATGATATTTAACAGTACATGTTTTAATAAGACTGGACAATCCCATGTCTGTACTGTTTTATACACATACTTGTGTCCTTTACTTCATCAACATTGTATAAATATACATAAACACATGTGTCCTCATTTTTTTCTGTTTCATTCCTTGTGGACGACATTATGTATGTGAAAAAATGTGTAAGAAAAGAGTTAAAGTGTATATGATATATTGGGGACACAACACACGACACATGTTCCAAACTTAGAGTTGCTCTGAAACCTCTGTGTAGTGTACAGCCAGATTGCCCTGATTTGGTCAGTGTGTGGTCACAGTTAGTAACCTCCCTGACTCACCAGAGCCAGCAGAACTTTCTTGTAGTCACCCGAAGTGTCTCCCTACAACAAGTAAGATTTACATTAAATCAAAAAGCATTTCCAATTACAATCATCAAATAATATTAATACCCTGAATTCCAGTAACACCTGTGTTTATATGTAACCAAGAATTCCAGTAACACCTGTGTTTATATGTAACCAAGAATTCCAGTAACACCTGTGTTTACATGTAACCAAGAATTCCAGTAACACCTGTGTTTACATGTAACCAAGAATTCCAGTAACACCTGTGTTTACATGTAACCAAGAATTCCAGTAACACCTGTGTTTACATGTAACCAAGAATTCCAGTAACACCTGTGTTTACATGTAACCAAGAATTCCAGTAACACCTGTGTTTACATGTAACCAAGAATTCCAGTAACACCTGTGTTTACATGTAACCATGAATTCCAGTAACACCTGTGTTTACATGTAACCAAGAATTCCAGTAACACCTGTGTTTACATGTAACCAAGAATTCCAGTAACACCTGTGTTTACATGTAACCAAGAATTCCAGTAACACCTGTGTTTACATGTAACCAAGAATTCCAGTAACACCTGTGTTTATATGTAACTAAGAATTCCAGTAACACCTGTGTTTATATGTAACCAAGAATTCCAGTAACACCTGTGTTTATATGTAACTAAGAATTCCAGTAACACCTGTGTTTATATGTATGTAACCAACACCTGTGATACATGTTACCCTGATGTCCAGTAACACCTGTGTTTATAACCCTGATGTCCTGTAACACCTGTGTTTATAACCCTGATGTCCAGTAACACCTGTGTTTATAACCCTGATGTCCTGTAACACCTGATGCCCTGTAACACCTGTGTTTATAACCCTGATGTCCTGTAACACCTGTGTCTATAACCCTGATGTCCTGTAACACCTGTGTTTATAACCCTGATGTCCTGTAACACCTGTGTTTATAACCCTGATGTCCTGTAACACCTGTGTCTATAACCCTGATGTCCAGTAACACCTGTGTTTATAACCCTGATGTCCTGTAACACCTGTGTTTATAACCCTGATGTCCTGTAACACCTGTGTCTATAACCCTGATGTCCAGTAACACCTGTGTTTATAACCCTGATGTCCTGTAACACCTGTGTTTATAACCCTGATGTCCTGTAACACCTGTGTCTATAACCCTGATGTCCTGTAACACCTATGTCTATAACCCTGATGTCCTGTAACACCTGTGTTAATAACCCTGATGTCCTGTAACACCTGTGTTTATAACCCTGATGTCCCGTAACACCTGTGTTTATAACCCTGATGTCCTGTAACACCTGTGTCTATAACCCTGATGTCCTGTAACACCTCTGTTACATGTTACCCTGATGTCCAGTAACACCTGTGTTTATAACCCTGATGTCCTGTAACACCTGTGTTTATAACCCTGATGTCCAGTAACACCTGTGTTTATAACCCTGATGTCCTGTAACACCTGTGTTTATAACCCTGATGTCCTGTAACACCTGTGTTTATAACCCTGATGTCCTGTAACACCTGTGTCTATAACCCTGATGTCCTGTAACACCTGTGTCTATAACCCTGATGTCCTGTAACACCTGTGTCTATAACCCTGATGTCCTGTAACACCTGTGTCTATAACCCTGATGTCCTGTAACACCTGTGTTTATAACCCTGATGTCCAGTAACACCTGTGTTTATAACCCTGATGTCCTGTAACACCTGTGTCTATAACCCTGATGTCCTGTAACACCTGTGTTTATAACCCTGATGTCCTGTAACACCTGTGTCTATAACCCTGATGTCCTGTAACACCTGTGTCTATAACCCTGATGTCCTGTAACACCTGTGTCTATAACCCTGATGTCCTGTAACACCTGTGTCTATAACCCTGATGTCCAGTAACACCTGTGTTTATAACCCTGATGTCCTGTAACACCTGTGTCTATAACCCTGATGTCCTGTAACACCTGTGTTTATAACCCTGATGTCCTGTAACACCTGTGTTTATAACCCTGATGTCCTGTAACACCTGTGTCTATAACCCTGATGTCCTGTAACACCTATGTCTATAACCCTGATGTCCTGTAACACCTGTGTCTATAACCCTGATGTCCAGTAACACCTGTGTCTATAACCCTGATGTCCTGTAACACCTATGTCTATAACCCTGATGTCCTGTAACACTTGTGTTTATAACCCTGGTGTCCTGTAACACCTCTGTTTATGACCCTGATGTCCAGTAACACCTTTGTCTATAACCCTGATGTCCTGTAACACCTCTGTTTATGACCCTGATGTCCTGTAACACCTGTGTTTATAACCCTGATGTCCTGTAACACCTGTGTTTATAACCCTGATGTCCTGTAACACCTGTGTTTACCTGTCCAGTGATTATGCCTACCTTGATAAAAGATTCCAGTGACTGTCCATACATTGCCTGGAATTGTTGTTTGATCTGTACCATATCAACTTCACACCTGGTGACAACAACACGAATCAGGCCACGATCGTCAGTTCCAGCGCCCTGAAAGAGCAGGTTTACTCAGTTTGACAAGGTGGTGAATTTAAACGAAATTATTTTGATCATAATGTCTCTTTCAGCATACATTTATCCAATGTTTTTTGTGTTTGATAACCTGAATTTGTGAACAGGGAAACAACTTTACTTCAGTATTTTAAAGCTCTCCTCTTTGTTAATCTAGGGCTTTGTTAAGGTTGCGCTGGTTAGTGTCTGTATATAGATTTCATCATTGTCATACCTACCTTCATGCTCTTGTAAAGCTTCTCCGCAAAATACCCGGACCTGTTCTTCACACACTTTACTGGAATTAAAGAAAACTTAAGTTTCAGCATTCTGAAGCTTTTTTGTGTAATGGATCTATGTTTTGGATCAAAAATATTGTTTGTCTTACCAAGATTGATTCATGTTTATTTTGGAAACTTTGTCCGTAACATCTCAAAGAACACAAAACAATCAAGTCAAGATTGTTACCAGCTGTTATCAATTCAATGTTCAGAATTATAACACACTTACCAATGGCAAGCATGCCCAGCTCAAGGTTTCCAGACATTTCACTCTTGATCGACTTTTCAATGTCCTTTCCACTGAGCCTCTGGTAAGCCTCAAACACAGCCTTCAGCTGCTCATAGCTCTGGGACGCCATGATCATGTTAAATGCAGATTCATCTGTACCCCATCTTTTCTCTCCTGCTTGGTGCAGTCTCTGTAACAACAGAAGTACACAAAAATGATGGAATTAAAGAAATTCTGAATACCTACTGGTAAACACTACCAGTGACAATGATATACCTAGTGGTATACACTACCAGTGACAATGATATACCTACTGGCAAACACTACCAGTGACAATGATATACTGGTAAACACTACCAGTGACAATGATATAACTACTGGTAAACACTACCAGTGACAATGATATACTGGTAAACACTACCAGTGACAATGATATAACTACTGGTAAACACTACCAGTGACAATGATATACTGGTAAACACTACCAGTGACAATGATATACTGGTAAACACTACCAGTGACAATGATATACTGGTAAACACTACCAGTGACAATGATATACTGGTAAACACTACCAGTGACAATGATATAACTACTGGTAAACACTACCAGTGACAATGATATACTGGTAAACACTACCAGTGACAATGATATACTGGTAAACACTACCAGTGACAATGATATACTGGTAAACACTACCAGTGACAATGATATACTGGTAAACACTACCAGTGACAATGATATACTGGTAAACACTACCAGTGACAATGATATACTGGTAAACACTACCAGTGACAATGATATACTGGTAAACACTACCAGTGACAATGATATACCTACTGGTAAACACTACCAGTGACAATGATATACTGGTAAACACTACCAGTGACAATGATATACCTACTGGTAAACACTACCAGTGACAATGATATACCTACTGGTAAACACTACCAGTGACAATGATATACTGGTAAACACTACCAGTGACAATGATATACCTACAGGTAAACACTACCAGTGACAATGATATACTGGTAAACACTACCAGTGACAATGATATACCTACTGGTAAACACTACCAGTGACAATGATATACCTACTGGTAAACACTACCAGTGACAATGATATACTGGTAAACACTACCAGTGACAATGATATACTGGTAAACACTACCAGTGACAATGATATACCTACAGGTAAACACTACCAGTGACAATGATATACTGGTAAACACTACCAGTGACAATGATATACTGGTAAACACTACCAGTAACAATGATATACTGGTACACACTACCAGTGACAATGATATACTGGTAAACACTACCAGTGACAATGATATACCTACTGGTAAACACTACCAGTGACAATGATATACTGGTAAACACTACCAGTGACAATGATATACTGGTAAACACTACCAGTGACAATGATATACCTGACAATGATATACTGGTAAACACTACCAGTGACAATGATATACTGGTAAACACTACCAGTGACAATGATATACTGGTAAACACTACCAGTGACAATGATATACCTACTGGTAAACACTACCAGTGACAATGATATACTGGTAAACACTACCAGTGACAATGATAGAACTACAGGTAAACACTACCAGTGACAATGATATACTGGTAAACTGGTAAACACTACCAGTGACAATGATATACTGGTAAACACTACCAGTGACAATGATATACTGGTAAACACTACCAGTGACAATGATATATACACTACTGGTAAACACTACCAGTGACAATGATATACCTACTGGTAAACACTACCAGTGACAATGATATACTGGTAAACACTACCAGTGTGACTACCAGTGACAATGATATATACTGGTAAACACTACCAGTGACAATGATATATACTGGTAAACACTACCAGTGACAATGATATACCTACTGGTAAACACTACCAGTGACAATGATATATACTGGTAAACACTACCAGTGACAATGATATACTGGTAAACACTACCAGTGACAATGATATACTGGTAAACACTACCAGTGACAATGATATACCTACTGGTAAACACTACCAGTGACAATGATATACCTACTGGTAAACACTACCAGTGACAATGATATACCTACTGGTAAACACTACCAGTGACAATGACAATGATATACTGGTAAACACTACCAGTGACAATGATATACCTACTGGTAAACACTACCAGTGACAATGATATACCTACTGGTAAACACTACCAGTGACAATGATATACTGGTAAACACTACCAGTGACAATGATATATATACCTACTGGTAAACACTACCAGTGACAATGATATACTGGTAAACACTACCAGTGACAATGATATACCTACTGGTAAACACTACCAGTGACAATGATATACCTACTGGTAAACACTACCAGTGACAATGATATACTGGTAAACACTACCAGTGACAATGATATACCTACTGGTAAACACTACCAGTGACAATGATATACCTACTGGTAAACACTACCAGTGACAATGATATACCTACTGGTAAACACTACCAGTGACAATGATATACTGGTAAACACTACCAGTGACAATGATATACTGGTAAACACTACCAGTGACAATGATATACCTACTGGTAAACACTACCAGTGACAATGATACACCTACTGGTAAACACTACCAGTGACAATGATATACTGGTAAACACTACCAGTGACAATGATATACTGGTAAACACTACCAGTGACAATGATATACCTACTGGTAAACACTACCAGTGACAATGATATACCTACTGGTAAACACTACCAGTGACAATGATATACCTACTGGTAAACACTACCAGTGACAATGATATACCTACTGGTAAACACTACCAGTGACAATGATATACCTACTGGTAAACACTACCAGTGACAATGATATACCTACTGGTAAACACTACCAGTGACAATGATATACCTACTGGTAAACACTACCAGTGACAATGATATACCTACTGGTAAACACTACCAGTGACAATGATATATATACACTACTGGATATATAACACTACCAGTGACAATGATATACCTACTGGTAAACACTACCAGTGACAATGATATACCTACTGGTAAACACTACCAGTGACAATGATATACCTACTGGTAAACACTACCAGTGACAATGATATACCTACTGGTAAACACTACCAGTGACAATGATATACCTACTGGTAAACACTACCAGTGACAATGATATACCTACTGGTAAACACTACCAGTGACAATGATATACCTACTGGTAAACACTACCAGTGACAATGATACACCTACTGGTAAACACTACCAGTGACAATGATATACCTACTGGTAAACACTACCAGTTATATCTTTATTTAGACAATGACCTTGATGAGATGGACATGATGATAAGGTCCCATTAAAATATTATAAATTGTAGAAAGGGTGAAAACACTAAGTTCAATGTTATAATTATCTCTAATCACAAATAATCATAATAAATTCTTTCCCAAATTTACTGAACTCCTAATTGAGGAAGCTTTACCTGTGCATCTTGTTGTGCTTTGTTCATATCAACAGCCTGACCTTCCTGTCGTCCTCCCTGGAAAAATAGATATCACATTAAACCACTGGAAATAAATACAGAATCACACCTTTCTCACTGTCACTCACAGCTGTGTTATACCTTACTGTCACTCAAAGCTGTGTTATACCTTACTGTCACTCACAGATGTGTTATACCTTACTGTCACTCACAGCTGTGTTATACCTTACTGTTACTCACAGCTGTGTTATACCTTACTCACTGTCACTCACAGCTGTGTTATACCTTACTGTCACTCACAGCTGTGTTATACCTTACTGTCACTCACAGCTGTGTTATACCTTACTGTCACTCACAGCTGTGTTATACCCTACTCACTGTCACTCACAGCTGTGTTATACCTTACTCACTGTCACTCACGGCTGTGCTATACCTTACTCACTGTCACTCAAAGCTGTGTTATACCTTACTTACTGTCACTCAAAGCTGTGTTATACCTTACTCACTGTCACTCACAGCTGTGTTATACCTTACTGTCACTCACAGCTGTGTTATACCTTACTGTCACTCATGGCTGTGTACCTTTCTCACTGTCACTCACAGCTGTGTTATACCTTACTGTCACTCACAGCTGTGTTATACCTCACTGTCACTCACAGCTGTGTTATACCTTACTGTCACTCACAGCTGTGTCATACCCTACTCACTGTCACTCACAGCTGTGTTATACCTTACTCACTGTCACTCACAGCTGTGTTATACCTTACTGTCACTCACAGCTGTGTTATACCTTACTGTCACTCACAGCTGTGTCACTGTATACCTTACTGTCACTCACAGCTGTGTTATACCTTACTTACTGTCACTCACAGCTGTGTTATACCTACTGTCACTCACAGCTGTTATACCTTACACTCACAGCTGTGTTATACCTTACTGTCACTCACAGCTGTGTCTCACTGTCACTCACAGCTGTGTTATACCTTACTCACTGTCACTCACAGCTGTGTTATACCTTACCACAGCTGTGTTATACTGTCACTCACACTGTGTCACTCACAGCTGTGTTATACCTTACTGTCACTCACAGCTGTGTTATACCTTACTGTCACTCACAGCTGTGTTATACCTTACTCACTGTCAATCACAGCTGTGTTATACCTTACTGTTACTCACAGCTGTGTTATACCTTACTCACTGTCACTCACAGCTGTGTTATACCACTCACAGCTGTGTTATACCTTACTGTCACTCACAGCTGTGTTATACCTCACTCACAGCTCACTGTCACTCACAGCTGTGTTATACCTTACTGTCACTCACAGCTGTGTTATACTGTCCTCACAGCTGTGTTATACTGTCACTCACAGCTGTGTTATATACCCTACTGTCACTCACAGCTGTGTTATACCTTACTGTCACTCATGGCTGTGTACCTTTCTCACTCTCACTCACAGCTGTGTTATACCTTACTGTCACTCACAGCTGTGTTATACCTTACTCACTGTCACTCACAGCTGTGTTATACCTTACTGTCACTCACAGCTGTGTTATACCTTACTCACTGTCACTCACAGCTGTGTTATACCTTACTCACTGTCACTCACAGCTGTGTTATACCTTACTGTCACTCACAGCTGTGTTATACCTTACTGTCACTCACAGCTGTGTTATACCTTACTCACTGTCACTCACAGCTGTGTTATACCCTGTCACTCACAGCTGTGTCACTCACAGCTGTGTTGTCTTACTGTCACTCACAGCTGTGTGTCACTATATACTGTCACTCACAGCTGTGTCACTGTCACTCACAGCTGTGTTATACCCTGTTACTCACACTGTCACTCACAGCTGTGTTATACCTTACTCACTGTCACTCACAGCTGTGTTTATACTGTCACTACAGCTGTGTTATACCTTACTGTCACTCACAGCTGTGTTATACCTTACTCACTGTCACTCACAGCTGTTTTATACCTTACTGTCACTCACAGCTGTGCTATACCTTACTGTCACTCACAGCTGTGTTATACCTTACTCACTGTCAATCACAGCTGTGTTATACCTTACTGTTACTCACAGCTGTGTTATACCTTACTCACTGTCACTCACAGCTGTGTTATACCTTACTCACTGTCACTCACAGCTGTGTTATACCTTACTTACTGTCACTCACAGCTGTGTTATACCTTACTGTCACTCACAGCTGTGTCATACCCTACTCACTGTCACTCACAGCTGTGTTATACCTTACTCACTGTCACTCACAGCTGTGTTATACCTTACTTACTGTCACTCACAGCTGTGTTATACCTCACTGTCACTTACAGCTGTTTTATACCTTACTGTCACTCACAGCTGTGTTATACCTTACTCACTGTCATACCTGTGTTATACCTTACTGTCACTCACAGCACAGCTGTGTTATACCTTCACTGTCAATCACAGCTGTGTTATACCTTACTGTTACTCACAGCTGTGTTATACCTTACTCACTGTCACTCACAGCTGTGTTATACCTTACTCACTGTCACTCACAGCTGTGTTATACCTTACTCACTGTCACTCACAGCTGTGTTATACCTTACTTACTGTCACTCACAGCTGTGTTATATACCATACTGTCACTCACAGCTGTGTTATACCTTACTGACTGTCACCAGCTGTGTGTTACCTTACTCACTGTCACTCACAGCTGTGTTATACCTTACTGTCACTCACAGCTGTGTTATACCTTACTCACTGTCACTCACAGCTGTGTTATACCTTACTGTCACTCACAGCTGTGTTATACCTTACTCACTGTCACTCACAGCTGTTTTATACCTTACTGTCACTCACAGCTGTGCTATACCTTACTGTCACTCACAGCTGTGTTATACCTTACTCACTGTCACTCACAGCTGTGTTATACCTTACTCACTGTCACTCACAGCTGTGTTATACCTTACTTACTGTCACTCACAGCTGTGTTATACCCTACTGTCACTCACAGCTGTGTTATACCTTACTGTTACTCACAGCTGTGTTATACCTTACTGTCACTCACAGCTGTGTTATACCTTACTCACTGTCTACCACAGCTGTGTTATAGCTCACTGTCACTCACAGCTGTGTTATACCTTACTGTCACTCACAGCTGTGTCATACCTTACTCACTGTCACTCACAGCTGTTTTATACCTTACTGTCACTCACAGCTGTGTTATACCTTACTGTCACTCACAGCTGTGTTATACCTTACTGTCACTCACAGCTGTGTTATACCTTACTGTCACTCACAGCTGTGTTATACCTTACTCACTGTCACTCACGGCTGTGTTATACCTTACTCACTGTCACTCAAAGCTTTGTTATACCTTACTGTCACTTACAGCTGTGTAATACCTTACTCACTGTCACTCACAGCTGTGTTATACCTTACTGTCACTCACAGCTGTGTTATACCTTACTCACTGTCACTCACAGCTGTGTTATACCTTACTGTCACTCACAGCTGTGTTTTACCTTACTGTCACTCACAGCTGTGTTATACCTTACTGTCACTCACAGCTGTGTTATACCTTACTGTCATTTACAGCTGTGTTATACCTTACTCACTGTCACTCACGGCTGTGTACCTTACTCATATTTACTTACTGCTGACATGGAGATCATCAGTCTTTTAAAGTGCCCAGATGTGTCTCCCTGTATGTCCTTCTCCAGAGCACTTTTATATACTGAAACATTGGCAATTCATTATGTTAAATAACTATTTTACCTTAATTTGGTTTAAAGAAATCACAAAAAACTGACTGGTATTGCAAACTTCTTTAAAATATTCATATTATTTAGAGTTAGCAACAAAGGACATCTTAAGGTCATTTAAATATTCAGTTTCTGTATAAGTGATCTTGCTTTTGACAGTAACAGGTCTAAACACAAAATATTCCATGTGAGAATGCGATGTTAGATTCTCAATCAAATGAGCACTACCAGTCCCTTCATATGACAATATCTTTGAATTGGCACCGTAATACTAAAACATCTGCGGCGACACTCACACGTCTTGTAGGCAGATACAATAGCCTGGATTTCCTTATTACTCCTCGTACATAAGATTTCTATCATAGCATCCTCATCTGTTCCTAGTCCCTGTCCAACAACAAAACGTTACAATATTTACTGTTATCAAAGCTGCTCCATTCAGCTGAAGCACCAGTAGAACAAGTTTACCTTCAGAACACTGACTACAGTATTAACATGTTTTAATTGATATCTATTCTTTATCCTGATCTGACTATATAATAGAGAAAAAAAATTGACCGTTAAAAATGAAAGCAGTGCTGTAGTGCAGCATCAAGAGTAACTCTGCTACTTATTTTTCATCCTTTTCAAGATAAACTATTAAGGCTGTACAAGAGATGTTCCTGTTAAACACATAGAACACACGATTCCAGGGTAATGACAAATTACCTTCATTGCTCTCTTCAGCTCATAAGCATCAAATTCATCTGGTTTCATCATCAAAGCTAATATTACATCTTCAAACTTGCCTCCCAGTTCACTCTTCAAATCATGAATGAGATCCTTCAAGGAAAAAGATGATCAGTACAATAAATAACGATTTCTAAATTATTGAAAAAGTATGTCTGAAATAAACAGAAAAAAAAGACTTGTTCCAAAATTGTCAGAATCTTGCAAATGAAATGACTTACAGTAAAAAGTGACAAATTTTGGTTCAAACAATCTTTTATAAGTTACACAAACTTGGTCTAGATCTCCTCAACATAAAAATACCAAGAGAAGCCAAAGTGAAGTAATAAAATACCAACTTTTAAAACACAAAGTTAGGTGTCACCAAATATAAAACACAAACTGAGGTGTCACCAAATATAAAATACAAACTGAGGTGTCACCAAATATAAAATACAAACTGAAGTGTCACCAAATATAAAACACAAACTGAGGTGTCACCAAATATAAAATACAAACTGAGGTGTCACCAAATATAAAACACAAACTGAGATGTCACCAAATATAAAACACAAACTGAGATGTCACCAAATCTATAAATTTTAAAACACAAACTGAGGTGGCACCAAATCTATAAAACACAAACTGAGGTGGCACCAAATCTATAAATTTTAAAACACAAACTGAGGTGGCACCAAATCTATGAATTTTAAAACACAAACTGAGGTGGCACCAAATCTATGAATTTTAAAACACAAACTGAAGTGGCACCAAATCTATAAAACACAAACTGAGGTGGCACCAAATCTATGAATTTTAAAACACAAACTGAGGTGGCACCAAATCTCTAAAACACAAACTGAGGTGGCACCAAATCTATGAATTTTAAAACACAAACTGAGGTGGCACCAAATCTATAAAACACAAACTGAGGTGGCACCAAGTCTCATTCATTTAGAAAGTTTAAATAAAGACAGAAATTGATTTCAGCAAGTCTATGCAAAGATTACCAAGTATTCTAAATCATAAAACTTTAAAACAAATACAAGTCTCCAATATGTCTGCTAAATCTTCTAAATGATACTTACTCTACCAAAACAGGTTTTAAACATAACTTTAATTTGCTGTCTTTGCTCATTTGATCGGAAAGCCAAGATGTCAATGATGGCTTTTTCATCAGTTCCTACAATACAATGAAAACATTAAATACAATGTACATTAAAAATACCAAATATAATACTGTAATTATAAATACCGTAAAATTAACATAGTAATTAGTGTGCTGAAGGTTATCAACACCAAGTTAATAACCTAACACTTGTAAAATCAAAAACTTTTTAATTTAAATATATTTACCGTCACCATAAATGGAATCACCTTATTATTCTATACAGTAATGTATATAGAGTGGAAATAAGATGTCCTGCTATTTACCAAGATAATAACAAAAAATCCACAGGATTATTTGTCAAGTTACCCCTGCTACATGTTTCTAAAGTAACAGTCTCTTAACACATGAAAATTCAGATTTAAAAAATCTAATTTAATCACCAAGAATTCTATCTACAAAATGTAACATGTCAATTTCTATTGTTTACTGAAGGTAATTAATTATAGGTGAATAAGAAAATTATTCAAGATCTTGAAAGTTCTGAAGATTCAACAAAGTTTTCAGTCTTTCACCATTTTGTCTGAAGTACACAACATTTTGTCTGAAGTACACAACATTTTGTCTGAAGTACACAACATTTTGTTTGAAGTACACAACATTTTGTCTGAAGTACACAACATTTTGTCTGAAGTACACAACATTTTGTCCAGATAAGAGATTATATTGGTTGGCTCCAGCACCTGGTATACATACACAACCTCAAATTCTTATGTTTTAAACCCAAAACCTTAAATATTATATGTTAAAATTTGTTTTCTACCGGAGATGGAGTTCCTTTAAAAGACAATTTGATTATGTTTAAAGAATTCTTATCAATTCTCAAACCCATAAAAAACTCCTGTTTTCCACTCAAACTCTGACTGCAGTACATGTAACTAATTTTTTTGGGTTATGATTTGTAGTGATCACCTTCACACCTAACTTCTGTATCAAATATACAGGCTCTCATAGTCAGTGATCACCTTAACACCTTCACACCTAGCTTCTGTATCAAATATACAGGTTCTCATAGTCAGTGATCACCTTAACACCTTCACACCTAACTTCTGTATCAAATATACAGGCTCTCATAGTCAGTGATCACCTTAACACCTTCACACCTAGCTTCTGTATCAAATATACAGGTTCTCATAGTCAGTGATCACCTTAACACCTTAACACCTAACTTCTGTATCAAATATACAGGCTCTCATAGTCAGTGATCACCTTAACACCTTAACACCTAACTTCTGTATCAAATATACAGGTTCTCATAGTCAGTGATCACCTTAAGACCTAACTTCTGTATCAAATATACAGGCTCTCATAGTCAGTGATCACCTTAACACCAAACTTCTGTATCAAATATACAGGCTCTCATAGTCAGTGATCACCTTAACACCTTCACACCTAACTTCTGTATCAAATATACAGGTTCTCATAGTCAGTGATCACCTTAACACCTAACTTCTGTATCAAATATACAGGCTCTCATAGTCACTGATCCCCTTAACACTTTAACACCTAACTTTTGTATCAAATATACAGGTTCTCATAGTCAGTGATCACCTTAACACCTAACTTCTGTATCAAATATACAGGTTCTCATAGTCAGTGATCACCTTAACACCTAACTTCTGTATCAAATATACAGGTTCTCATAGTCAGTGATCACCTTAACACCTTAACACCTAACTTCTGTATCAAATATACAGGCTCTCATAGTCAGTGATCACCTTAACACCTTAACACCTAACTTCTGTATCAAATATACAGGTTCTCATAGTCAGTGATCACCTTAACACCTTAACACCTAACTTCTGTATCAAATATACAGGTTCTCATAGTCAGTGATCACCTTAACACCTTAACACCTAACTTCTGTATCAAATATACAGGCTCTCATAGTCAGTGATCACCTTAACACCTAACTTCTGTATCAAATATACAGACTCTCATAGTCAGTGATCACCTTAACACCTTAACACCTAACTTCTGTATCAAATATACAGGCTCTCATAGTCAGTGATCACCTTAACACCTAACTTCTGTATCAAATATACAGACTCTCATAGTCAGTGATCACCTTAACACCTTCACACCTAACTTCTGTATCAAATATACAGGTTCTCATAGTCAGTGATCACCTTAACACCTAGCTTCTGTATCAAATATACAGGCTCTCATAGTCAGTGATCACCTTAACACCTTAACACCTAACTTCTGTATCAAATATACAGGCTCTCATAGTCAGTGATCACCTTAACACCTTAACACCTAACTTCTGTATCAAATATACAGGTTCTCATAGTCAGTGATCACCTTAACACCTTAACACCTAACTTCTGTATCAAATATACAGGCTCTCATAGTCAGTGATCACCTTAACACCTTAACACCTAACTTCTGTATCAAATATACAGGCTCTCATAGTCAGTGATCACCTTAACACCTAACTTCTGTATCAAATATACAGACTCTCATAGTCAGTGATCACCTTAACACCTTAACACCTAACTTCTGTATCAAATATACAGGCTCTCATAGTCAGTGATCACCTTAACACCTAACTTCTGTATCAAATATACAGACTCTCATAGTCAGTGATCACCTTAACACCTTCACACCTAACTTCTGTATCAAATATACAGGTTCTCATAGTCAGTGATCACCTTAACACCTAGCTTCTGTATCAAATATACAGGCTCTCATAGTCAGTGATCACCTTAACACCTTCACACCTAACTTCTGTATCAAATATACAGGTTCTCATAGTCAGTGATCACCTTAACACCTAACTTCTGTATCAAATATACAGGCTCTCATAGTCAGTGATCACCTTAACACCTAACTTTTGTATCAAATATACAGGCTCTCATAGTCAGTGATCACCTTAACACCTTAACACCTAACTTCTGTATCAAATATACAGGCTCTCATAGTCAGTGATCACCTTAACACCTTCACACCTAGCTTCTGTATCAAATATACAGGCTCTCATAGTCAGTGATCACCTTCACACCTAGCTTCTGTATCAAATATACAGGCTCTCATAGTCAGTGATCACCTTAACACCTTAACACCTAACTTCTGTATCAAATATACAGGCTCTCATAGTCAGTGATCACCTTAACACCTAACTTCTGTATCAAATATACAGACTCTCATAGTCAGTGATCACCTTAACACCTAACTTCTGTATCAAATATACAGGTTCTCATAGTCAGTGATCACCTTAACACCAAACTTCTGTATCAAATATACAGGCTCTCATAGTCAGTGATCACCTTAACACCTTAACACCTAACTTCTGTATCAAATATACTAACTTCTGGACTCTCATAGTCAGTGATCTAACTTCTGTATCAAATATACAGGTTCTCATAGTCAGTGATCACCTTAACAACTTCTGTATCAAATATACAGGCTCTCATAGTCAGTGATCACCTTAACACCTTCACACCTAACTTCTGTATCAAATATACAGGTTCTCATAGTCAGTGATCACCTTAACACCTAACTTCTGTATCAAATATACAGGCTCTCATAGTCAGTGATCACCTTCACACCTAACTTTTGTATCAAATATACAGGCTCTCATAGTCAGTGATCACCTTAACACCTTCACACCTAACTTCTGTATCAAATATACAGGCTCTCATAGTCAGTGATCACCTTAACACCTTCACACCTAACTTCTGTATCAAATATACAGGCTCTCATAGTCAGTGATCACCTTAACACCTAACTTCTGTATCAAATATACAGGCTCTCATAGTCAGTGATCACCTTCACACCTAACTTTTGTATCAAATATACAGGCTCTCATAGTCAGTGATCACCTTAACACCTTCACACCTAACTTCTGTATCAAATATACAGGCTCTCATAGTCAGTGATCACCTTAACACCTTCACACCTAACTTCTGTATCAAATATACAGGCTCTCATAGTCAGTGATCACCTTAACACCTAACTTCTGTATCAAATATACAGGTTCTCATAGTCAGTGATCACCTTAACACCTAACTTCTGTATCAAATATACAGGTTCTCATAGTCAGTGATCACCTTAACACCAAACTTCTGTATCAAATATACAGGCTCTCATAGTCAGTGATCACCTTAACACTTTCACACCTAACTTCTGTATCAAATATACAGGTTCTCATAGTCAGTGATCACCTTAACACCTTAACACCTAACTTCTGTATCAAATATACAGGTTCTCATAGTCAGTGATCACCTTAACACCTTAACACCTAACTTCTGTATCAAATATACAGGCTCTCATAGTCAGTGATCACCTTAACACCTAACTTCTGTATCAAATATACAGGCTCTCATAGTCAGTGATCACCTTAACACCTAACTTTTGTATCAAATATACAGGTTCTCATAGTCAGTGCTCACCTTAACACCTTCACACCTAACTTCTGTATAAAATATACAGGCTCTCATAGTCAGTGATCACCTTAACACCTTCACACCTAACTTCTGTATCAAATATACAGGCTCTCATAGTCAGTGATCACCTTAACACCTTAACACCTAACTTCTGTATCAAATATACAGGTTCTCATAGTCAGTGATCACCTTAACACCTAACTTCTGTATCAAATATACAGGTTCTCATAGTCAGTGATCACCTTAACACCAAACTTCTGTATCAAATATACAGGCTCTCATAGTCAGTGATCACCTTAACACTTTCACACCTAACTTCTGTATCAAATATACAGGTTCTCATAGTCAGTGATCACCTTAACACCTTAACACCTAACTTCTGTATCAAATATACAGGTTCTCATAGTCAGTGATCACCTTAACACCTTAACACCTAACTTCTGTATCAAATATACAGGCTCTCATAGTCAGTGATCACCTTAACACCTAACTTCTGTATCAAATATACAGGCTCTCATAGTCAGTGATCACCTTAACACCTAACTTTTGTATCAAATATACAGGTTCTCATAGTCAGTGCTCACCTTAACACCTTCACACCTAACTTCTGTATAAAATATAC